TACTATTATGTACTATTTACATATTGGCTACATTATTTTTGTAATTTAACTCATACCTGACTGAGATGTTTGCAGGATGGATGAACTTCATTGGGCTTTATTACAGCAAATTTTAAAGAACAGACAACGGCTGTCAATGCTTAGTCCTAGACCAAAATAAATCAAAGCTGAGGTTTTCTCCTGCACAAGACTCCTGCTGCTTTGCAGGATTACCATATTGCTGCTGACTTGACTAGATACAGGCATGCTATTGATGTGTCCAAATCAGCAAGTGTCTTCTGTTAAGTACAGCTGCACTCATGAATTGTGCCACAAAGAAAGGTAAAGGGGAACTGTGTGGTATGGGATGAAATGCAGACAGAATTGAACTGGTATGGATACTTACAGTAAAAAAGTTAAGCCTTCACTGAAAAGACTGCTTCTTCATTCCAAAAGCTCATTTACTTTGAACAGAAACTCAGCTTTCTAGGACAGTTCTACTGCTGTGCCTGCTGCACAAGAACTAGTTGATCAGTCATAGTGCTCAACCACATAATCAAAGACCTGGTGGCATTTCCTGCTATAGTCTTGTTGTGTAGAAGTTGAATTGTTGGTTAACAGTTCTATGGACTCAGCTATCTGTGATGTCTGCACTTTCAGCTGTTAGATAAAAAAAATATCTATCCTGAAGTCTTGACTGCAACCAAAAATATTATCTGCTAGATCACTGTGTTTATTCGCATCAGCAGAAGTTTGTACTTTGTACTTTAATATTTTGAAAAAGTTAAGATACACTGATATTTCAACACTTGCTATTTTATCTACTTGGATTAGGATATATCCCTGAAATCTTATTAATAATTAAATATTGATTATAAAGTCCACTAGAAAGTGGGTGCAATTTCATTACCATTTTTTTTGCAAATACCATGAAAAGTAAACTCTGAATTTTTAGAATTTCCTCTTCAGATTACATTCAGTACATTTTACACCTTTGAATCCAAGTCCTGAAGGTTCTAAAGTTTATTAATAAATATAGATTTCTTTGAACAGAATGTTTAGAGTATTTGTTTTAACACTGTTCCTTTAGAACTTTGATGTAAAAATTGATTGGAAATAGGTAAACCATTGCTAATCTGAACCCTCAAAATTTTCAGCAAACTATAAATTTGCTGTTGATGTTGTTAGACCTAGCACCTGAGTCCATCTTTGCTATCCAATATTTTAAACAATTCAACTAAATTGTATTTAAAAAAATAAAAGGCTAAGACATATGCAAATGCTTACATGTACAGTTACTGTCTGCTCAGCAAATTTCTCTAAATATAAAAAAAAGCTTACATGAAGCTGTAACTTTAGTGGTGTGTGAGATTACTTACCTTGTATCTGTTTTCACTTTCAATTTGTGTTGCGAATTATGTCCAGATACATTGAAACCATTAATTTTGCTGTGAAGGCAGAGCTTTAGGGAAATCCAGTTTTCTAGGCCACCCTTATCAGGGGATGCCAGGGTTGGAGCTCATAGCATTAAAACCTGAGCAGTTGTGGTGAGTGACCTTGGCTGGACACCAGGTGCCTGCCAAGCCACTTTATCAGTCTCCTTCTCAGTAGAACAGGGGAGAGAAACTAAGGTAGAACACAATTCGAGTGGCTCCAGTAAAGGGCAATAGAGCTGGTGAAGGTTCTAGAAAGTAAGTCCTTTGAGGAGCAGCTGAGGGAGCTGGGGTTGTTTAGCCTGGAGAAAAGGAGGCTCAGGGGTGACCGTATCACTCTCTAAAATGACCTGAAAGGAGTTTGTAGCCAGGTGGGTGTTGGTTTCTCCTAGCTAACCAGTGGCAGAGTGAGAGGAAACAGCTAGAGGAGATTCAGGTTGGACATCAGGAAGAATTTCTTCACTGAAAGGAGGCTTAAGCATTGGAATGGACTGTCCAGGGAAGTGGTGGAGTCACCATCCTTGGAAGTGTTCAAGAAGCAACCATAGATGACAGTGCTATGGCTTTGTTGACAAGGTGGTGTTCAGTTAAGGTTGGGCTTGATGATGATGGTGGTTTTTTCCAACTTAAATGATGGCTATTAATGTATATTCGGCTTTTCTTAGTCAAGCCAAGGAGAGGTTTGCACTGTCGGACAACTGAGTCTGAATGGATCACAGCTTGAATACTGTAAGTTAAAATATTAACAGCCTGAGATTTTTCTTCACAAAAGCAGGGGGGTGATTGTGGAATCTGCGCATTCAGAATAATAGAGAGCTGCAGCAGACATGCAAACTTGCCTGTTCTTCAAGGGACATGAAATCAAAGTGGTGTAACAAATCAAAAAGCTCCAGCAGTTTTCAAAATCATCAGCAGTTCCATGTAAAAGCAGTGGAAGCTTTTGGGTTTTCATTTCTGTTTTTCAGAGAAATGCCAAAGTCAAAAGCTGGGTGCTTATTACAAAATCTTGCCTTATTGTTTTAAATGCTGAAACATTTGTTTCATTGTCTTGTGCTTTATTTCTGCCCTGAATGCCTTTAAGTAGTGAGATTTTTATTTTTTTTTGGAATACTGATTGCTTTACAAGCCCAAAGATAAAACAAAAGTGCAGTTACATTTTATAAATTGCATCCAAGATACTGGGCATGTGAATGTTTCTAAAAGACAATTCCAGATAAAGATTTAACAACTCAGCAGTTTAGCAACCAGAGAGTAATTTTCCTTTTATATATAGCCATTTCACTGTAGTGAAGTCTAATATATATCTAATACATAATTCTAACCACTTCTGTCTTTTTGGACTAGACTAAAATATAAACATGCTTCCAAAGATCAAGGGTACATATGCATTAACTTTCTTTGTGTAGCAATACAAATGAAAATTCAATTGCCCTGTGTGCTTTTGAAGCATCTAAAATTTCCTTGATTTGGGCTTATCTATTTCTTAAATACTATTGTCTGTGCTGAATATATAGGCTGAGTTGTAAAAGATGTAGGATGAAGCCAAATTTCTTTCTGTAAATAAATAAATTCATATTCTTGCTGTTCTCTGCAGATATTTTTTCAGAATGTAGTTACATATTATGCTATAATGTGGGAGAAAAAGCTAGAAATAGAAATAAAGAAGTCAGCCTTAGCACATTTTGTCCTTCTATTAATAGTTGTCATAATACAAAACCTTCAGAATAGCTGAAGAATCAAAATGAAGTGGGGACAACAGCTGCACTGAATTATTTGACCAATTGACTGTGAAAATGGTTTATGGTGAGCACAAGGGAGAATATGTTTGATTACGACAGACAACCTTATTTTCCGTAGCTCACATTTTCATTCATGCAATATAAAAAACCTGAAAACGAACACCGGTTGCATATTGTTGTTATTACCGCAGTATGTAGCTGTGTATTTTTCACCCTTCTAAACAACATTAGTATCCTTCTCACTAAAATACAAAATGGAATGAAAACTCAAACACCTACACTACAAAACCAGGAATCTAAAAGGAGATTTAAATTTTTTAGTGATAACTGAGAGAGATAACTGAGAGCTACCAATTATTAGACTCAAAGAAATGCATAATTAATTGAACATTTCAGACAAGGTAACTATAGTAACCTTATTATTTACAAAAACAATTGAAATTGATTATCTTAATTTATAGCTGAATAGAAAATTACCTGAAAGCTAAAGCAGACTTTTTACTAGATCCTAAGATGAAGGGGTAGGTAATATTCCTGTTTAAAGGAAAACTTTCTTCCACAGGATTAAACATTCTCTAAGGTGTTTGTCCACTACTATAGTTTGGAATTCTTGACAAATATTTAAAGAACGGGAAAATGGAAGGTGGATTAGGAACCTGTCCTTGTGTTTCACCCACTGGAAATCTAAACAAGCTGAACAGGTGACATTTTTTCTGAGTTTGTTAAGCAATTCCTCTTGCATGTTGTTTATGCCTAGAAATGCATCTATGCAAGGGATCTCTCCTATATTCCCATACAAAGTCCTTTAGTGTGAGACAGGATATAAATAAATTTTACTCTAAATGCCCAATTCATGATTTTGTAATGAGTACATCTCAGCAATGCTTTGTACCAAATATGCTTACTGTCCTGAGGAACGGAAAGTTCTCTACCATGAAGATTTTAGTTTCCCTGTCTCCCAAGTAGTCCCTGCTATGACAAAGTACAGTGTGGTTCTGGTACGAAAACTTACTTTAAAAATTGCATTGCAGGATTGTGGGTTTGGTGTTTTTAGTTACTGTATGAGCAATGTTAAATTTATGCTTCCAGTAGCCGAAACCATCTCTGCTCTTTTCTCGCACCGTGTTTGCCGTGCCCACATGCACATGAGAGCGGGAACACGGTGTGTGCGCACCGACACGCTCAAGGGCAGACACAGGCACCGACCCGACTCGGCCACCTGCGTCTGTATCTATCATCTCTGTCTATCTCTATCTCATCTGTCGTCTCTATCTATATGATAAGGTCCGTGCCTTTGGCACCAGCTCTCCTGCCGATGCCCAGAGCGCCGCGCTCTCCGCACGCCGGCTGCATCCCCACCGGTCCCGGCATCGCTGCCGCAGCCGCGCCCCGTGCCCGCCGCGGAGCACGGCGCTTCCCGCTCCTTCCCGGCGCGCAGGGAGTTAACCGGGCCCGGGGCGGGGCGGTGCCGCCGCTGGCGGGAGGTGGCTCGGCCGGCAGCCCCGCAGCCCGCCCGGGAACAGCCAGCCGCCCTCCTCGTTTCCCAGCGGCGGATCCCGCTGCCTCGGTGAGAACCGCGCCCCGGCAGCCCGCGGTCAGCTCCCGGGTGGATGGTGGGGTGCCTGCCGTGTCTCCTAGCCCCGGTGGCCGGACCGCGGGGCGGAGAGTGGGTAGGGAGCGAGGGGCGGCGGGCGCAGCGTCGGTCCGGCGGAGCGCTCGTTTCGGCGGAGCCGCGGCATACGGCGGACGAGGCCGCCTGCTCTGTCTGCGGAGCCGGGGGAGCGCTCCGCCAGCAGCGACGGGACCAGTCGGGTAAAATAAAATTTGCAGCGATATCAGCTTTTCCTGCTGATGGACAAACACCCAACAAGAGCTTTTCCCTGCAGAAACCATTGACTGTGGGCTTCCTTCAAAAAACGACGGATTGCGGGGGGAAAGAGGTGGCAATTATAATGGATTCTGCGTGGATTTAAAGCACCAGTTTGAGGATTTAGATACTTAGATGAGATTAGGAAGAAATCCTTTGCTGTGAGGATGGTGAGACACTGAAATAGGTTGCTCAGGGAAGTTGTGGATGCCCCATACCTGGCAGTGTTAAAGGACAGGTTAGATGGAGCTCTGAGCAATCTGGTCTAATGAAAGGTGCTCCTGCCCATGGCAGAAGGGTTGGAACCAGGTGATCTTTAGGGTTATTTCCAACCTAAACCATTCTAGGATGTGCGCGCACCATAAAACTGCACCCTTTCTTTATCTGAGTCCTGCTGGGAACATAGCAGTTGAATGCCAGTTGCATGCCAGTTTTAACCTTGGCTGAAGAAGACTGCAGAAGCTTTTGACGTCTGTAAAAATTTCCATTTGGTTAGACAGCATGAGAGTTTTGTGATTTTACATTAACTGGCTGCTTGTCAGCTAGTACCTGATTGCTGTCAGGGTCTGCCATGGGAAAGCTGCTTTATGCTTGCTCCTTCCTTCAATTCCTGCCAAGACTCCTCCAACTGGGTGCTCTTAAGGGGGTAAGCTGGACCTTTGGACTGTCAGAACTTTGTCCTCAGCTTTTTGAAGTATATCATCTGTGATTACTTAGGTGATCAGAACCCAGAACACTTAAAAATCTTGTGGATGCTTAATACTGTGAACAAGAACTGAATTAATATCCTTGGTTTATCTGCAACCATTTTTCTTCTTGCTACATAAAAAGCACTTTTTGGTTTCTTCTTCCTAGCTTCTAACTCCTCTTTATCAGGACTCGTGGCACTGTAGGAAGAAATGATGTATTTTTCCTGTAATGTGTGTGGTATAATGGTGATGTCCAGTAGTAGCTGACTATACTTCATACCACCATAGGGAAGTGTTGTTGATTATAAATGCAACTTTTATACTTCCCCTGCTTGACCACAGAGGGTTCTATACATTTAGTATATCTACTACCTGTGAATTTGAGTCTACTTAATAAAGGTTGATATTTTAAATGAAGAAAACTAATTGTCCTTATAAATTTGAATACATTTCCATTATTCAATGGCTTTTAACAGGCAAGTCTTTTGTTTATTTTGTTAGGTTTTGCACTTTGTTGGAAAATCACATATGATGTAATTCTGTTGCAAGATCGATTTCTTCCTCCTTCCTTGTGGTGTAATCCCGAGGTTTTTAAGGATTACAGTCCTGTCTCTGTTATAATCTCTGTGCTGTCAGGCCCTTCTTAATGGAGGGTAGAGTGAAACATTATGATTCAATGTTTCCCATAAGGGCATTCCCAGAAAGTACCAGCTTCGGCATGTAGCCTTAGTCACTTCTGAAAATAATAATAAATTAATCATCCTATAATTATAATTCTGTCTTTGGACCAACATGAAAGCCTCAGTGATACATTTGTCTATTTAAATGTAAAGAAGAATGCAGCAGTGAGAAGGTTTTGCGTATAGGTTAATCTTAAGGTCAGTAGGAGGAGTTTAATGAAAAGGATATTATGAGTAAGATGCTTCCTGAACTCGGGTTTCAGGCATCCCAGCTAGAGCTGAGCTTTGGAGATCTTCTGGAGCCAAAGGTGGAAGGGGAGTGAAGCTGGTATGGCAGTCACTCACTGCTGGTGTGGGAGGTATGGAAGAAAGAGGGTGAGTTACTTAGCAATGAGACTTGCCTCTCGGTGGGTGGTGAACCTGTAGCTGTTCACCCCACAGAACAGAAGTAGTGGTGAGGTGGGGGTTGCAATAGCAAGGGATTAATTTATGCTTGAGGTTTTGAAAGTGGTGATGCTCAGGTGTCAAAATTGTAGATGCTCATTTTGCTTCTTTTGCTCCAGTTATAAAAACTGTAGTGTGGCTGGATTATTTGGGGAATTTAATATTCATGGTAATTATCATCAATACAGAAGGTTTCTCTCTCTGTTAATGCTTCCATCTTTGTAGATGGGATTATTCTGATGCACTTTTACATATTTTTTTTTTAATATAATTGTAGGTATAAAACATACATGGCTCCTGGTTCCTCAAATGAGAAGAATACTGATGATGGACAGGCTTCAAAGTAAGATTGAAAAATCAATTATTTTGTCCAAGTTTACACTTAAACTTCCTCCCTAAGCTAATTACACAGTTTAAATAAAGTTTATAATAATAATGCCAAGTATCCAGTAGCAGCTCTTTTGACAGTTGGATGCTTTATTGCTTTGCCACCCCTATACAGAGGATTTTGCTGGCCAGCCCTTTGAATTTCTCTCAACAGTGAATATTTCAAAGCAGGGTGATGTTTTTATTTATTTTTATTTTAATCCAGTGAGCTGCTGGAATGTTGACTTTGCTTGCTGCTTCAAGAGTTCAAACAAATATTTCAGTTTGTTTCTCTAACCCTTACTTTAAGCTTATGTTACTAAAACCTGTTACATGCTTCTTTTATCTTTGGATTCATATTTTACTTACACCCTTAGAAGTTGTAGGTGCTTTACAACACCTTTAGGGAAATAAAATTTCTGCTCCTGAGCTTTGCATGCCAAGGATTTTTATCCAGCAAACTTTGCCTCTCCTGTAAATCCATGGCATTGATCCTATGTACACATAACAACAATATGCTAGTTTCTATTGCTCATTTTACCTCAGGGTCCAAGTCTGCAATCAGATGTACAGATAAGCTGAGCAAGTTGATAACAGCCTCTCACTGTGTTGAGGCGGTGGGTCAGAGAGTGCTGTTGGTGGGCTGTGAGTTGAAAAGGGTGGAATATGGCTACTGATGAGGAAGGAGGAAATGTTTTGGCCAGGCATGAGGACAGTGGTGTTGGCACATATCACATGGACTTCCTTGCACTTTTAATAGAGGCCTCGCCTTTCCCCAGTTTATTTCCTGAAGAGAGGCTTTTATTGCCAGGGTTCTCATGAAGAAGGAAATACATTTTTTTGCTCACCTGAGGATAGATTATAAAATGATTTGAAATCATATCCTATCCTATTTGTATGTGACAACCATTCCAATGGACATCAGCACAGCCAGATTAATCTGCATTAGTGAGTGACCCAGTAAATAAATGTAGAGAGTCCCACAAAACTAAACAGGAATGATTCAGGGGAGGCAGTCTAGAAATCCTTCTAATATGAGCTGGTGAATTCCTAGGTTGTCTGTGTCTTCATGACAGGCCATAAACCTGCTCTTTAGCTCTCCCAGAGTCAAACAGATCTCTTGGAAGGAAGAATAAAAGCACCCAAAGTCTTTAGTTCCACCTTAGGCAGGATTTGTATGAAGGGAGGCAAATGGAGACCATGGGATATGGAAGGGCATTCCTACTGAAGGGGACTGGCTGCCTGGGTGGGCAGCTCTTTCAGTTGCTGAAGGTGATTGTCTGCGGTGGGCAGGGACAGATAGGGTGGGTTGGGATTACACCTCTTTCCTTGGTTGTGCAGCTGTTCCTGGATAATTACTGATGTTGGAGACAGACCATCAGAAACAGAAGAAATTGTTATACTCAGAATATCTGGGTTGTAACTATATACTCAGAATATCTGGGTTGTAACTATTTGCTTTCTGAGGAACAGTTCAGTAACCTCAGCATTGGCATCTTGGCCACTGTAGACTTCCTTCATCCTGCACAGGCAGATAAGGCATAGGAATTATGGGAAAGCATAGTTCTTTTCTGCCTTATCTCCTTTCTGGAGAGGCATTAAAAAGTAGACAAGATAACCTAGTGACCTAGACCATCTGAAATAGTGCTAAACACCTCTGTTTAGGCTACGGAGTTGTTCTTGAGTTGTCCTAACAATTTTTTGAGTGAAGTCCAGGCAAACTCTTTTGTTTGTCTCCTCTGACAAAGCAGTTTGAATTTGCTGAGCCATGCTGTGCCTCCACTAAGCTTCATTAGCCTTCATTAACTTATTAAGTCATCTTCTTGTGTCTGGAAGCTATTTACTACTTGATTCCATCTCTCAGAAATTACTTTGAAGTACTTGCCAGTGTTCTGCTTAAGCTTGCGTTTATTGGCTAGTCTTACCTACCTGTTTCAATTGAACTTAAAACATCAAGCGCAGAAGGCAGACCTTTTATAAACCATTCAGCTGGTTTAGTTAGTCCACTATTGAATTTTCCATGAATGTGATCCCACAGGCCAAGTAGTTCAGGTTTCTCTCCTTGCCCTGTCAGTTCTCTCTCTTCAAACAGATTAATTTGTATTTTTCTTTTAAGATGTATGATTTCTTTACAAGAAGCACTTAGGAAGAAGTGAATTATTTTTACCTCTTCCTCTCTTTTCCCTTTTCTTGAATTTTTTTTTCACTTCTATGGTTTTCTCCTTGCTTAAGATCTCCACTTTTCTCTGTCCTGTTTCAGATCCTCTGTACTCTTATCAGTTATCAGTTTCATGCCATAGGGTTTTTTGCCTCCTGTCTGTATGACAGAGTAAGACAAATTGCCAGAAATCTAGTATGTGCTTGTCCATAAAGCCCAAATCATCCCATCCTTCTCAGGTGGCTGGTGGAGTTTCAGTCAAAACAAAGATCAAGTTTTGCTTTTCAGCTTTGCTATAGATTGCCTCTGTAATATGGTGGGCTATTGAATTTTCCCTGGTCCTGCTCCCATTTTTCTGCATACCATAAAGACACACTATGGTTCCCAGCTTCAATATTTTTTAAGATAAAGATTGTGCTGTTGCAAATGCATCTGGATATCCGGCCTTTTCTTCAGCAGTTTCGTCCTGTGCGATGAATGTAACGTGAAATGTCATATGTGATATTTTGTAAGTCATAAAACAGTTATGAAATTTAGGGTTTCTTTTACACAATGAGCAAGGAACCAAAATAAGGTAGTACAGGCATTTGCACATGTGTCACTTCCCAATGTCTGACTGCTTGACTTTGAAGAATTGTCATCTGTTCAATGTTTGTATATATTCTATATATATTTGTATATATTCTACATGTTTCACAATGCTGCTGTCTTGGTAGAGAGAACTTTATTCATCTCTGCAACCCTCACCTGGAGAAAATGAAAGAAGATATCCTATACCATTTTGCTCTTGGGACTGGTACCCATGATTTTCCATCATTGTTTGGGGATGTAAAGGTAAGATGCTTTGGTTTTTTCAGCAAGCCTGAGCTTTGCTGCAGAAGGTGAAAGTGTAGCTGTCTTCAGAATAAATGTGACACCAAATGTGTCAGCCTACCAGCTATTGAGGTGTACATGCAAAAGGGGAAAAATTTTGTGGGCTCTTGTCACTTCTGGTATCCAACGAAGCTGAGAATAATTGTTTTGGATGTCTCTTTTCATCCAGTAAAAAGGCAAATGCTAGAGAGTCTATTCAGGTACATACTTCTGTTTGTTGGGTCTTCATGTCAGTATTTATCTTTCATTAGTTTAAACAGGGTGAAGGCATTTGAGTGCTGTAGACAGCTGAGTTTTTTCCCATAATTCTTCTTCATGACATTTTAGAATCATTATGAGAAGCACCTTATCTGGGGATAAACCTGTGCTTACTGAAGGCGTTTGCATACTCATGTTGTTCTTTGACATATGGAATCATGCAATTGATTTTGCTTTGTTGAACTCTGTCCACCCCAGTTTGTGTGTGTTGGGGGAAGTCCTTCCCGGATGAAAGCTTTTATTGCCTACATAGCAGAGGAGCTGGGGCTGGGGACCCCCGGGTGTGACTACCCCAACATCTGCGCAGGCACCGACCGCTACGCCATGTACAAAGTGGGGCCTGTATTGTCCGTCAGTGTAAGTACTTCCCTCGTCTGACACGGGACACGGTACAGTTTTGATGCTGTTCAAAGCAGAGCATTTAAATGCATGTTTGTTTCAAATATTTCGCAGTCCTAATCAGCCTACTCAAAATAGTGCAGTCAGCTAATGAAGGATTCCTTTTTAGCCTCTTTTTGTAAGAGGGAAAATCTCCAATACCTTTGCTCCTTCTTGTATCTCTTTTTCCTCAGTGTACCACTGAGGTGTTTCAGGAATGACCTATAGATTTTTTGAGCAGTTACTGTTGCCTTATCCCTGCTCTGTACCCTGAAAAATGGGGGAAAAAGGTCACTTGGTGAATGTGGGGTATTGGAAAATATATCTGTATCCAGATATATGTACCCAGAGCTATGTATCTGCAATGGCACTGTCAAATGTGCTTAAGAGTAGTATTCCATGGGACTTGTGCTGCCAACCCATGTATGCATTTTAAAGAAATTTGTAGCTTCAATTTGTAGATAGAATTACATGCTTCAATTGTAATTGCAAAACTGTAATATTAGTTTGCACGTTTTCTTGTGAGCTGTAATTACCAAAATATTGTGCAAGCTAATGTGGATTTATATTTGCTGAACGTCAAGACTAAACCATGGTGTCTGTGTTTTGAAAAAAATTAGCTTAACTAATTAGTTAAGTTTTTTCTGTCCTGTTTCAGATCCTCTATACCCTTATCACTTATCAGTTTCATGCCATAGGGTATTTGCCTCCTGTCTGTATGACAGAGTAAGACGAATTGCCAGAAATCTAGTATGTGCTTGTCCATAAAGCCCAAATCATCCCATCCTTCTCAGGTGGCTGGTGGATCAGGATACTAAACTAACTAGTACTTCAGGTTAGTGAAAAATCAGAGTGGGGTTTTTATTGCATTTAGGAAATGCTCCATGATAAAGTATGTTAGCCAGCTATTGGAAAGGACACTCTTTATACCTTTGAGAATGTAAATGTTCTGTAATTCATGATTTTTAGAAATACTGTATTTCATCCATAGTCTGCCAAAGCTTGTGGGTGTCTATTTGTAGGCCCTTTCAGTATCTTTCTGTAGACCCAGATCTTGGGGGTTTTGTGGGAGTGAGTTAGGTGGCATTTGGGAAAACAGTATCAGGCAGGAGATAATGTCCTGCTGCTTCTTCCATAGGTATTTCTATGTGAATGTTGAATATTAATTTGTGTTTCCTTTTCAGCATGGTATGGGCATTCCTTCTATTTCAATCATGTTGCACGAGCTGATCAAACTGCTGTATCATGCCAAGTGTTCTGACATAACCATCATTCGCATTGGCACCTCTGGTGGAATAGGTATTTCGCCTCTTGCTGTCTTTCTCCATTTCTGTAAACCAAATTATATTTGCAGGAGAGTAAAGCATCTCTCTGCATGTAAGAAATTAATAGTCAGAACAGTTTTTCATTCATAATTTTTCTTTTGTAATTTCTAAAGTAAAGGCAACATCTGCTTTTGCATAGAGAAAATGCACTTAAAGATCTGACAATGTTAGAAGAAGGATGTTCTTGTCCTGTATGGAAAATATAAGAAAGAACTGAAAAAAGAAAAAATTCATTATTTCAGAAATTATTTGTAATAATTAACTGAAGTAGCTAGCCATGGACAAAATATTCTCCTGGTGGATTCAGAAGCTAAATTCCCCCCTTTAAGAGAAGCAGGGTTGGGTCAAGAGGTATGTTTTATGTGTCTGGAAACCACTAGTTAACTGCGTTGTGAAAATATAAATATTTTCTTTTGCTGCAGGTCTGAAGCCAGGCTCAGTGGTTATAACTAGGCAGTCTGTAGATGCCACCTTCAAGCCTCAGCTGGAACAGGTTGTTCTGGGAAGGACAGTAATTCGCAGCACTAACCTGGATGAACAGCTGGCTAAGGATCTGATGCAGTGCAGTAAAGAAATTGGTCAGTTCAATACAGTCATTGGAAACACCATGTGCACTTTGGATTTCTATGAAGGTAAGACTGGTAATAGACTAACAGAACAATATTGGTAAGCAGCAATAAATAAATATTGAATAATATATTAACATTTGGCTTCCAGTTCACTAACAGAATGTGCTCCCTACTCTGGCTTGTCTCACAAATCTCAATTAAACTATTTTTCATCTACTTAAAATCAAGCATTGTACTTAGCAGTTGTCTGTATGAAACTTTTAATTTTGTGGAGATTTCTCCCCAGCTTTAATAGATCCTCTGAAGTACATATAGTCTACTATACCCTTTCCAGGTACCTATCAGGTATATTTGTCACAAAATTTATGTGATTTATTGAAGCATCCTAGGGGATTAGAGGAGTGGGAATTATTTGTGACGTGTCTAGGGCTGGTTTTCTATGCACTGGTTAAGTACCAAAAGTAAAAAAAAGGGTTGGAACTTGTTTCAGTTTGAGAAAAGCAGTGATCAGACAACCAAAGATAGTATTTTGCTGAGTTGTGTCAGTTCTGCTACGTAGGAGATGCAAAGGCTATTTTAGATAAACATATAGGCATTCAGGTGCTTTTCTGATCTACCAAATTTAGATGTTCATTCAGAAACACCTTTCAAACATTGTGAGAGCAGAATGTAAGTGGCACCTCATCCCGCTTTCTCTTTCTGTTGCTGAGTAGGTGACAGACAGAAAAAGGTGACAAATGAGTCTTGCTGAGTAGGTGACAAATGATCTTCCTTGTAGTGCTCCAGCTTGGGCAGAAGCACAAGCTATCAGTTCGTGCATCTCAGGCACCAACCACAGGTGCAAACAACACTAAAAAATGTGTCAGGGATGTTTTAAACTCATATATGAAAACAGGATTGAGGACATTAATTTAGGAGTACATCTCCCAAACCCAACAAGAGACTGAGTAAAACACACTATATTTCAACTCTACTGTACTTAACCTGCTACTGTCTTGTCTATACTATGTGATATTCTTGAATAATTTGAGTAATTTACAATAATGTTAGTTAGCTTAAGAGACACTACCTCTCTTACCTTGGAAAGTCTGTAAGTAGTAAGATGTTCATCCTTTTAAAGTAGAAACAGGAAAGCCTGGTGGTTTTTTTGGACAGTGATTAAACTGCCAAAAATGCAGCTCTTTCATACAACTTAAAGTTTCTTGTGGAATTTTGGTACTTGTTGAATGTGTGGGAATGTACGACGTACATTTTCCTGTTTATGAATTTGAGAATTGAAGCTGAAGAAAACTAATGTTACCATGATTCACCAATTACCATTAAGTTACCGTGATTATAAAGAATAAAAATAGCATGTATACACTCTAGAAATAGCTAAGAATCACTTTGTCCTATTTGTCTTGTGCACAAAAATAAAGAGTAGTAGTAAAAGCTGAGCACTGTATGGAGGAGACTGTAATAGCTGGGTGTTTTCAAAATGGAATTTGATCTGTGACTTTATCACTCTGAAATGTTCTGCAAAATTACTTTCTAGGACAGGGGAGGTTGGATGGTGCAATCTGCTTATACGATGAAGAAGAAAAACTGCAATATTTGAAGAATGCTTATGAATCTGGTGTCAGAAACATCGAGATGGAGTCTTCTGTATTTGCTGCAATGTGTAACCTCAGTGGTCTCAAAGGTAAACTAACTTAGTCACCTTATGCAGGCTATAGGAAATTTTCTGTTGCAGGAGGTTTGTGGCTAAAAAGTGCAGCAATGTTAACATACCTTCTGCACGTATACATACATATAAAAGATATTTCTGCTTATAATTTTGTTGCTGTGATTTTTGATTTGTGTCAGTTTTGTCACAATTTATGATAAATTCTTCATGCAGTTTTTACACAGTTTACTTCTATCATTTGCTATTCCAGCCCATGGCAACCATGTAAATCATTAAAGTACCTTATTACCCCGTGGCATTCATTTGTTTTCTCTGGTTAGCTTTTGAAGTTTACAGAAAGCAACTGCTTAGTTTAAGCAATCAGCTGATTCTCAGATCCATATGTATGTAACTGTACTCAATTTCTATACTTTCATATCAAATGGAACATATCATTATTTTCTGTAGACTTAAGACTATGATTCTTAAGCAGTTAAGGATTTTTAGTAGCATCATAAACTGTTCCAAATCATAAAATGAGTTAAAGTTTTCTTTTAATGCATGCTAAATAAAAAAGGGAAATTAAAATAATGTAATACAGTGTATTTCTTCTTATCATATTAACTGTCTTATCTCAATTTCCTTGGAAAGGAATATGCCAATTTAAAACACTTGTTTCTCAAGCTCCTATAAGCTCAAGGAGGTCAAAATGATGAACTAGAAGCAAAAAGGCCAATGGTTATATCAAACACATTCAGTCCTTATTGGCCTGAAAGGGATTACAAACCCAACCACTACTATCCCTAAGCAATTCAGGAGGCCTTTTTCTGTCTCTGCTTTGTAGGTCTGTAATAAATATTTACTGTTTGTGCTCAGCAAATTGCCACTGGCAGAAACCCCAGACAGAGAAGAGTTATAGGGTTGAGTGACAGACCTGAGCTTGAGTGAAAGGAGGGGTTTTGCCTTTGGGACTCTGATTACTGAAAGACAGCATATGAGCCTGAGATGATCCTTGGGGTTCTCATGTGCTTGCAGTGTTCCCTGTCCATGAATGTGGAGGCAGCTTATCTGCTGCTTCCTGAGGGGTGGCACCTACAGCACAGGCCCTCAGTGGAGGACTGCAACTGCTTCTGCTAGAACTGTGTGTCGGGCACTTCCCATCAATCATGTCCTGGGTACTTGGGAAATATACTTCCTATCAAGGAAAACATAAGAATCATGATATAACAATAAGTGTCTGCAGCTGCCTAAGAGCTCTGGCTTTATTAGTGTAGCAAGCAGTTCCCTTGAACTATTTCTATAGCATGCTAGTCTAGCATCTCATGGTACTGCACACCCTTTTTTGGGGTTTGTTTTCTCTTGTATTTCTGCTCCTTTAGTGGTTTGTTCAAATGTTTATACTTTTGGACTGTAAAATATGTCATTCCTAACAAATGCTGTCTTTTAATTTCTAGCTGCTGTAGTGTGTGTCACTCTTCTGAATCGACTGGAAGGGGATCAAATCAGCAGCCCACATGATGTCCTTGTGGAGTACCAGAAGAGGCCGCAGAAATTAGTGGGATATTTCATTAAGAAAAGTCTTGGGAAAGTCTGAAATATCCATCTTGTGTTTTAGGGAAGGAGAAGGCCTTTGTACAGATCTGGTCACAGTTATGACTTCTGTGCATTACAAGTCTTTTGCCTCACAATAACTTACAGCATTCCGTGTGCCAGTGGAAGTTAATCATTTATGTAATTGGGAACTGAATGTGTTGAAGGACTTAAGTTTTGCTTAGTAATGCATTGCTGGACAGAAAACTCACTTTTCTGTGAATTGGAAAGTGGATCTGTTCTGAAGGACAAGCCTGTGATAATACATGAAAAAGCTTTATTTATGTCTTCTGTCAAAGAAAAACTAGAGAGAAAATCAAACTTTATGGCCAAGTATGTGCATACCAGCAAACTAACCTAAAAATTCAAATAATTTTCTTGTTGCTATAAAATATTATATAAGTTATAATTGTCTTTGTTGCTTCACTTGTAAAGAAGACTTGAAGTGAATGCAGTTTATTTTTTTTGCAGACTTTGACAAATAAACAATACTATTTTCATATATTAAAATTTCATGAAATTGTACAGTGTGGGACTGAATTTTCTAAGCTTTTAGGAATTGACACTGAGCTGTTGAATTGGTGTACTGCCTAGATACTTATCCAGCAATATTTTAACTAAAAAATTGAATCAATAACCAGGAAATATTTCTGCATTAAGTAATTTTGCATTGAAGTACTAGCAATCTTTTGCTGAAGCAAGACTCCTGCTTATGAAGAGGAACCAAAGGCCGTCGCGGGATGCACAGCACGTTCACAGGCCTGTGTTATGATAGCACTTTTTTTTCCTTGCTTTTACTTAGTTTCTTTTTTTTTTAATTGGTATTCATCTCCATTCTCAGGATGTAACACTCACTGTTGCAATGCTTCCTAGTTTTTTCCACTAACATTGGCCTAAGTGTTTGGTTTTTTTTTTTAAGTCATACTCCTTGATGCTTTGCTGCTGTGGTTTGAATGTAAATATGTGATCAGTAAAAGAAAATGTTTTTATCTCTTTTTTTTTTTTATTTTGTATTTTCCTTCTTTCTACTGCAGTGGGGGAGTGTCCAGTCCTAGCAGGGGTCACGGATCAACAAGTCTGAATAAGCTCTCAGAACAGCTGTGGCTGACCCAGCAAAATGAGATTTTCTTTGTGAGGATTGCAGTCTGCAATGGTGTTAACAAGCACAAGAGTTAGAACTATAAGAGAGGGATGTGAGTACTAGGCACAGTCATCAAGTGACAGAGATTGGAAACAATGTGATGAAAACATTAAAAAAAGAAGGGTGACTCATGAACAGAAAATTGCCAGTGAGGATCAGTCTTGTTAATTTGCTGAGTTTTTCAGCTGGGAAACATATTAGTAACTTTTAGAAAGTTACAATCTAGTCTTCTTTTAATTTTAAAGCCACATTTTCTTATTTATGATCAGGATATACAGTGAAGGTAAATTTTCAGAGAAAATCTTTTTTTTCCCTAAGCTTAAGGCAAAAAGAGAAGTGGGAATGGCTCCACATTTTGTTTGAACTGTTTCTCCTTTATTTAAAGAAAAAAATTTTAAAAAAATTGTGTTTAACTATGACTGATGCTTGCCTAGGCATTGCATGAAGTCTTTGAGGCCCTTTGGGAAACATGCAACAAAGCACATCTTTTCTCTTCAAGGTCCTGTTCTCGAAACAGTAACAAGGAGATAAAAATGAGATCACTTCAGTGTGTGCTGCACTCGGTGGGGAAGGAAGTCTTACACCAAATTGACTGGTATGGCTTTGGAGGAGACAGTTTGCTATTCTATAAGAAACACATAATAAGAAGTACCTTAAGAGAAGAAAAAAATGCTTTACCTAGAAAACAGACATGTAATGTGACTCTGTGAAGCTCTGGGGAAGCATATTACTACAGTTGTCCTGGAGGTGTGAATCTAAAATGATGTGATTTGTCTTTTTAAAGGAAGGACAGAATGAATCCGGAAACTTGTTAAAAATAATTTCTTGAATTATATTAACAGTGTGTGCTGGCACTTATATTCTGAGAACTAATATAAAACCTCTTATGTACTAGATGCTAAAATATAAATGGTATTGTGACCTGGCCGAGCTGGAGATAAGGGTCATGCATTCATGGGATAAGGCAACTATTGCATTAAATCAATAGCCAAGACCCTGGCAGAAGCCTCTGAAAGATGAGCCATTAACCTTTTGCCTGTGTATCCTTTGTCCTTCCCACTGTTGCTTAGGACACTGTACATTCCTTTCTGCTAAAAGATTTACTTCTGTGCTTCCTACCACATGGAGTAAAGGGACATATGAAAGCTTAAAATTAGAAGTCAAAGGATACCAAGTATCCTCCTGTTTCTGCTGTTCCCCCTCCTCTAATGCTGTATTCCTAATGCAAGAGGTCACTCTACAGACACGTCTGACATGCAATAAAATACCTTTCCTGACTTCAGAAGAAACTTGTCAGAATGTTACCCTGATAAGAACAATTGTATTTTCCCTTATGACTGCAACTGGACAGGGAGATAAAGAAGTGAGTCAATTGTGTGCATCCGGCTGAGAAGTTACCTTCCTGTAAGTTTTACAGAAAGTTTTACAATATTTACAGGTTTTATATGCAAGTCAATTGTTCAATATACACATTATCATTCTTTCTGTAGAACATGAATCAAGGTTTGGAGTGGTGATATTTTAGAAAACATATATGGTGTTACATATATGTTCAATATTACATAATACAATATCTCTCACATAGTAGATTACAAATCCTGCAAACTCCAGAAACCCATTTCAGATCAAGGGCCTGCTGTGGTTCTCTGTGCCATCCTATACCTAGCAAAATACTTTACAATCCATTTAATACATGGGTCAGAAGGGATAAAAGCAAAGAAGGAAGACAGAAGCTATGAATAGAGTGGAAGCAGGAAGGGAGAAAAAAGTTGCTCCTACCAGTGGTTTGTTCTGTGATTTATGGTGTTCTGGCCTATTCCTACCATTTTGTTAAAGAAATGGTTGAGATCATAAAGAAGACAGGCTATAATGCAATGGTTTTACATTTGCAAGAGACTGAAAAAGAGCAGTAACACAGATAGTGATTTGAAGGAGTGGATTTTTATTTTTGGCATCTTGATATATTTCAGAGAAGGATTTTCTTTAAAGGAAGGTGTGAGAAATCCTGAAAAGGAACATTACGGAATGACCTATGTCCAGAAGTGGTTAGACAACATATTTTTTATCTGTCCTTTAAAAGCCAAGTGAAATAATTTGATAATTTCAGTATTTCTTGAAAATATATGCATGTAATAAGCAGCATGTTTTTTTAACATTCTTCTTTGTAAAGGATTTTCAGTGCATCGTGTAACAGAATTGGATTTTTTTCAAGTTGGGATCTCAATATATACTCCTAAATAAAATGTTTATATGGTTGAATCAGGGGTGTTTTTAATTTCCATTGACAAGACAGGTGAAAGAAAACCAAAGCAGCAAATTGGACTTTGGGGATTGGATCTGTGTGCAACAACTGAATACAAGAAGGCACAGTAGTGTGATTTGATGTTACTATTATGGTTTGGTACAAAATGTTGAGGTTTACTTTTCCTGAAAGTTTCTCAGTCTTTGAGTAACTAAAAGTCATGTTTTATCTTTCTAAAATAATTACCATTTAATATTAAACTCCAGAGTATGGATGAAATTACAAGTCCAGAAAGTCTTCTGCTGAAGAGAAAGGAAGTCACTGAACAGAGCAATATTAAATCTGAAACTCTGTGGTACAATAATAGAAGAGAGAGTAATGCTGACAGGTACAGTGCTTTTGCATGGTCTACAAACAAAGTGAAGCAGCAGCAAAAGGCAGACAAGAGCTGGTTTTACATGATGCATGAGCTTCTTGTTGGCACCGAGCTTGTAGCTGTGAGAAAATTTTCAGTTTCCTATCAGTCTGTCATTTTACGAGAGTAAATGTCCTAGAGCTCCCCAGAAGCTCAAACAAAGTACTGGTCTCCTTGGAAGATTGTGTCTGTTTTGTTTGTTTAACACATAGCTCCATTTTAATCAGCCCCATTATTTGACCTTGCCCACAACTAACATTTGTCATCAGGCCCTAACTTTGGACACACAAAGCATCTTCCAGGAAAGATGCTACTAATTGATGTCATCCTGCAGGCACTTCGTCTGAACACAGGTCTGGCCCATGTAAATATTTACAAGTAGTACTCCTATGAATGTTAAAAGGAAAGCCTTGTGATCACTTAATAAACCTTGTGAAAGAAGTGGTGGGTGGTGATAGGAAAATAGGTTAGTTTGCCAAATTTCCAGCCATATTATCACATGATTTGACTGCATTCCTGTCCATACCAAACAGTATTGTTGGCTCCCAGGCTTTAACCTATTTAACATATAAAATTATATTTCTTTGAAAGTGCTTGCCAGCCTACTCTAATTACAGTGTATTAAGACTATAGGCTAGAAATGGCGTGTTGATGGTATGATATTATAAAGCAGTCAAGCTTTAAAACCAGAGCTGGATACTCACAGGAGCTTTATTGCCTTTTCAGCTCCAGTGATTTTGGTTAACTTTTATATTACAAAAAGTAAAGGTTTAAGTTAAAACTGAGGCAAAGCCTGCTAATGCTAATCAGAAGCAAAAAAAGTCAGGTCACTCTATCTTGTCCTTACTCAAAGACCCAATTCTGAGCCTCTTTTTTTTTTTTCATTCCAGAAGGAGTGAGTCGAGCACATTATGAAATCCATGCCTTTCTAATTTGCCCTGCAATACTCAAGATGTTGCTGTTGACTGCAGCCATGTTGTCAAAGGAACCCTGAAAACATTCAGTTAATACAGATATTGTCGGTTGTTTATAGTTAATGCAGATATTTAAGGCTGGTACTTGCACAGGATACTGCTTGATGCTGTCCTGATGAAACCTAGGGATTCAAAAGAGCTTCCAGGATGGCAGCAATATAGCTGATACATCTTTCCAAAAATACTAATTTCTCCTTTGATTTTCCTGTCTCTGTGCTTCATTTTCATATTATTATATCTTTTGTGCCAAGGGTTTTGTTTGGGGTTGGGGGGGTGATGGTTTTATTTAATCATTCTCATATTTCTACGACATTCAAAATAATACAATCAAGCTCATAGAATGTGTGTCTTCTAAAATTACTTTTAGAAGTAATTTCCCAGAATGTCACTGCAGCAATTGTTCTTGATGGAATGTTCATGGGATATCTTTTGCTTTCCTAAATTTCATTCTAGAAAAAAACAGGTCTGCCACTGGAGGATACCAAACAAGTCAGGATTGAATTTCTATAGGACGTGAGAGTCTTCTGTAATGAAGTACGAGACAAATGAAGTCAATGTAACTTGATGGTGAAAGGTGTTTGTTTTATATAGTAGAATGGTGACTCAGTAGTTCATTAGTACTGGTCATTAATTGCATACAAAATAGTTGGTTCCTGTTACCATGAAAATAGAATGCCACATTTATGAGAACGCAATTATATAGAGCATAATAAATTAACACGTCACAGTCGGACGAGCAGTGATTTTGCAGAAAGGCTTGTTCAAAATAATTTGGCAGATGGTTCACATGAACTGCTTTAGCTCACACACTTACAGACAAGAATGGTCTTCCATAGCAGTAGCTTTGATAAGTAAAAAACTACTTGTAATCCATTATGCTGAGTAACTTATAACTTCCTACAAATCATTTTCTATAGATTCTGCTCCCTGGCTTTCCAGAATGGCTGTGCAATCCCACACATATTAACAATTAACAGTATTTCAATTTCAGTTTCTGAAAAAAATATTTGTTTAAAAATGCATACTTCTGCTGTGCACAGAATCTGCATCACTGCTATCCCAGAATGTCACCTTTGATCCTAGTGAGAAAAATGACTGTCCATACTCTGAAATGGCAGGCATTTTAGCAAAGCTTGACTGAAAGCAGAAGTGCCATCCAAGTGTGAAGTGGAGATCTTTGGTAAGGTATTAATTAATCCTGACTCAACGATATATATGTGCTTAATGTCATTCAGGTAAACATTAAACTATTTAGTTTTTTAGTATGTCCTGAGGACTTTCATATTTCTACTTGAACTAAATGGTTACTTCAGTAATTTTTCAGTCTCAGATCAGAGAATATAAAAGGCAATCCCACCATATTTGAAAAATTAAAGTGTTTAGCTAGTAGTTTTCTGCCATGACTTCATCTGTGATTTCTGCTTTTTGGGAGGTGATTTCAACCAGTATGTAAAACTGATGAATTCATGACACCTACTTGGTCTGTTTTTTCTCTATTCCTTGAACCATGGAAAAGGTAAAAATTAAAACAGAAATTTCCATTTCAAATAGAGACATTTTAACAGAGTAATCAGTCAGTTTCCCAGGAAGTGGAGTAACTACGTTTAGAATGTGCTCTGAAGGGCCAAAACTGCTGCTGGGTGACCCAAATCCAAATCCTGGGAAAGGAGAGCTAAGGCACTCAACACTAGCTGATCCTCATCCCATAGAAATTGGCACAACGAATTAGACCTGCAGGTGTGCAGTTGTTCATTGAAGAAGTAGCAGATTTATTAACTTTTTAAATTGCTGCCTTGGCTTAAATCTAATGGAAATTGGATTCTTCTCTGATGACGTCTGTATCCAAAAAGTTTTTATATTTTGGGGGATTTTACTCTTAATGGGGAAAAATAGCTGTGGATGTTAGGGTGTGTCTTTCATTCAGTAAGAGTACAATTGTAGAAAGTGCAATGATGAAATTTACTCAGCAATAGTAAGAAATAAAGGATATTTGTTCAGGCATCATGCTGTCTTGTGTGTGTGTGTGAATCATGACTCAGATTCTAGGTGGTTTGAATTGCCTTATATAATGGCTGGATTATGTATTATGGTCTCTATTGACCATAGAGAGAGCTTTTGGGGATCAGATTCTTAGTATTATGTACTATGTATTACAGATTCTAGGTGGTTTGAATTACCTTATATAATGGCTGGATTATGTATTATGGTCTCTATTGACCATAGAGAGAGCTTTTGGGGATCAGATTCTTAGGCAATTCATTTGTGTAGAACAAAAAAACCCCACAAAGTTTACTCTTCTGCTCACAGTGTCATTCCAGATAGGTAGGGTGGTCATCTTCTGCACCACCAGATTCCTGCTGGGTCTCCCACTGGCTCTGCTACTACAGATCTGCACATGCTCCCTTTCTGCAGAAGGAGTTGCTCTCCCACCTCTTTGCTGGAGGAACTGCTGCTGTAAGATTGACTTTTAACCCAGGTGGCATGTGGTAATTAATTAACAGAGTTTTCTATTGTTGGAATATTCCCCCTCTATGTAGGTAAAGGAGAATGAGATGTCAAACATACACCTTCCACAAGAGAAAATCCAATGGTCATCTGATGATGCATTGGAACCACTACAGTGCTAGATGTGTATTTACATGGATGTTCTAGACACATACTGACATTTTTAGGGCTATGTGGTGAAACAGAGTTATTTTCCTATTTATTTTCCTTCTATTATTTCTTTTTCAAAAATATAAGCATCTGCAAACAGACATAAACACTAAAGTAACAAAACGTCACAAAGCTTTGAAAAAAGACAAATGTGGTTGCATATTCTATTCCCCCCCCCCCACTTCATTTTTTGCATCCATTTTTATTCCATAAAAGCAGAAACAAGTGCTGAATGTATGCTGTGGAGTAAAGCAGCCTGAAGGCATTTCTATAAACCCATCCCCTTACTGTTCATTGCACTGAGAAGAAAAACAGAAAGATGAGATTTCCCAATGAAAGCAAAACAAGAGGCAGAAATATAATCTCATCTTTTCTCAGGAAGCAGGCAAATCTCCTGCACTATCCACTAGTCCTGGAATTAATCAGCTTCTGAATAATACATTTGGACTGCTTGGTGAGATGATTCTGAGTTAGAAAGTCCCTAAGAAGACTCTCTGCAAGTGGATGAAGGAAAGAAAAGAAGATATGGGGCACGCTATACAACAGTTCAAGGCTCTGTTTTGGAAAAATTGGCTCTGCCGTGTGAGGCAACCGGTGAGTGTTTGGAAATTATTAAAAAAAGAATATTTTAATGTTTTTTAGTATCTGGGAATATTAGTATTCGTATTTAGTATTGAAAAGAGTGTGTCTATCGATTTTCCCTTTTCACTGCAGATTGTTAAGGACAGGCTGGCTGCAAGTGGTTCTTGTTTTGCCTTTTGTCGCCTAATTGTTGAAAACACAAGTAGAGAATGTGTTCAGTTCTAAAATGGCTGAATACAGCAATGCTCCCCAATTTGAAAATGAGACAAGTGTCATAAAAGTTTTGAAGAGCCACTGCTTATCTTTTAATTAACATGAGATCCTAGCAGTACTGGTAAGTAGTGTCGAGGGAGAAAAATCAATTTTCTACACATTATAGGTGCTTATAGGCAATGTAAGAAAGCTTGCATGACTGTGATCAAAGTCTAGATACAGGGAATGTATTGTGTATTAAAATGGTATAAACTTCTTAATTTCCTTTCTTATCTGCTCTCCAAAGCCTAATTTAACCTTTCAAATTCCAATATGCAAAATAATGTGGCAGCTACTTCAACAGAAGTCAAAATCAAAATGATGAAAATTAGATATGTCTTTTACCTTTACTGTGATGGAAACAATTTTTTAGGATAGAAGGAAGTGAATTTTCTCAAGTGAGAGAACATTTTTGTGGGGAAAAAAGGTCACTTCAATTAATAGTTTCACACAGATTTCATTTGTCTATAATGATCTGGGGATGTACAGTGAAGCATGTTGGCTGCTTTGGATAGGATTATTTCAATTAAATAAACAAACACACAGCTTTCAGTTTCAGAACTATTTAGCCTCAATAAAATAGTGATTTAGAGAGGAATTTTTTCCCCAAAGTAATGAAACTGATGTTTTCTAATATAAAATATACTTTTGGGGGGAAGGATGCTGTTGGTCATATTCTTTTCCATGCATGAACAGTTTTATATGTTCAATTGGTGTGCATCAAGTGGCTTCTCTGTATCTCCTGTTTTCCTGCATGAGGATTTATTTCTCCTCTTGTTTTGTGTAGTGTTCCCTCATATATTTCTGAAGGAAAAGAAAAATCTTAATTCATGTAAGTGGTAAAATTGCCAAACTGGTAGATTTCCTGAATAGAGAACTCACTTCTCCAAGCCGGGAATTACAAGGGTGATCCAAAGCAAACTTCGTTCTGTCTGTTGAGAGGCAGAAGCTGCCCTGAGGAACTTGCGAAACCTCCTTGTGTGCTGTTGTGCAAACACTGAGCTGTGAAGGTGCTCCATCTACAGTATGGGAGGAGAAATCCAGGTGGATCGTCCACCTATGCAGAGGTGGTCAGACCCTTGTGAATCTGAAGAGAGAAGCACCTCCTGAAAGATCTGATGTGTGTCAGCTCTGTTCCATATGATGTAGATCTGTCTGTGTAAGACAATTTTCTCCTCATGGCTACTTATCAGCAGTTAGGGCTGGAAGACAAGTGAGGGCTGTTGAACTAGCAAAGTGTCCTGAGTGCCATGTGACATTAGTCGATATTACACTGTGTAGGGTGAAGGAGTTGTGACAGATGTAAGAGTTCTGTAAAGAACAGGTCTTGGGACTGAAATTCAGGTTGGCGTCATCACCTTCTATCAAAATGATTCAAAGGCACGACAGGTTCTTTTGTACGTTTTGACTGGCTGGAGTTTGAAATTGAAGTTGTGCCAAAGACGCATTCTCATTTCTGTTTTCAGAAGCTTTTACTTCAGAACTACAGCTTCTAGGAGCTCAGGAGATACACACTACCAGGCTACTTTAGTTTTACATCACTGCATTTCTTAACTATAGTTTAAACAATGTTTATTCCATCCAGATTTGTAGCTAGGTAAAGGAGGAAATGTGATTCCCAAATTCTGATGCCCTAATTTAGAGGACAATTGGAATTAAAATTGGCTGGCTCCTAAATCTCTCTCAAAACTCACCATTCCTCCCAGGTCCATCTCCCCAGAATTTAATGAGTTCTCATGCTCCAGTTCCCCTCAGTGCCTGGGCAAAGAGGCTGTGCAAAGACTGCAATCCTGCAAATACTCTTTCCTTGCAATCTTCTGTGGGCACTTTTCCTATTTGAACACAAGTAAGCCTTATACAGCAGCCTTACTTTCCCATATTTACAACAGATAACTAACTTGTAAGTTTTGCATGCTTAATGCCTACAGCATGCTGGTGGTTTATTGTGTCCTCCAGCCTGTTGTTTCGTCTGCAGCTGTCTTCTCAGTTCTTATCCAAAATTCCCATCAGCAGGAGCAGCAGTCCCTATCCAAGCAGCACCCTCCTCCCATGGACTATGCCAGAGATGGCAGGGCTGTGTCTGACCCTGACTGCAGCCTGGCTTTAGCCCTGGCTCAGCTGGAGCTCCGGGTTCCCAGCACAGCGTTGCCTTGCCGGGCCACTGCCGGGCAGCCCTTCCTGGCGCGGGCCCTGCTGCCCTGGCCCCGCCTGGCTCCTGCCCTTCAGGAGCAGCTGGCTCCTGCTGTGGCCTGAGGTGGCACCAGGGAGCCCAGCCTGCAGCTGTCCACGGCCTTCTCCTATAAACGCCTCGAGCTCTGTTCTCCCACCTTGCGCCTGAACTTCTTGTGAGACCTTCCCCCAGGCACTGCCTTTGGGCTCTTATGGTGGTGTGTGTGCCCCCAGGGACAGCTGGACCTTTTCCAGGCCCTGCTGGGCAGCCTGGTGACATCCTCTCCCAAGTCTATTTTGCAGTGCCCCTTCCCTCAGCTGCTGCAGCTGGCTCCATTCCTACAGAGAGCCCACGGATACTCTACAGCAATGGCTCTGCTCCACAGCAAGGCCCTCCATCTGACCCCAGACAGGAGGAATGGGAATGAATATACCAAGGAGAGGAGGATGCTGTCAGGGTTCTGGGCCTCTGCTAAGCTTAATGTCTCTGAGCAGCCCAAACCAAAATTGGGCTTCTGTGCCCTGCTGCCTGGGAGAAATCCAAGTGACACTGCACTCTGCCTCAGCCCTTGTGCTTTGCAACTGTTTGGCTTGACCTGCTGGGACATTGACTGAGGATCTGGATTCCTGGTTGAGGCTGGCTGTGATAGCAGGCCTTGCCCTGCTTCCCTTCTGGGGTCTCTGGATGGGTCCCCTGACCTGCTGGGTGGCACAGATCCCTGCACCCTGTTACACACAGATCCCTGCACCCTGGGGAGCAGCCAGCCCTTGCTGATCCCTAAAAGATTGAAATCACCATCCTCACTTTTATTAGGTTGGCTCCTGTATTGTTTTGAGTGTGATCAGTTTAGATAAATGGTGATTTCCCTAAATTTCAGGAAACCTTTAGCTGTCTCATGTCCAGCACAGATGTCCTTCTCCACAGGGAAGACTCTGCCATTGGATTTTGGTCTTAAGCATTTTGTTATGCTTTTTAGGCATTTTTATGACATGCCCAAGTTTACGTTCATGATGGGATTTGGTTAAACTCTGACAGTTTAGAAATAAAATTCCCTGTATGCTCCAGAGAAGTTAACAGCCTCTAATGGGAGGTCTTCAGTATGGCTGTTATTTCTACTGTGTTTCTGTCCCTATTCACCCTTTCCTAATGCTGTTATCAGTGAATCTAGAAGTCTTTTGAAACTTGCCTGAATGACTATTTCTTCCTTTTTGCTGCAGCAAACTGACACAATTGCTTTTCTTTGTGGTTTTTTTTCTTCCTTCCAATCCATTTGGGAGTTTGCCTCTCTGCAGAGGCATGAATGTGCACTTTGTATGTGCGATCTGCTCAGAGAAGACACTCAAAATCTGAGTTCTGTGGCACATTGGCTTGTGTGCCTTGTCATTGTGGCCCTGGAAATGGGAACACTGGGATATGAGAAGTGTGGCTGTGGGCAGCCTCAGGCCTGTTAGCTTGGTCTCACTTGTCTTCCCTGCTGAAGATGATGAGGGTGGCATTTGAGCGCAGGTGATAGAAAGGGTGTAATGGCTGCAGCCAGGGAGTCAGGGAAGGACAAGAAGCTGTGCTACCAGGAGGGGCTCAGGGGAGCAAGAACTGCATCAAGGTGCAGAATGCTGCTGGCTTCTTAGGAGGCTCAGGTATAGGAAAGCTGAAGGTCACTGTCATCACTTTGCCAGAGTCTCCATCTTGACCTCAGGAAAGTATCTACAAACACTATAAAAAACTACTTTTCTGTTCTGAAAAAGTGCCTTTCACAAAGTTATAAGGATTTCAAATAGAAGTGTCAGTTGTTAGTTTGCTTTAATGGTCTTGTTTTTTCTTAAATAGTTGTAGAGAAATACTTTTTATTTTAAAGTAAAAAATAATAAATAAATAAATAAATAAATAAAAAATAAATACTTTTTATTTTAAAGTAAAATACATGAATTTTGATAATTTTCCCCCAAACTCTATGTTCTATAGACTGATGTTCTGATTTCCTTTTTCAGGTCTTCTCTCTCACTGAAATACTGTGGCCATGTGTACTTTTCTTGATTCTAGCTGCCATTCGCTTCCAGGAGCCCCCAAAATACAAGGAAAACTGTATGTTTTGTTTCACTAGTGCTCTATTTTGGTTGCCTCTACTTGTAGAAGTATTTAGTAAACACTAAAGACATCCTAGAAGGGGGAACTTAAATGTAGTGGAGTCAATAGAAAGAGTCCTACAGTGGGATTCAATTTTGTCCAGCTAAAGATCTGAGGAAGCTGTTATTTATGTGGGAAAGAGATGCAAAGTTTAAGATCTGATTGGTAAGACAATTTTTAAACATCAGCTTTGGAGTAAGGGAGATTATTTGGGTTTTTGTTGTATTTATTGCTTTCTGTTGAGTATTGGAGTTTAGATGACTGCCTCAGAGGTGGTTATTTTCAATTAGACAAGATGAACCTTACCCCTACTCACTTCCTGGAATTGAGAATTAATATTTTGTTAAATTCTTTGATTTCCTTTAGCGCTTAAAAACTTGTTATGACTCCCTCCACCTTATAAAGCTAATTTTGCTTTTATCTTTTATATATATATAAAAGTAACTTCATTTAGAAAATAATTATTTTTGATATTATAATCTATTCAGTTTATTATTCTGTTATTCACCAATGCCAGTAAAACAGGGATGAACCAGCTTTAGCTACATTAAAAATCAATTTGGTAAAACAATTCTAGATCTGTAGAGTGAACTATCTGGAGAGAATGTAGCCTGCATAAATATAACTATATATTTACTTTATGGAGAGTTGTGGATAATTCCAGAGATATGGAAAAGTGTCTTTTTAGACAGTCTTGATTGATGCATGTTCAGATATTGCTGAACACCAGATCCTTCATTTTTTGTACCACTGCACAAAGGTTGCATGATTTTGGGCAAAAGGGCCAGCAACCACAGGATACTGCAATAATGTTAATACCAGGAAAACCAGCTTTTCAAAGATTGCTCTCAAATGTCACATGTATCTTGTTGTCACAATCTGAGACAGAGGCTACTCATTTTCTGTGATGACTGAGTTTTTCTTAAATGAGACACCTGAGATTGATGCAACTTCATTGCTTGCAGGTGACAAAGAGGCTTTTTAGGGCAAGGAAACACAGTGTGATGGTGCAGTTTGCAAATGCAATGTTACTGGTCTTATTTCTGCTGCTGCTTGGTTTTAGGTTACTTAGAAGCTCGTGATTTACCAAGTCGGGGCCTTTATCCTTTCATGCGGACCGTTTTCTGTAACATTGGTTCAAGATGCAGGAATGCCAGTTCCACAGCACAGAGACACAGCCGCTTTAGGTGAGTCATGTGAGTTTGACAGAGCTCTCACCATCACAGTGCATCTTTTTTTACAGAAAAGGTTCTTGCTGTCTTGTAGACAGGAAAAATAGGAGCAATGTTATTATTCTGTGCTAAAAATTTCCTTCAGTGTTCTTCTGGTTGCAAAAGATGTAAGACCTAAGGCCTTATTTGTACTTCTTGCTAATTTTTGTTTACATTTCTTGGACATTTCATGCTGGTTTTAGATACTGAATGCTCTTTGGGGGCAAAATTATAGTGGTACCTTGTCATATTCTTTCCCTTTTGCTGCTACCATGTGAGAGCATGTTTTTATCTCTTACTAGAGAGTCTTTTATTACATGAGAGTGAAGCTGAGCACCAAAGTTATATGTGGATTTAAACTTTGAATAGTCTGGGAGCATACATGGTAGGAGAAGCGAACCCAAAAAGCAAAACAAAAATAACTTTCATATAAGACCCATAAAGAGCCTACAAGGAATAGCAAAAATTCGCTAATAAGAAAGAACTTGGAAGAAATTACCCATAGGAAGACCTTGTCACAGGATCCTAGAATGCTGAAAGAAAAAGTATTGATTTGAAGTTGGATTTTTTCTTTAAGAAATAAAGTAATTTCATCTACTCCAAAAATGCTTGAGATGCAGACACTAATGCAAACTGGCTGAATGGTATAGTCATAAACAGCCTTTCAAAATATATAGAAACAAAGTCAAATTAGGGTCAACTAATCAGAATATATAAATTTATATTTGTATATTTATTCCTAGAAAAATGGTAATATCTACCAAATGATCTTTGAGGGCTGCGCCAGGTATATCAGAGCATCAAATATTTATGTTTATTATTGTAGAGGTTTATAGGTAGCAATAAATTCAGCATACAGCAAGTTGGAAAGCTTCAGTATCACAGTAATAGGCCATAATACTTATCTATTGATCTAGATGTCTGCTTCAGTTATTTGTAGATATAGAGAACTGTTGATTGAACATTAGACCATACAAAATAAACCTTGTTTATGGGCAAACACATTCTACATAAAGTAGAATTTGTTACTAGAATTGAATTCTTAACAATTTAAGCCACTATTAGTCAAGATGCATTATTACACAAGATACTTATAGACAAAAATACTCCTATTAAAATTCTTTTCTGCCTCCTCCCCCTCCCACTAATACAGTAAAAATTGTTGCATGACCACTGAGTTTCCAGTACTTTCTCTGGGTTTATGCACACCTTTCCACTGCTGCTCTTCATCATGTAAACAGCTGCAGATGGATGGAGATGGGGTTGTTATGGCAAGTCATGGTATACAGTACTTTACCTGGAGGAATGTGGTGTTGATGGCTCCTTTTTTTCACTTGAGGATGCACTTGGGATCACTTGTGTTTGCTAATATGCTTTTATACTTTGCTTGTTTCCATTGGTCTGCAGCTCTGGGATACATTCAAATTTATGTAGTACACCTGAATATATACGGCATCTTTTACACATGTTAGCTACCTGCTATTTTTTTCTTGATACTTAGAAATTGACTTTGTCCAGCTACAGTTCTGAATTTTAACTAAACACTGGTGACATTTTTCTAGCCCTCAGTGCCAGCCTCTGCCCCACCTCTTATCCCAGATGCTCCAGTACAGTTCATCTCTTCCTCACCTCTCACAGCCTCACCTATTATACTGGGCCCGTGTTCTTCTGCACTGCTTTGTTAGCCATAAATATCTCATCTTGCACTGAATGGTTATTTGCTGCTTCTATCTGTATAAAACAATGATGGTGTTATGCAAGGACAAGTGAAAATACAGTAAATAGCCAGAGCTGTCTGGCCAGGAAAATTAAAAAAGGTAAAGCAAACCCAAGTCAAAATGAAAACAAGACAAGTTTGGGCAAACCAAAGATGGCAAGCCCCTGTGCTGTGGTCTTTCAAACTCAGTACAAAGCCTGTAGCCTCTTACTTGCAGTAGCAATTCTATATTACTGGGTTAAAGAGTTACCCTAACTCTAGCCTTTTAAAAAATTGTTCCCTAAAGGTATAGTTTTTATTTACATCACTGGTTCAGATGCCATCTAAATGTGTTGAATCTCTACAAACTATGAACTATATTGACTGCTCTGCATGATTATTTACACTGTTTTGGCTGAACTGCCCAAATTATGTTCCAGCTCAATAGAAAATCAGGAAAGAATTTCCTCGAGGCAGTCTTAGACCTACTTAAGAATTGGGGTAATTATTCAGTGGCTTTCAATTATTCAACTGAAAAATAAAATGTATGCATGTATCCATATTTAGGCACTCAGTAGGCTGCAGTGAGTAGCATATCGCCTAGGTAAGGAAAAACACTAAAAAGGTATGATGAAGTTCATTCTGAGGTCAGCCTGTTCCACCAGGTCCATCAGTATAAATTAAATCAGCCTCAGGGCTGCTCTGACTTATGCTGGCTGCCAACAGCCTAGGAATATAGACTGTCAGTTTGAGCAGTCAAACATAACTGAATCCAGTCCCTGCTGACTAGAGAGATGGGGTGTCATGGGAACAGTAATACCAATTATCTTCCCTTCAAGAATTTATATCAAGCCATAAGTCTGATAAAGGAACAGTTTTTTGTCAATAATATTGCGTTTATTAAAAGTGAGTCAGAGACTGCATAGTTTGCATGGACATGGCCATTTTTTTTCACAGTATGTAACACTTTGATGCTATCACTTTGAAATGTAGTAGTTGTCTTTGGGAAGAAGTAGTTTTATGACTACTGTTGGAATATTCATGGGATCAAAAAACTACCAATAACTATTTGTCAGGGAGCAGCACCCCTCATGATGGGGCTTGAGCCAAGGGTGAAGTTATCCTGGTGCAGTCTGTGCCCTCACAGATGTGTCCCTGTCCCTTCAGGCAACAGCCTGTGGTGTGGTGAGAAGATGAGCCAGGTGAAGCCTACAACCACTTTAACTTTGATTTGTAGCAGGATCTGCCCCCTCCTCTGATGCCTTGGAAAGCATCCAATTGCAAGAGCTCTGCGGCTTTGCTCTTTGCTTCTCTTTTCAGCCACTGCAAAAGCTGCTGGCTGGCAGCTCACTGATATGATTCCCTAGCCTGATACACCCACTGGTATCTCAGAGCAAAGGAAAAAGGAAATATTCAGGAGCTTCCATGGCAAAGGACTTTTTTCCCTGCTCTTTCCAAATGTTCCACTCACCACCTCATCTTAGTGCAGCGTAAAACTGAGAGCATGAAAATAAGATAAAAACCACATAGCCCAGGGGTCCTGTGGCTTTACAGCCATGCAGGTGCATGGAAACATCGTAATTTCCCAGTACTCTGGATTCCCTGGCAAATCTTGCAGAACACGGTGGGATTTGCCCTTGCAGTCTAGACTCCTCGATCTATATTAGTTAATCTTCTCAATACCTAAAAGAAATTAAAGCTAATCTCAGACTTAGAACTGCAAATATCATTAAAGCAAGACTCTAGAATGTTATTTCTAAGCACATTCAGTTATTTCTCTTTGTTTTGCTACGAGTGGTAGAAGCCTCACCCGGTAGATGTGGTAGAAGCCCAGGTCTGTCACTTTTGCTGAATGTGCCACTCATACCTACATGGTAGCTCTGTCTCCTTTTGCACCTGACTGGGCTCCTGGCCTCCCTGCCTTGTTGGGGCTGTCTCTGGAGCCTGTAACACACCCCTGTGTCTGCCTGCAGGCTGGAGTCCGGAGGGACAGTGTCTCATTGATGAGGCCATGGACTCTTCCAGGGTTGCCCAGTTTGTAGCTTGGCCCCCTCCTGGAGCAGCTCTGCTCATCTTCTCACTGTTCTAAACTTTTTGCTTTATCAATACCTGGCCTGGGTTCTCCAGTGGAGGAGCATCAGAAGAGCTCACGCACCACAGCAGGTGTGAAAGAATAAAATCAAGGAAGGTCAAAGCATCAGCAAAAATCTTTGTGTAAGAATTGCTTAAAGGGTCAGATTTTTCTTTAATGACATATATCTTCAAATGAGAAATAGTTCTTCCAGATAGCTTATGGGTGCAGCAACTTTCTGCAGTATTAACTCTGCAACTTTTGTAGTTGCAGGCCGTGTAGCTGAAAAACAGAAGCAGTTTTTGTGACCTTGCTTATAGATTGCCAGAGTGAGGAGAAAAGGAAATTTAAACATGGGTTTTCTTAATTTTAGAGCAAATTAAGACAAATATATTTTTTCAGTTTGTTATAAATTTGTAGTCCATTACATTTTAGGAAGGTTATAATTGTATCAACATGGAAGAGAAAGATCTTTCTGTGAGAGACACACAGTATGTTGTTGTCCAGCATGGGTATTGGTATTGGCTTATAATACCGATATAGTGCAGAACGGAAGCCAGCTGGGGCTTTGCAATTTTAGAGAGAAATTATTAATGTGGCGTCAGGGGTGAGGTTGAGACGAGTTTCCTGAGATGCTTATGAAAATCATGAGTCTAAAAGGCATTTCACATCATGGCTGAGTTCTCAGATGAACTCTGAAATGTTGTTATTGTTATCCTGAGTAACTGAGTACTTTGGACAGAATGAATGTCATTTCCTAAAGCCATGACTTTAGAAAATGACAATTGCTTTTACATGTTCAAAGAGATGCAATCTTTTTGCAATACTTTGTCACAATCAAAGCTTGTACCAATGTATGTCTATAGTTTGATTTCTGTTCTCATGAACTTTGTGGAAATCTACTGTTGAGGGAAGAGCTACCATGGATGATAATGAAATTTTATATGCACATTACCCAACCTCTTCTTCTAACACCCTAATTCTAATTATGTATGTCCTCTCCTACAAATTTCTGGCTTCCTCCTTTTGTCCTTTTTATTAGCCCTTGCTTCCCCTCTTTACTGTTCTTAGCAACTGCTGCTAGGAATTTCCTTGGAACAGCTGCTGGACTTCCTTTACACATTCTCACACAAATGAGTTAATGCTGCCTTCTGCTTCAGAAAATACACTTTGAAGGCTCTTTGGGAGAGTAGCAGTACAGCAATTAAGTACTTTTACTGGCACACTAGCTGAAAATTGTTTGCTTTGACTGTCTCTGCAGCTGGTTTTGAAGAGTAGTTTCTTATATTTCTGGCAAGATGGTGACATCTTCCTGTATTTTTCTGTTACCTGTGCTGAATTAAGAGATCAGCAGTAACTTGTAGTACTCTTATTAGGAGCCAAATGTAGTCCTCTGTTACCATGTTGAAAATATATAAAATCGTTTAATCTCAGCATAGATATTCAGCAAATAAGGCCTCTGTAATAATAAAATGTATTTCATAAAACTGAGCCTGATAACTAATGTCATGCCTGCTGCCACTTCCCCTTCAAAAAGAGGCTGTGCTCAGATCCAAGAACAGCGAGAGGCAGGTCTGTGGCAATGATGGCAAAAAAAGGTCACAAATGACAGCTAACTGACATGGCTGCTGACCTGGAAATCCCCACAAAGCTAATTGCTCTCACAGCTCACAGCCGGCACGTCCAAACAGCTGCTCTTGGACTGCTGAGAGGCTTGTGCTTAAGAAGCTGGCATTTCTTTGGGTCTTTCAGATTGAAATGTGACTTCTCTTCTGTAACAGCTGGGCCTTATGCCTTGGATTTGCTCTTTTTGCCATGCCCTAAATATCTACATCCCCCTAAATTTTCTCAGCTCCCTCTCCACTTTTACCATCAACATCGTTTCCCTGCACTTTGCGCTGTAGCTCTTCAGAGCTGTTGGAATCTGTGGTATTGATGATTCCGAGATTGTAGAAAGTCTCTGTCTTTCTGCCCCGTTGCCAAAAAAGAAGCCATAATTTGTCTGTACTGTTTTCAAGGTTGTTTATTCTTGCTTATCTATAACATGTTCTGCTGCCCTGCCGCAGGTCTGTCCTGCAGGGCAGCGTGTGGGGCTCTGCCCCCAGTGGGATGTTACAAACATTATATACCAGAAACTACATGTGCTATATTTACAATAACATGCCAATATCTATCATCTACGTTGAACAGTGTGTCCCCAGCCTAAACCAATAGAAAAATGCCAACACTACAGTGAAACATGGAGGGCATGAAGAAGGAGAAAAAGGACAAGACACACCCAATTTCCTCCATCTTGTCCCCTCTGAACCCCTAATCTAGAAACCTAAAATTTTACTTTTGCACTAGTGTCATACTTAATTATTACTCATATCATCACTCAGAGCTTGTAATTCATCCTGTAAGATTGAAAACTCTTTTCCATGGACAGAGATCAGAGACAGTGTCTCTCGGGGCTCTGTACAGGGGGGTTCCTGACCCCCTGCCAAGGTCCCAGGCCCTCCAGGGCAGCCAGAGGGAAGCTCTGGATTCCCACACAGAGCCACCATGCTCCAAATGCTGTCTGCTGTTTTCTTTAATGTTTCTAGTCTGTATCTTCTCAGTCTCCTTTCCCCAGCCCCGTGTGCTCTGTGGGACCTCACAAGGCAGCAGCTTCTATCCTTAGTCCTCCAGCCTAGGAGCAGTGAAAGGACAGTCCAGCTGAGTGTGCTGTCAGATCAGCCTGTATTATCTAATATGCTTCTGCTGTTCATCAAACAAGTGGCTAAAGCACATAAAATTAGATGCCAAGAGGATGATTGTTGGTGTTTCCTTGCTGTTTATCAACCCAAGCTTTGCAGATCCAAGGTGCGGAAGAGTTGGTGATGGGGATAGAGTGGAAAGAATTACTGATTCGTCTGTCACTGCTATCTGTACCCCTGCTGCTGGCAGAAGGCCAGACAGCCCCAGCAGCCACTGGAGACAGGACTGAGTCCTGCTGTGTGCTCCTATGTGATTAAGGCCTTTTTTCCCAGTGCATTGTTGTTTGCAATGGTTCTAAAACCAGGAGGTTTATAGCCGGAGATGCAAGGCTTGGATCTAGTTTGGAGGGCAAACAATGCAGTCCTCTGAATACTTTTTATTTTAAATGACCTTTCCAGAAGAGTTTAGTGTCAGTTTTAAGTTCAGCAAGTATTGGGAGAAATCCCAACAAAACCCAACACCACCACTCCATCCAAACCCTACAAAAAAACCCCCCACAAAAACCCCAAGGCAACCAAAACCTGTAGAAAATCCCATGGAAACTGAGCTAGAGTTTTGGCTTTTTAATGTTCTGACTGTGGCTACTGTTATTCTGGTGAAGTGTTATTCTGGTTTGACCAGAATAACATGCTTGTTCATGCTCAAAAAGCAGAGTGCTAGGAAGATTTCAGTATGTAGGTAGTGTTTCGGTTCTTTGCCAAACATGAGTATTCTCAGCTGTCTGAAATTTTGGGCAGTGGGAGTTTCAGTAATATTGGAATTTATGAGGTAGTTTTCAAAGGCAATAGCTAAAGTGCAACTTCTAGTCACCCTAAAAGCCACTTTCTGAACAACAGAAAGCTGCTTTTTAAAACTCCATTTAAAAGGGAAAGATATGTGTTGAGGAAATGTCCTGCCTTTAGCCCACTGAAGTATGAGGATGGTGAAAGACTTTTCCAAAATGCTGTCTTTTCTGTTGGCCAAGTCAGAATCAAAATAAGATGTACTGAAACAATTCAGAACTTGATTGTTTTAAGATGAAGTTTTATTTGTTTCCCTTAATCTGAAGTTGCAAACAGCTCTGTGAGTGTCTAACTAAATGAGGGTCAGGGAGGGAGGGAAAGAGAATTAAGAGAATGAGAAAGTGGTGACTGATAGCTTTCTTTGGCTTGTGAATTGATCCTATTAGGCTTTTCTTTCAATAAGTAAAAATTGTGCTGACATCAAGTATTGGCATATAAGCTTGATGGGAAAGGACTGTAACTCTTTATTATGTTTTTGTGAATGGGATGGGACAAGAGGCAATGGGCAGAACTAATACACAAGAATTTGCACCTGAATATGAGGAAGAACTTTACTGTGCATGTGACTGAGCACTGGAACAGGTTGCCCAGAGAGGCTGTGGAGTCTGCCTCACTGGAGGTAGTAAAGAACCATCTGGACACAATGCTGTGCCACGTGCTCTAGGATGACCCTGCTTGAGCAGGGAGGTTGGACCAGATGACCACTGTGGTCCCTTCAACCTGAACCATTCTTTGATTCTGTAACAGTTAATTGTGGTTTTGATTCAAAATAGCAAAGTTTTTGCTAGGCAGGATGTAGATCTTAAGATAATTTGAATGTTCTATTAGATAAAACAGAATTCAACTGCCTAGTAATGTGCTAAATGTAATTATTCCCTTCTTTATGGTGTTTTAGGAGGGTCTAAGTAATTTTGCCCTGTAAAGAGGCATTTAAGTGAGACTGACTTCTGGTTTCATTTAAAAGTATTTTTAGAAAATTGTGCAATTGAGTAGTCACCAGCTAGCAATGTGATAGAGATAACATTTACCAGTGGTACGTCTGCAAGCTAAAATCAGGAAAAAGCCAGCAATAAGAATAAAATACTGCTTTTATACGTTGCTGCATGTATTTGAAAAAAAAACAGTTACCTAGATGCAATAGGAAACCTTGAATTTTCTGATCAAAAAACTGCCACCAGGACACATGATAATCCAGGGGAGAAAAGTTTAGTGTGTTCAAAAATACTAAGGAGTTTTTGGATGTGTCTCTTCTTGGCTGCTGCCAGAATTGGCATAGGTGACCTCAGCAATTGTTCATTGCCCACTTTCCTGAGGTTTTGAGACCCAGTGCTGCAACTTGAATGCTAATGAATTTACCTAAGTAGAAATTGTATAAATACATATTTGTTTAAAAATATTAGACTAGTGCTGTATATACACACTTTTCAGCTACTTGATTTCAGTGTGTTACCTCATCTGTCTCTCTTTTTCCTGTCAAAAAATAGTGCAAGCCCCCAAAGTGGTCCAGAGAGAGCCACTGGACCTGATTTAGACTTCATGGAAGAGATAAAAGAACTTGCAAAGGAATTCATTGATACTACAGAGAAAGCCATGGCCTTAGAAAAGCTATGGGAAGAAAACTCAAGGCTCTCAGGTAAGATGTGATTTTTCTAAAAATTATTTTCTTTTTATATTGGTTAGTTATAGCCATCAAACAAAAGAATAGCTTGGTATTAAAAATGAAATTAGGCAACTAAAATTTTAGCTGATCTAAAAAAAAGCAACTTTTATAATTACCAACACTGTGGCCATCAAAGTTATCAGAGAAAAAAAATTAGCTTTCTAAAATTGTGCCCTTGTATACTTGAGTTACTAAAACACTGAGAGGAAAGCTTAAAAGATAAGGATTAAAATCAGACTACAAGGTTGCTTGGTCTAACGTTCATTTAAAAGTAGATTATGAGGATTTAGCTCTCCCACCCTGTATTTTTCTGTTGTACTAAAGAGTATAGGAATGGAAAACAACAAAAATCTCACACCTGGTGACCTTAGGTGACCTTCAGTCCTGCGCTGAAAGAGTGAGACTGGAAGTAGCAGGGTCTGAGTTTCCTGTTCCATTTCCCCCCACGCTGCACAGCCTTGTTGCTGCACCACTGAGGACCTCCCACTACCTTGTGTCTCTGGCTGAGTTTTCAAGCAGAAAGATTTAGGTGAAATCACAGTTTGCATGCTTGGCTCTCTGGTAGCTAGGACATTCATGTAGTGTTGGTATGAAGATTTTTGCCTCACTTAAAAATTGAACAGTAAGCAATGTCCTTTAAATTGTTTTTGTGATTACAGTAAAAGTATTGGGAAGCACAGAAAATAAAATGGACCACTGTCTTTGGGATATTAGTTGCTTCATATGTCTTTTCTAGAAACATCCTTTGTGCACTGCTTGCTCTTACTTATAATATTGATTTTTCTAAAGCTAATAATGCTTCTCTTTAAAGGAAAATATTTAATTTTACAGGGTTCCATAACATCACCCCTTTTCTTACTGTAAGTATTTTTTACAGTCAATTTCTAGATTACAGTTCTGGGATTTGAGGGTCTTTATTATAATGGTTAGAAATTTGTATCCTGTCAAGGTCAAGCAGACTATCTTAAAAAAAAAAGTGTTTGAAGGAAAAAATGGTGTCTTATAAATTTGATAGATGTTTAATGATTTCTAGATTTCTTATTTAAACCAGTCTTATTTTTTAGTAGCTAAAATCCGCAACAATTTGAAGGATGTTTATTTATTAGGAGCAATTTAAAAGTGCATCTATCAGATGTATTTTTTTCCATATTTGATTGATTGTTACTGCTACTTCATAAAACTTAGATTTCCAGTTTATGACTTGAAATTAGCTGGTAATTTTTAATTGCTCATAAGATCTCATTGATTGAAAGGAGCCATATCAATATGAAATTTCATTTCTTGAATGGGCTATAGAAGAGAAAATATTTTCTTAATGTTGAGAAAAACATTCTAAGTTGACAATAGATGATCATTATTAGAAACAGAGCTTGTACATACACAAGCTTATTTTTGTATAAGGCAGGCTCATGTCACCATTATGCAAAAAAGCCCTAGTGAAATATTAATTTAGAGCAGCAAGGACTGCATTATAAAAAAGTGTGATAAATCCTGTTTTGCAAAGGCATTATATTATGTAGTCCTATGAAAGATGTTGCTTTATCCCAGGCAGATAATCTCAAGAGCCATTCTTATCAGTTATTATTTGAGACACCCTGAAAAGAGCTGTGAGGCAAGGATGGCAAGGCCATCAGGCCTTGATCTTTATACCTTAGACTTAGAAATTCATTATGGGGCTTGAGAACTCAAAGATAATCATTCCCTTGGTTACACCTCTGAGCAGAAAGAGATGTCTTAGCTTTACTTCCAGCTCCATTTCTCCATTGGAACAGAGAGACATATCAGGAACAAAGCTTCCATGAGGTCAAAATACCACCAAAATAATGTGGGATATTGCCAAATCTAGAGGTATGTTTTCAGATTCAGAAAAAATGGTTTAAAATTCAAGAGGCTCAGGGAAATAACAGGCACCTGCTTTTTTTTTTTTTTTTTTTTTCCCTTTTTATTTTTTCTTTTGTTATTGAAAATGTAGCATGTAATTTTTGGGGTTTTTTTTCCACCTAAAGATGGATTTGAACGAAGCAGAGAAAATTATTTCTAGAGCAGAAAATCTGTACAAGCAACCATATTTCTGGAACTTTCTTCATTCACTCCCTCATCTTCAGCTGAACAGCTTTTATACAGAAGATGAGTTAGCTACCATAACACAGTTTCTAGAAGCTATTCAAAAGTAAGTACTTTCACACTCTTGAAAATGCACTGTTTTAAAATTTTATTTGCAATTTTTGTTATTCTCACAGTCTACTTTATGAAATAAGTATCCTTTACAGTGTAAAGAGGCTAAAATTTTCTTCTCTTTACCAAATTTTGCTTTTATAAAACTGTGTTAGGAATTTTCACCCGCACTGATTCCTTTATAACGATGTTTCACATCTCTGCCAAACTCAACAGAGATGCCCTAGGAGTCTTTGATAAGCAGTTCCATGTTAGCAATGCCTGAAATTAGCCCATCACATAATATGGCTTTGAACCTTTAATGTACTTTGGGGGTCTTTGAAAGACAGAGCATATACATATGAATATAAGAAAGTAATAGCTTTGATCCAACTCAGATCTGAATGTATGTAGCACCTGGTCAGTAAGGAAAATTACTCAATTTTGTTTCTTAAGCCTTTTGCTATCAAAATAGCTTTAGGTGTTCTCTTGCAAGAAATGAAGCAGTAAGAAAAAACACTTCAGGGACTGTATTCTGCATCACGTAAAGGGCAGTTGGATTCAGAGGAAGACATAGAATTAAAGCATAGACCAAGACACATTTACAGGAATTTTTAGTAAAATAATGTAATTGTTAGGTGAAAGTCAGATATGTCTTTGCCAGGGTAGGCAGTTTGTTGTAGTAGGTTGATAAGCAATTGTCGCTGTAGTCAATTAACATAATCATAAAGCAAGACAAGCCCTCTGAACCTGTGTGCCTGTGCTAGACTGGCCATGTATCTCACCAGCCTTAGGCCATGGGGAAGCAGGGGCCCAAAGATCATGAATGAGAAATTACTGTGCTGTTCTGCCATCCTTTATCATCCCACTGTCTTTTTTTTAGACTAAAAAACCCCAAACCAAAGAAAACCAACAGAAACAGCTCCCCACCCAGATAAGAAGGCTTAGATGACATACCTTTTTTTTTTAACTGGGAAATAAGTTTCTCTTACAATATGTGGATTGCATCTATGTTGGCACTTGATTTTTAAAATTTATTTATTTTTCCCTTATGCCTGAGGAAGTTGTAACCTTATTTCAGCTTGTTCTCTGAGCTATTAACATGCAAAACTACATAGAACACTCAGATGTTTGCATGTGGGTTTTGGTGTTTTCATTTGCTTAGGGTTTTTTAAGATTTCTGTGCCCTTCAGTAATCAAATTTACCCTCATTAATGCAATTTGGAAAGCAAACCACAAAACACAGTGCTTGTTTCTTTACTAGATTCATATTACTATATAACATTCTAGTGGTCCTTTCTAAGGCAGAATTAAGCCAGTAGAAAGGTTCTGAATTTACATTTCCCACTTTCAGGTCTGTACCATCTTTTGCTGTGTCTCTCAGAGGTACTTAACAAAAATTTTCACATCTGTGTGACTGGCTTTGAGGTTTTGTGGTAGGGGTGGGAATTTTTTTTTTTGTTTGTTTCCCCTTTTTTTATGAATGTTGGAAACTGATTATCCACTCTGGAAAACTGGATTCTTATTTGGATAATAAGAAAGGATTACTCTGTAGGAAATGACTGGTAAATTCGACATAAATTTTAAGTAAGTTGCAGTTATATTAACAGAGAAATTTTTTTCACAGCTAAGGTGACAGAGACTTGTTAGAAATTCAATAGGTGTATTTTTATCAATGCATTCTGTAATGCACTTTGTTTAACCTCTTGTGAGAATAAGTATTATGTTGCTTTAAAAAATATTTTTCCTGCAGATTGATGGGAAGTAAAATGTCAGTATTCTGTGTTGATTCTGCCTTCTTGTAGGGATAATAGAATTTTTGCGATAGTTTTGCTCTTATGCTCTTATTTTTCTTCTTTTCTTTTCTTTTTTTTTTTTTTTTAAGAGGACATTGGTCCTCTCAGGACACATTTCCTTGATGGAAATTGATTGATCCTCTAACTGTAAAATCTCAATTGTTTAATTGTTCAATTAAACAAATTCTAATTTCAAAAGACATTGCTTTTTCAACAGTAAAAAAAGTGTTTTATTATTCAGTTGCTTGAAGGTTGTCTCTTTCCAGCAAGTCTTTTCAGGTTTTTGGGTATATAGAGCTTGACTTTTGTTTTATTTTCCACTTTCAGTACCTTAGCATCACTGAAGGATTTAACTATGATGCCATTGGGCCAAAGTTTCTATGAAGTGGTGAAAATGGCGCTGAATTTGACTGCTGCATCACTACAGGATAGGAGCCTAGAAGGTAAGAAATTTGCTTCAGATTTTCTTTGAACTACCTAATACGCATGCTGGAAATATACGATAGTAACTTTGGACCTTCTGCTAAGCTCCTGACATGCAGATACTAAACTATATGGCTGTAGTGATAACTCACTTTACTGATCTGCTTTTTAAATACTGATACTGATAATTAAATTTTATCAGACTCTGGCAACTATCAGATAAAAAAAAATCAGACTGGTCTAATACATTAGAAGGGTCATTGTTTAGCAATGAATTTTGGAGGTAGACTAAATAAATGCAAGGGACAGTTTCTTCCATTTGATAGAAGGGAGAGCATTTTATTTTGGACGTGTATGTCAAGCATTATGACTTGTTTACTTTTAGCTTCATTTTTCTGTTTTTATAAATTCTGCTGTCAGCTGAAGGGTTACATTTCTCCATCTGCTGCTTCACTATGGAAGATGAGTTGAATTGGAGAAGGTAGGCTGGCCCCAGGAAAACAAGGAAAGGTCAGGAGCAAGTTTCATGGGTAAACTGAAGCACACAATGTAAAGGTGCAACTGTCTGCTTGGTGTGGAAGCTTAGGCTAAGAGTAATATGCAGTCTAAATCCCACTTCAGCTGCAAAAGTAAAGGCTGATGTGGGACAAAGGTGATGTGCTGGAGCCCTTGCACAGAGGATGAACTTGATTTCTCTGGAACTTCTAGTATTATCCTGTTGCTCTCATTCTCAGTAGTGATTCACACCCAGTCCATACACACACCTTTGCATGCCTTTGTGCAGTTCAGAATGGTACCCTACTGAATTTCCTGGCAATTGCTATGCAGGCGCATCCCACCATCATCATATCAAGTGCTGAAATTCCATCACATTAACTGACTTTACCACTAATGCAATCATGGGTTTTAGCCTAGGTAAATTTGTGTTCTGGTGCACACATCCTGCTGTCCCCAAAAATCTGGGAACATGATACTTGGATCTCAACAAGTGAGAACCACCAAGAAACAACATGAATAAAAAGAATTAATTACATAAACCAAAGATTTTCTTTCTTTCAGCTTTTCAATACAATCTTTCTTTCGGGGATGTTTTGTGGAATCCGCTTGCTGTGAAAGCAGAACTTGAATCCAGGTTTGGTTTTGATGGCCCTCGTGTTGAGAAGCTGTTAAGTTATACAGCACAATTAACAGAGGTAATTCAGTTAAAAATTTTGGTGTCTATCTCTTTGATATATTTTTTTAAATTTGTACCCTGAATGTATTTTCCTGCATTACAGAAGCTTAGCTTTGTGAAGCAGCTACAAGGTTACTAAATATCCTGGCTTCATTCCCGTCAAATAAATGTCTAGCTTGAGCTGAAATCTCTGCACGTGAAGATACTGATAGGTCTAGTTGTATGCACTAATGAATTTATGTTTCTCTGAAGTCACAACTGTGTATGACAGAGTCCTGTGTTTGTTATCCAAACTTGTAGAGAATTCTGAGAATTGTTTCACTGAGCTTTTATACCAAATCCTTGATTTGAGTCTGACAGGATTAGTTTGTCTGGTAGCATTTTTCATCTTGTTTGCTGGACAAAGAATGCCTGTCTCTTCTATGTGTAAATTAAGGGAGACCAGGAGTCCTTTCTTCTCAGTCTTGATATGAATGTCTCAGTGGTGCTTAATCAAATATGCTGGTGATGCATCACATTTAGAAGAAAATCTTTCTTCAGATAGGGCATTCTAAACCTAACCTCTAGACCAAAGTGGTCTGTGGTGGTCTGGTTTGACTGCAGACAACTGGAAACATCTTTTGAATTTGAACTTAAGTCCACAGTTTCTTAATAGAACATGTTGTTCTTCGCAGAGCAGTACAGTTTTCTATACTCCAGAAGAGCTCATTGTAAAAATAGCTGATTTAAACAAATGGATAAATTATTAAAAAAAAAAAAAAACAAAAAAACACCTGACTTTTGAATGGTCTTTTAATGAAATATCAGTGATGGCCTTTTTGAGCAAGTGAACTGCATTCAACTGCAGCTTGGTAGCTGTGGTTGACTATGAAATCCCAGGCTAGTCACTTGGTAACTATTTAAACTGGTATCCCAATATTTTGTGCTTGTGTTAGAACACTGAAGACCATAAAAACCTATGAAAGCAGATATGGAAACCTGGATAATGTATGTTTGGAGCCCTTCAATTCTGTGTCTAATGTCCCATTTTGTTTGGTGTCAAAGCACATGCAAAATCTTATGAATTTATGAATTCTCTGGTCAAAGTTGAAAGGAGCAAGGATGTAAAGTATCTCAGAAAGGCAACAACAGAATTAAAATGTGTGTCATTGTTTTTGTAAGCTTTAATAATATTTATAGGCTTGGGAGTATTTAATTATTCATCACAGAATTTAAAAATTCGTCTATAAGGAAAAAATTCTGTTCTCTTGGCCAGTCTCTTGAAACCCACCAACCTCAATTTAAAACTAGTCTGCTGCATGTAATCACTGGTTGAGATGCATCATTTTACAAAGTGCTTTTTATATCAGTAATTTTTTTACTTGTGAGGTTATTTCAATATAGTTATTCTACTGAGGGGTACTGTATCATAATCAAGTTAGTTCAGTGCCAGCCTGCAAATTACTGTAGAAGTAGCAACACCAGTGTAGCTACAGGGTGAAAATTCCTTCCATATACAACTCATCATTTTGCCTGGTGTGTATGAGCACCTTAATGGGGGTACTGGTATTTTATACAGCAGTCTGCATGTAGAGTACTTTGAAGTATGTGCCTGGGAATGTGAGGCTGGGTTAAATGGGATTTGTTCTTGCTGAAGAGGCTATTGTTATTATTATTTTCACTAGATAAGTAAGTTGATAGGAGAGATAACACTCAGCAATGCTCTTGAAATACTCATCAATTCCTTGTGTCCTTGTCAGATTCCCACAGGAGAGACACTGGAGCAGTTTGTGTGCTCTGCTCTGGCTGTTGTCCCAGAAGATGAAGCAAACAAAGAGAATAATGGAGAGGGCTGTAACTCTACACAGCATGAGGCCAAACTGTATCTTGTTCATGCTGTCAGCAAGTTCAAACTCTATGCATGGGTAACTTTAATAAGTTAATAGTTTGAATTCCCAGTTTTTGCATGTAGGTTGTCAGCAGTAACTCAATTGAACTTAGTAGTAACTAAGTTATCTATAAAATTGTTTTAAAGAAATTTCTTGCTAATAAAATTAAATAATCCTTATAAAGAATCATTACAGTGGAAGTATAATCTATCATCATATGTCCACTTAATCCGATTTTCTCATTAACGGAGATTCAGATTTAAAATGTAACAGGGAATGTAATGAAATATACTGCAATGCAGAGACGTGTCAGAGGAAAGTGCCTACTGTTCCAGTAACATTTACTGTTCCACCTGAGACTGAATGTTGGACTGAAAATTGACTAGACACCTCCATTGATATGTAATTAATTTTTCCCCCCTCCCCACTGTCTCCAGCAATAGTGGCTGAAGCAAGATAAAAGTAAACCTCCAGTAGAGACCCTTAAAATTCTGCTCTGGCAGAATAGCTTGCCATGAATTCTCTGTAATGACATATGTGTAGTAGCATGGATGAAAGAATTAAACAGTCACATATTTCCTAAGAAAAACACCCAGCTACCTTAACACTGGTATTTGTTTTTATACTGAAACATACTGTTTTTCTCCATTAAATAAAAGAAGAATCATGTATTTAAGACTCAATATTATTTAAAGAGAACATGTAGAGCTTCCAATGTATTTCCTCAAAAATGTAATATTTGAGAAAGTTTCCCTGCTATATGATGATGTAGGAGGTAATAATTCAATATTCAATAAAATTCAATATTCAATAAAAATAATGCACTAATTTTGCTGTAATAAAATCCAGTAGTAATCTCAGCCATGATTTTAAAACTCTTAGCATGAGTTAACAATCTTATTATGGGAACCATAAATACTGTAAGCTGCTGGCCACTGTGAATTATCTTGGTGAACAGAATATCACTTAGAGTAAATCTGGCAACAAGAAGAAAGGTAATAGTGAAGGAAAGGAGAGCAGTCAGTAGTTTTGGCCAAGCCTTGTTATGCTTATTTCTGGGCTACACAATGGGAGCGTTCAGGCTTCTTCATCATCTATGTGTTATGGGACTCCAAAACCATTAAGGCTGCTATCTTCCATCGTATTGGCAGTGTAGGCAGAAGTCTGGTAAAGGAAGCCTGAGTAATTGGCTGTGGAGGTCAGCTTTTGGTTGATTTCAGCCTCAGTCCATCTTTTTTCCATTCTTGGGTCTTTAGGCAAGGTCAGCACCACATAGGATGTCAGTTGTCTGTGGGCTGTAGCCCATATCATTGTCAGTTTGAGTGTCAGTCAAAACTGTATTGAAAATCATTGTTTGTCACGTCAGTAATTTCAGAGACTAGAGAGGTTGTGAGGGAGAAATTTTGGTATCATTGTTGATTGTGTGAATTTTTTTAAAGACATGCAAATTTTGTGTACTGCCTAAGAAAGCTTTGATTAATGAGATTTTCTGTTTTGCACTCAATCCACTAGGTGGTTGAACAATGGCTCGACAGCAGCAGTCTCTCTCAGAATCTCCTTCTGGATTTTAGAAGAATCATGGCTGATTTAATGTCTCAATTTCTAGATGACAGGGAAGACTGGAAATTTTTTTCAGAGATAAATACCCTGATCCATCAATGGAATGAGAAATCAGATGCCTATTTTTCAAAAGGATATGTTTCATCTCATGATTGGTAAATTGTACTTATCTTTCTGCAATTTTTCTTATAAAATTAGATCCAGCTGAATATTCATTTTCACTTTGCATTTAATTTATTTCTGTTTTTTTTCTGTTTTGTGATTTTATTTTTTATTCTGTAGTTCAAAACCTTGTATACAGTTAAATAATTGTGCTAATGCTTACATATTCTGGAAGAGAAATTAGGTTTGTGCTTCAGAATAGAGCTTCCTACAGGTTTAGCAGAGGATATGACTACTACATAATCAGGAATCACAGGAATCAGGAGCTGTGGATAATTGGCATTTGGAACTAGGACACAAATTAGTTATCTTATTCTGTGAACAAAGTTGGATTCCCACAAGTAGTTACTGTGATTAAATAATACTTCTCATGTATAGCAAGTCCAGTGCACGTGAAATATTTAGAATTTTTATTGTAGAAGTCAACACAGTTCTGCAGGAGATCTTGTAACAGAAGCCTTCAACAAAATCTACAGCCTATGGAAAATGGAATTTTAAACACATAGAATTAGCTGTACATAATGTAATTTGCAATCTCATCTAGGGCACTCTGAATCTATGATTTCTTTTGATGTTTTTTCACTTTCCTTACAGTTTCAAGTTCTCTGGTTCATGACTTAATGCAAATGTAAACACTTTATATGAAGATTCGGCTGTAAGCCCTGTGCTTATTAAGAATTATATTTTTTGTCAAGCTGTTAAAATATTTCTGATCTGGAAGGTTCTACAGAAGAGTTAAGCTGTACATAAAGGGAGTAAATATTTGTTAGCAGAGGCTCAAGAAAGGTCTATGGCAGAGCACAGAAACTGATGCTTCCATCTTTCTAGAGGCACACTGGATGACTTGCATCATTTCTGGTAGTTATAATATTGGCCTCAGTTTCTCATTGCTTGTAATTACTTTTTCATATCAAACACTATAACTGGAGGAGATATGATTCATGTTATACAAGTCAGCCTCTGAGGATACATCTGAAAGAAACAATCCATTATCAACTAGTAAGGGAGACATTGCAGTCAAATTGTTCAAAAATTTAGTAGGTATTTTGAAAGTTGGTTCTAATTTATAAAAGGAAACTGCTGTGCTGCTGCAATTGTTAAGCAACAATGAAGTATTTTTTCAGCTGTTTTACCCTTTTGTTTGCAGTACACAATGTTTTTGTGCTCTACCTCTGTTGATTGCAGAGTCTGGAGAGAAAGAAAATATATTTAAGGAGAAGATATTTTCAACTTGAGGCCGTTACATTCAAAGGCTCTTTCTTCCATGCACCTCCTCTTGACCAATCTTATGGGGCTAGTAATTTTTATATTGATAAATAATACTGACACAATAGAAACATCAGTGGGTGCATTCCAATTTTCACTGTGATTTCGTGTTTTTGTAGATATTAAAATAGCAGTGTTCAGCTACCAGACAGTCAATTGGAATGTTGTAGCTTTCAATAATTTTGAGAAAACAAAGAAATTATTTAGAATTTATAGAAAATTAGAGTTTTTAATTGATTTTATCAATACATTCCTGTCTGTAAAATAGTTAGTCTGTGGAACATAAAATCTTTGTTCTTTCAGCAGCTGAAAATGTCATGTACTCAAAGGTGTTGGACTCTTTGTGGCTTGCACAAATCAAGCTTACAAGCTTGATTATAAGTACTGATAAATGCACAATTCTTTAACTGCTGTTTACAGTCAGGTTTTGATTTGAATGAGGTTGTGACTTTCCAGTAGGATTTTTTTCACATTTTTTGAAAACCAAAGCAATTGTCGAGTTTTGCTACTTCACATGTTGTGATGATTAATTTGTGACTTCTATTTAAATTATATTTAGAATTTCTTTGAATTAAGTAAATAAAACTAGATTCTAAAATTTAAGTAATATTTATAAAATTATTGTATTTATATATATTATATATATTTATATATATTTATAGAATTATTATAAAATAATTTTAAAATTATTGTCTGCCTGCTAGGTAACTAACAAGAAAAAAACTTATGCTTAATTTTTCAGGATTTTGACATCTTTCAAAGCGTTTTTGAAGACAGAAGAAAACTTAAGGATTTTTGGTGAAAAGAAAATGGATCCTCTTTTTTATCTTGTAGAAGTCATAGAAAAATTTATAATGTTTAATTCCTCAGTTTCTTCAAATATGTCTCTAACTGAAAATGCCTTGAATAATGCAATTATATGGATAAAAAATTTTTTTGAGGGGGCGGAATCTGCCACCAATTTCTCTCTTGCAGTTTCTGAACTCCATAATGACCTACAAAAACATTTCCAGCCTCTTCAGAGCATCTGGACAAAAAAGAAGACAGAACTTTTCTGGCATATAGTGGAAATTGTATTCCATGAACTAGATTCTAGGCTTTCTCTCTTGAGTCAAGTAGGAGAGGAAGAGGTAATTGAGACCTTATCTAGAATTTTATCTTCTACTACAGAAAATAAAATCTATAATAGAATTATAGTGCTGCTCAAAAAGATCCTGACTGATTGGCCAGAGTTAAATATTACTGCTTTGGACCATTTAAAACAATTCAGTGGAAACTTCCAAAGAAATCTCTATGAACTTGAATCATTGTCTGGTGATCATGTCAATGTCTCATTTAGCACAATTCCTGGAGTGAGTAATAATGCATTTTTTATATATAAGGTACAAGAATTAGAAGAAATTGTGCATGATTTTCTCAGAAATATCAAAAAATTAAACAGTACTATTGTGGCCTCACTTGTTCCAAAAATTCTCTCTCTCTATCAGAATGATGATATGGTTTTAAATATTAAGAGCAATAACACTCTGTTAAAACTTCTTTATGAGGCTTCAAAAAGTATGTCATCTTCTCAAGTATGGCATGATTTGCAAAATAAGGAACTAGTTTTTGATTTTCTGTTTGAAACTTTTGATCTTCTCTGGAACCTCACCAATAAGTCTCTCTGTGAAAAATTACTATTAATTTACAACTACACAGTGTTTCAGGCACAGCTTCTTGCACAGAATGGAAAAAAAGATATACAAGTCATTTATGACACTCTGAGCAGCCTTAAAACTTTATTTATAGATGAAGAGTTCCAAAGCACTCTCTTATGTTATTTGGAAGAGCTTCTTGACCTGTCTTCAGGATGCCTGGTAACTAATGGATGCACTGATTTCTATCTAGCAAACACGAGTTCAGTAGAACATTCAGCAGAGGTTTATAACTTACTTCTGCTTCCATTGGACAGTGTCCTGTCTGATGTAACAGACTGGGGAGATAAGGTAGCTGTGCCTTCTGCTTTGCACTGCACTTTTACATGGCTTCAGGCATGGACAGAGATTTTTGAAGAGGCATCGGAAATCTTGAATTTGAATTCAACCTATTTTGTCTGCCTAAGAGATGATTTGGCATATTTCTCTGAAAACTTTTTAAATGTAACTCAAGATGAACTGTGCAATAATACAGCTATGGCTATTGTTGAAGCTACAGGAGCAGCAATGAAGCTTTTAAAATCTGTATTTCAGGAAACTGGTCAGGAAACTGGCAATTTAAATGACTTGAAAGATTTTGAGGCTTTCCTTGTTAATCTTCAAAGGGTAATTAACAATGCATTTGAAGTCACAAACTTGCTTAAAGATAGCAGTTTAGAAAGTGTATTAGAGACAATGGGAGCTGTGATAACTAAAATGCGGAAATCTATACTGAAGATTGCTAATGAAGAGTTTTTGAATTCTTGGCTTGATGCTTTCATCTCAGGAGGATATGAGGGAGAAGATAAGCGTGCTGGTGTATTTTCCATTGAAAATTCCCTTTCTACTATTCTTAAGCTCTCACAAGAGGAGCTTGAAATTATTCTCATGGAGATAAATGACACATCTGCTTTTTTAAAAAGTTTACCTCGAGACAAATATATGGTTTGTATCAGCATTTTCCAGAATATTACCAAACTAATTTTGGGTAATAGTCTGAAAGACATAAGCTACTTACAAAAAAAATTTTCATCTCATCTTAACTCCTTTCTGAACTTTCATAGTACAGTGGATGAAGCAGAGGATTGTAGCACATGGATATATGGATTAAGTAATTTCACTGAAAAATACAAGTCACCTTCCCACCTTGAAAGTGCAAGACATATTCTTTTTCTTCTGAAATCTCTGGGAAATGCTGAGACAGATGCTAAGCTAATGAATGTGATGGACTTTGTTAATTTGTTTTTTAATTTGACACTCCCTGAATGTTCCCTAGGTGCATCTAATATGATTTGTGCAAGTGTTTATTTTAATATCGTAGCAAAAACTTTGAAACTTATTCTCCCCGAACTTTATGTAAAACATGACATTAATGTGCTTGAATTTATTTCTAAACTTTTAAATAATTCTGGAGAGAAAATTCAGACCATTATCAGTGATTTAGTTGGGAGCTCACTGTATATATCAAATAAGACCCATTTTAGTCAGTCAAACCGTGGTTTTAACAGGACTTCAGGGATGCTCCTTAATCCTTTTCACCACATTCATCTTATATCAGTGGAACTTTTGTCAGAAATTCAAAGTCTTCTGAAAAATAAAAGTTTTGAATTCCAAGAAAACAGCTCCTCTCATTTGGACAATGAGATTGAACCTTTCTTACATGGGAAAAATATCAGTTTGCTGATGGAGTTCTTTCAATATATGATTAGAAAACTCGACTCAAACTTCCAGAATGAACACAAAACATTTCCTCAGAAACTGATAGAAACAGCAGGTTTGAATATTGAACTGGTAAGGGAGGCACTTGAAATTTTCAAGTCTTCTACTTTTATTGTCTTTCCATTAGGAGATGAAACGGATTTTCTAAAGCATATAGTTGCCTTGGTGCAAAACATGAGAAACATGGATGTTGAGTTTTTGATAAGTAGATTCAAACAGATCCAGGAGAACCTAGAAAATTTCTTTAAAAATATTCGACCTTTTAACCTTGGGAACTCTGAGCTAGGTACCTTAAGAGACTGGTGGGATGCATTTGAGAACATATCATGTTACTGGAACCTGACTGGTGTACGCCAAATAACACAGCTTTTTGAACAAGATGAGTTCTACAATACAGAAGATGTGTTCAATCTCCTCTTTGATGTCATCAGCCTTACAGAAAGATTGGCTCATGAAAACATTACAGAAGCACTAACTGAAATATATGCTTTCATACTGACTCAGGAAGAAAAAATGCCAATGTTTACTGACGAGGAGATCTCTAACCAAATTGAAGATCTTCTAATGTTGCTGGAGGCATTGGCAGACATCTCTGATGAGCCTGGAGAGGCCTCTGTTTGTTTTTCTGCAGCGTTCTGCTGGACTTTCACCACAGCAACACCTCAGAGTGATCCCACTGTTAAACCTTGTGACTTGGTGCACACCAATTCTACTTTTCATTACAATGCAGTCATTGAAATCATTAAGGAGCTTAAACTCATCACTCTGGATGACAGTTTTGCTTGTTCTGTGGAAGACATTCAGATGGATATCACTCGCAATCTGACTTGCTTTTTTAATCAGATTAAAGAATGGCACTCTATATTTTTGAAGTTTTCTGAGCTCCATCATATAAATAGCTCAGTTCTCAAAGAACTGCTAGATTTTTGGAATGAGCTATCCCTTTATGCTGTGCCACTGCAGGTGAATAATACATATGCAATCAATTGTTCCTTCACATCAAAGAGCCAAATGGCTTTACAAATCATAGAAACTCTGGGCAGCGTTTCAGTGTCAGAAATGGAGATGGCCAAAAGTCTTCTTGAACAGTTGAATAATCTTTATGGTGGCCTAAGTTGGAACAGTGAGTCAAGAACATCACTTGAGAGTATTCTTACTAATGTTAAGAATGTGACCATTGAAGTTTCCAGACTCCTGAATACTGAAGCTGTCCTTTCTTTTCTTTCTGTAATTCAGCCTTTAATGACACTGTCATCTGTTGGAAACCAGACACACGCAATGCTTATGACATTATCAGCTTTAAGTGGGAACATCAATGTGTCTGACAACTTTAAGATCTTCTTGTTTCCTGTAGTTACAGGCATAGAAAATTTATTGGTGAATTTTAGTGTTAGACACTTCCTTGTGGTGGTAGATCAAGTGTTTCAATTACTGAAGTTGGCCACTGGACAGTCCTCTTCAATGGCGTCTGATGTTTTACTAGAGCAGAATAAGACATCATCTGAAGATGCTATATCAAGAAATTTTGAAGATATACAAGACATTGTGAAGATCATTCTATGTAACTGTAATGATAAAAATTATTCTAAACTAATGCATGCCCTAATTCTCCTTATGACTAATGAAAGTTCATCAAATGACCTACTGCTGGCTGTCAAAGATATTATTGCCTTTCTGGAGCTATTCCAAAATAAGTCTAAGAAGGACCATACTGGTATGTCATTTCGTGACAGTCATTTTAGCAGAGAGAAATTGAATAATACTCACCCTGGTTTTTCAGTTTTACTAAACAGCCTCCTTCATATGGTTGCTGATCTTGATGTTGTAGAAGAAGCTTTGCATATAAACAGTACTGAGCTTCATAAAGTTGACTTTATTGATTCATTTTTTTATAATGCACCGTATAGAGACACTTCTAGTCAGTCGCAAAGCAGAACTCTGGAGATCATGCAAGAGATTTTGCAAATAATATTTCAGTCTACTGCAGAACATGACATGAATAAAACAAAACCTTTACTAATGAATTTGCATAAGAATGTAATGGCAGAATTGAGGTAAGTGTTTTCCATGTACTCATTTTGGGAAGTGTGCTGACAATGAGAGAAGGGCTTTCTGTTTATGAACAGCTCAATCAAAACTTTTATTAAGTTAACTATTAAGTGTTTCATTTCAGATTTGTTCCAACTTATGTTGTTCAGACCAGCTATATTTGGTATCAGAACACATTGTGGACCAGATTATTATGTTTAGTTTATGTTTACGTTATGTACTTAGGTCCCATGTATTGACACTTAGTTTCTTTGGAACTATAATAAAACAATTATTTAAAGATACTTGTGTTTTAAAATTCTTGCAGGTCTGAACACTGAACCCCCACTAATTGGCAGGCAACAGTAATTTTTATCTTTGGAGCTAAATGTTAAGGAATGCTTGAGCCTAATGCTTTGTGATGTGTGTGGAGGTTTTTTCTATATCCAAATACAGCTATATAAAGTTTCTTTAACTTAAATTTGTTGATGTGTTATGGATATTGTGTTAAGTTGTTCAGTTTAACAAATGCAGTGTCTGAAGGAATCTTGAACCCACAATCATATTTGCCTGATTACTCAGATCAGATGTAATCCAGAAGCAGAGGAAACTGCTTCATATTTACTGATGGTTTACTTAATAAAAGGCTGGAGTTGCTGCATTTAAACAAAATTGAATGAACCACAAGTTGGTTGCTCCAAACAGCTCTAGGGTATCTTGCTGGTGGAGCTACTGGTCCTACTGACATAAACCAGCTGAGAAATGGCAATGTAAAGTTGATGCTGTGATGTGGTATTTTGACCTTTATGATTAATTTTATGTAAATACATAAAACCATTGTCCTTCAGGGCCAAGTATTATCCTAATATGTTGAAAAATATCAAAAGCAAGTATTAGAATAGTGGTTTATTTTCCTTACATGTTGATTATCTGCTCTTTACCATCAAGTCAGTATGTTCTGTGGGCTCTCAGTGTTTCTGAAGCTATTGCAATTTTGCTTATTTTATGAAAGTATTCCTAGTGTATATTTTTTTAACATGGAAGTATTATATTCTGATTTTGAAATAGTTCAAACAAATGTAATAACTACTAATACTAAAATCCTTGTGTGGTTCATTGAAGACTGCATTTGTGCATTGTCACTTCTTGAAATTTTTCTGTGGTACCATTGGAATGAAAATAATGTTTTCTTATTGATGTTTCTACAGAGCATCTAAAATCTGCAACATTCTTCAGGAACATTTATACCCTGATAGTATCGTACTATTGCAGAAATTGCAATTTACCATTTTGAATATTCTCAGAACCTTTTCAGGTTGGTTACTGCAGTAGTGACTCTGAGTCCCCATGTGTTTGTGCTGTTAAATTAAGGCTTTACTCTAAGCAAGCTTTTACAAATAAGGTAATTTGGGTGGTGCCAAGCAAAGCAAGCATACTGATTGCCTGGAAATTAAACCAACAGAGGCACAGGAAGAAATCTGAAACAGATCATACAAAGGGATGATTAATTTCTGGAGTGTTCATATAGATTTAAAATCAAAGTGAAAGCAGGAGATCTTGCTGCTCCTCCTCAGCTAGTGAGCTGAGTCAAGTCACAGGGTTTTATTCTTATGAGCCAGACTTGCCACAGGGCAGTGTGTAGCTGACAGTAAGTAAAAATGGAGCAAGTATTCAAAGGAAGTAGCATGTCCCACTTCTGGCTTTGTCGTGCCAGTGAATTGGCTACCTGTAGCTGAAAAACTTCACCTTCAAAAAATTGTTCAAATTTTAATGTGTTACCTTGTTTTATTTCTTCTGTATCTGCTTCCAAGTTGTGCACTTTAAGAAAGGCTAGAACCTCTCAATATAGATATTGACCCGAGTATAATTTCATATTATGTTTTATTTGGGCAACAAAAGAAAATGTTTTTCAAAGCTCATATTTTAGCCAAATATGCCCAGAATTGTTTGCAAAGAGTGGTTAGAAGACATTAACCTGCCCTTCTAGGGCAAGGGATAAAATCTGTAATGTCTTATGCCAAATTAATTTCCAAAAGAGTGTAAGATGTGATTACCACTCAGTAATCACTGAGTGATCACTAGTCTTCTGTGATGGATGTAGTTCCAAACAGTAGTGATGTTGAGCTGGAATAAGTGGTACTGAAATTGTGTAGCCAGGTACCTGTGTTCTGTCCTTGACCTCTGAAGAACAGTCTGTTTATTGAGAGAACTGAGATTAGGGAACTAAATTTCTGTCATTCTCATCCCAATCATCTGTTTGTGAGAATATTTCATAATGTTTCATTTGTTACAGAAAATATTATGAAACTGAATGAGAAAAGATGAAAACTGCTTGGTTTGGTTTGATTTGAGGAATAGTATTGTATTACTTCTATGACCAAGATCAAGGTTTGCTTGTTTTAGAAGCAGTGTTTAATGTTTATTATTCTTCCTACTTGACTTAAGAAGCAAACTTAAGGAAAAATAAAACAACCGATAGTTGAAAAAATCACCTTGATACTGAATGAGAATTCAGCAGTCAAGACAAATTTTTTCACTTCTATTCCATGTACAGACCCACTGCAGACAGCAGAAAGGAGGCTTTTTCCAAGGATATGGTGGCTGCAAGCTTGGGTAGAAACAGTCTCCATGGATGACCAGGGAGATAATATTATTGCCCTATATGGGTTCATTATCCCAAGATATGGAAAATGCTTCTTTAATGCTCTTTCACTCCTTTTGTAGTTTGGGTTTGAAAGTTACTGTTCACTGGAGGGTTAGTAACATCCAGGTGTTCCTAGAGGGAAATAGCATCAGGGGAGCCTGCCTGAGGGAAAGATAGATCTGGTTAATATACTCAGCTTCTCAGTTATGCTTCTTGCTCATGAAGAGCAAATAGGAAATTTTCTTCTCTGGTTCTGTAGCAGGTAGAAATGCTCTTATTATTGATCAGAAAAATGTAATGGAGAAGAGTAACTGAAATTGAATCAAACCAGACTTTCTTGTCCTCTGAAATGATACATAAATGTAGTTAGAAATATTTCTCTGTGCCTTAACATATCAGACGTTCCTTCCTTTTAAAAAAATTTCTCTCCCTTATTTGTTGGCTAGCTTTAAATTTGATTTCAAGTTGTTTTTTAAAAAAATCTGATTAAATCTGGACATTTTCTCTTACAGAAGAACCCATTGTCTTTAGCAACATTTTCTGTGCCATTAAAAAGTGTAAAGATGGATTAATGAGTCACTTGCTCCTTGCTGTCTTTGAATGGATTGCTGTGGCTCAAGATCATTATCAGGTCTGAATGATTCCCACACCTACAAGTGTACTTTACAGCATGCATTAAACTTTGGAAACTAATGAAAGTTCCCTTTTTTTCCCCACTGTCTGAATGACAAGTCTCCACAGTGCTATCCAAACCTGTGGTTTAAATAGGTATAGCTCTGATAATTTTGATAGAGATATCCAGAAGAAATTCCTTAAATAGACATTGGTGAGCTTTACAAGCTGTAAGTGTGACTTTGAATTATGAGAAGTCCTATAACTAGGATAATTGTATTGTCAATTAATGTGAAACAGCAGCCAATTTTTAATTTCTTTAAATTATGTCATTCTGCTAATTTAATGAGTTATAGTACATTTATACTTTTAAATCTTCACAGGAACATGTGTCAAATTAAACTAGAAACAAATAAACTTCTTAGCCAGAATAATTCCAGCTAAGATAAATTTCAGTTGGGTTCAGTCTGTTTTTCTTTAACACGAACTTGCGAACAGGTGAGAGTAATATTTGGCAAATAGAGACTCACCTAGAGTTTGAAGCAAGCCTTTGGATACCACACGTGTGTACACAGATCAGGGTGCTGTACATAGACAAAATACTAAAGTCATGCTTTTTAGTATAGAATCTGTCTTCTCTTTATTAAATAACTCTGCTGCTTTGTCTACCTAGACATTTTTCTGATATGAACAGTAATGTGGTAAAGAGATGACAAGTGGCATCACTCATATATCACAGAAGACTTTTGCAGGCCAAATGCATTTGTGTAGTCACCATCCTTCTATGACCTACTTCTGTAAATATTGAAAAAGCTTAGCAAAACCAAAATTGTTAATATTCAGGAGAAAATAAAAAAAGTGCATACTATACAGAACATAATGCATGAAAAGCTTTGGATATGAGGATCCAGATATTTTGGTTTGTTGAATCAAAACTGATGTTCAAAACAAGTTTTTTTTTGAAAGATATAAAAATGGTCAGACTGAAATAAGTAATAAAAAAAAAAAAGTTCATTTTATCTTGAAACAAAATTTAAAAGGTTGGCATTTCTATTAGTGGATGACTCTCCTTGACAGGCTAGTTCAAATTCCCAATCTGATTGTTTCCAAAACTCAAATATTTGAAAATTCCTTGCTTCTTGAAAATGTTTATTCTAGTTTCAGTTAATCATACAATGACTAAGACAATATTACCTTACCCATATTCTCATTTGAAACTACGAATCATCTAGTTGCCAAGGGCTGCTACTTCAGATTATAACACAACTCCATGAATTTACTAACCATGTGATCACCACGTTCTGCAGGATATCGGAAGATATTTGCCAGCTTTCATCAAGGGGGATTGTGAGAGTATGGCATATATAAACCAAAAACTTTCCAATGCTTTGGAGATCTTTGTGGGAGCCTTGCAGAATACTAGCAGTGACAGCTGTGAATGCCAGCTAATGCTGGGGAGCATCCAGAGACGACTGCAAATGTAAAGCCTTTCACGTTTTGGTACCCCAAATGGTTCTTCATCATTAGTGATGTTCTGTGCATATATCTGTGTTCTAAACTAAGTAATTACAGGAGAGATACTGTCTTTTTAAGATTTTTTCATTTAACTTAAAACTGAGTGGATAAAACGTACAAATTATTTAAGTAATTTAGAATAACTGAATACTTCTAAAAACCCTTATATTTTTTATCGAGCACTTGCAGCAGATCTTGCTGCTTTACCAGATGAATGCTTTGGATCACAACTAAAGAAAACTTTCAATTTCCTGTGACTTCAGTTAGGTCAAAATTTTGATATCCAAATTTTTTATATACAGCTCTTTTAATATGGCTTTTCCTCTCAATAGCTGAATATCTTTTTGTGAAATATTAAGCATTCAGATCAGTTCAGCAGTTCAAAGAGTTAGAAACACAGTATGGTGACTGTAAACTGATGGGATTGAAGTCCAAACAACTTCTGATAGTTATTTGCATGGGGAAAACCATTAGATTTTAAGTAAAGCTGCTACTACAGAGTATTTCAAATTTGCAATCAGCTAGAAGTAGACATTATTATAATTGTTGCTGTACTGGTTTGACTGTTGGACTGTTTTCATAACAGGCTTGAATAGTGTCTGTGAATTACAGTAATAATATAGAAAAACTTGAGTCTAGATGCTGCTCCTAAATATCATGTGCTCATGTCCAGTTTTGAAGAGAAAATAATATCTAAAGTGGGCATACTCTTTGTTACTTAGATTATAATTAGATAGACTTTTTTTTTATCCTGGACTGCAGTGATTTGTATCTCTAGGCTTTAAAAATGTGTGTTCAGTAAGAAACATGGAAGTGAGATATTGCTAGACCTGTCCTTCTCTATCAGTTACTGTTTGCTAGGGCCCTTAGTCATTATGGAAATCTATCTCTACATATGTATATATATAAATATAGACATGTGTAGGCCTATATATGCAGCCTCATTTAGGCATGAAATATGATGAGCATTGCTCCATATAAATACTGTATGAGCAGGTCTGTAGAGGTGCTGACTGCATGCACAATGTGTGCACACAGAGCATAGTGAGACCCTATTGCCTCTTTTAGTCCTGTTTCACTGTTCATGTTTGTCTTTTAACATTGAAATGGCAATGACTTGGTTCTGATAACCTATGAAACTAAGGCTATTATTCCAGGGTGACTGAAAATTTGGAGCTACAATTGTCGGAAAATCCAGCGGCAGATTTCCTCAGCAATTTTAATCTTGTGAATGGTGGGTCCCAGTTTTCTTCAACTTTTCTATAAGTCACTTCAGTGTAATTTTGTAGGATAAAACTGTTTCTTTGTTCTTTCAACTTCAAGAGGCACTGTTTAAGGAGACTATTGACATAAGGCAATATTGTCACTCACAATGCATTGAATGAAAAGGATACAATCTGTAGGAAATCTAATTAATAAATGTGATGCTGTTGGTACTATTTTCTTTCTCTTCCAGATGTGAAAGTCAAAGATTTTGTGCAGAATATTACTAAATTGAGGCTGGACATTGGTTCTTCTGTCAATATTTCTGAAGAAACTGTCAATACCCTCTTGGAAACCAGTGTCTCTCATTCAGAGGTAAAAGATCAAAAAGAGGTGTCAAATTAGTGGGTCAAGCTATAACATGGTGTGCCAGCTGAAGCAAAACAAGTGACGTTGTTTGTGTGGAATCTTGTATTTTCACTTATCACTTCCATGTGAAATACTTTGGGAATTTTAGGACTTTAAAGTAATAACATGATGCATTAGGAGATCAATTTATAGTAACGCTATTCCTCTGGTCTAAATGGCACTGCTTCATTAATTTCAGCAGTGTTTTACCCTCTTGTGATGACACAGAATTGGAGCTTTGCTGTCTTGGTATTGTAGAAAAGATGAGGGTTTCTGGAGATATAATTTTGTACCTTACTCCCTCTTCTCCTTGTGGTATGGAGTTGTCTTATGTATATATTTTTAAAATTGCTTGTGTTCCTCACTCTTCTTATATTATTCACTTTGAGGTGTTGACTTTTGAGTGTTGCAAGTTTTCTGAGGGAAAGGCTGTGTGTTACCATTGCTTTTTCTTGTGATCCCAGTAACCTGTTGAAATCATGAGAAATGCCAGCTGGCTAACAGGTTCTCTCTGCTGCGAGTGTCTGTTGAAGAGCTGGAGGTACATTTGGTGTAGATTGATCAGCTCAGTCAAGCAGCCACTGGGTGTCAGTGATGCTCTGCTTGCAGGAATTGCTGCAAGCTCTGTGAAAAGTGCAGCATTAAAAAGGCAGTTCAGACCATCATAACTAGTTATAGATGATTTGTTCTTCTGCTTCTGTGGCAGTGTGACTGCCTTTATTGTTAGCTTGTTATTGTGATACCACTAAATGGTAATGAGAGAAATTTTCTGAAAGCAATTCAGTTAAATGGGATTCAGTGCACCTTTGATCTTTTGGAATAATAATGCTAATTGGCTGAATTGTCAAATTACTTTCTATCATTACTTTTTGCCAGTCTCATGTAGAGCTTAGATATATACACGTCTCACGTTTGGATAATGATACAGAATTTTTTGTTTGCTTAGTGCTTAAATCCTCCCCCAGTCCAACTGGAGCATTAAAGGCATGTGCCTCTTACTGATCATGGAAGCTGCACAAATACTTTCTAGAGCGATGGGCGTACTTTCTATGAGCTATATTTTAGCTCACAAGTACTTTCTATGAGATATATTTTAGGCATTCCCCTTATGTTTATTGTCTATAAAGCCACTGTCTGATAACCTAATGATAGCTATAAGCCCATTGTAGCCCTATATTCCTGTGATTATGTACTACTACTGTGCTTGCCTCTGGCACAGTAAGATTAAGCCTGGGAATTTTGTGTGCTTATTGTATTCGCCCATAATTTCTGCCATGATGTTATGTGCTGGCCATGCTCATTGCCATGTGATGGAGTGATTTGAAATAATTTAAAACTTGTAACCTGAAGACTATAAGCATTCATTTACTGAATGTTGTAGTTTGGATTAGCTCTGGTACTCAGAAAGCTGCAAGAAAAGTTCAGAGGAACTTAACCTAGGGGATACACCATAGAATGTGTTAAAACTGCACTGAAATGGTGATATTCATGTGAGGCACATTTGAAATAAATTTCAAATTGCATCCTAGACAAATTTCCTCCCCAGCAAGAAGTCCAAATCAGTATCATCTTATGCTGCTCAGAGAATCATGTTTGTATTCTGTTTCTTGAATGCACACACAAAAAAGTGAATCTTTAAATAGACAGAAAACCTTGTAGATCACAAAGACAAAATTCTGTCCAGAATAAAGATCAAAAAACCCAAATTATTAAGTTGGAAAATAAAATGTTCATAGGAATTAAAGAGTTAAATTGCATATCCTGACTGGGTACTGTTAGCAGCAAGAGATGCATTCAGTGGAGGCAGTGGAGGCAGATTTTGCTCTAAGCAGTACAATGGAGCCCTGTTTTTTGGCTCCTACAGGTTCCTAAAAAACTTGTGATTTTTCTGGACTTGTTGAGAATGGGTAGTTAAGAACTCCTGAGATATGTGGACTTCAGGCGCTTGCCATTATCCAAGATGGTTTTATTATAGTCTCACCCAGGGTCTGCTTAGGCATTTATCTCTTCACCTGCTATTAAATAATACTTTAAAGCGGTATTTAACTGAGAAATGTGTGCTGACTCAGAGTAGACGTTATGCCATATAGGCACCCCCAAGTGTTAAATTTGTGTGTCCTTTGAAAGAAGGAAAGACTGTATTGTTTGATGTTAGTGATTCACATGCCTAGATTTTGATCTACAGGTGTTTCTGCAGCAGAGGTGTATATCTGCTAGGAGTATGCTCAGCATTGTAAATATGCCTGCTTATGGTATGAATGCTCAAGAATGAGTGATTGGCCTGTGAAAAATGAAAGCAAATCCTTATAAGAAATATACTTCATCTTTTTTATATGTACAAGGAGTATAAAGTAAGAACATAGCAATCTGATATAAAGCTGTATGGTTTATTATTTCAGGTCTGTTAGTGCCTTCAAATTGTCATGTTATTGTGACACAAATTTTCACCTTCTTGACTATTAAGAAAAGGTGATGCATTTTAGGGAGAAACATTTTTAATACACATATGTTGTGATAGGTTCTTTACAGTGCCTTTGTGGTAGCTTTAACTGGAAGATGTGATGAAGAAGTACTTAGCCTGCTGCTAAAGCTCCCTGAAAACAATAGAACTTCCCTGGTAGTGGAAGAATTATGCTCTTTACCAGCACTGGACTTGTATACCATGTTTGTATTGATTATACAAAATTTGAATGTACGTCACATCATTTACAAGGTAAGATACTTTATTGGAAGGTGGTATGAAACATAGAGGTAGATAGCTTAATAATTCTGTTATTTCTTCAGATGTTCTTTCTCCATGAAAGCAAACAGTGGACATATGGCATTTTTTGTCTTTTTTTGGCTCCCTAAAATGTAACAGTTGAAGAATGGGGCTGATAGGTGCTTCCTCAGGTAAATTATCACTGAGGAGTTACTTATGAAAGCTTTGCAAAAAACACAGGAGGTCAAAGACATATTTTTATTAATCTTTAGCAGAGTTTGCAGTTCATGCATTTAGTCACTTGATTATTTGTGAGGGTGGAAGACTGATCTGACAAAATATGAACAAAAACCAGCATAGGAGCTCACATCACAAGAATGACAAAACTATTTTCTAGGATGAATTCATAGCAGTGTGGATGCAAATGTCTGTAGCACTGTGTGTATATATATATATATATATATATATATATATATATATAAATAAAATAATATACTGTATTATCTGTACAGCTGTAGAAAATCTGGAATCTAGTATGGTTATTCATTGAGATAATGGTTTTATCTGTAAGAGCAGAATTATTGAATGGGATAGTTGGAAGACATTTACTTCAGTTCTTTTGGGGATAACTGATTGACAGAACATAAAAAATGTGAGCATGAATAGCTGAAATATCCTTATAACATTGTGGGGAAAAATGGTTTGTTCTAAAGCCATAGGGGTCTGGTTGTATTCTGGATGCTGCACGCTCTGTCAAGCAGATTAGAAATAGAATTTTAAAAAACAAGACAATTTTCCACAGTGGGTAAAGATACCAGAGGAGAAATAAAATATTTTACTTCCTGAATTATCTGCAAACCTAGAAGGGAAAAACACAGAAGAAAATAAACCAGTGCTTGTTCTGATTAGTGTTCCTACTGCTCTATGGAAACCTCATCAAATCCTAGCAAAGAGAAAAAAATATTGCCAGGTAATCCTAAACTAAAATGGAAGTTCTGCTACTTTTTTTAGCCAAATAAGATTTTTTTATGGGTCTCTTTCATTTTTTTTTTAAAGGCTGAGAAGAAAAAGCACAAACATTTGCTTTGTCTTGCTTGTAGGAAGACAAAGGTGGATAAAATAGATAATCAGAGGAAGAAAAGAAACTATTTAATGAGATTATAGTGGTTTTATTATTTTGTATAGACAGGTAACAATGAATCAGTTTGTAGAATTGTATCATTAACTAATACCCAAAAGCAAAGGGAACAGAGAGAAAATCCATAATGAGAAATTTGATGGTGGAAATAGCAAATGGCCAATTGAACTTGGGTCAAGTAGGTAATAAAATGCATACAATTACTTTGGGCATGAAAAATTTAAAGACAAGAAGAGTGTGGTAGGAAAGTTAGTTACTTTAGGAGTCATATTAAGCAATGAAAATGGTTTCTAGATTTAATTTAACTTACAAATTATTTTTAGAATATGGAATTATTGCATTGAACATTTTTAAAGTGGTGCAGGAAAAGTTTCTATTTACACTGAATTCTAAAAGGATAGAATGTTCCAGATACCATTAGCATCTTGGGTTGGAAAGCTCTCTTTAACTTGGCAGGTATAAACATATTCTCTGAATATTAATTTCTGTTTTGTCATAAGTCAGTTCTAACATTACATTACAGAGAACTTATCTTCAGCTTAATCTGACAGTAACTGGAGAGTTATATCAAAAAGAGTTTTGTTAAATATGGTTTGTAAGAACATTGTATAATCAGTTTTAGAAAAAGACTGAATAATTTCGAGTGTTTCATTGAAATGTTAATATTTGTTTCTAACCGGAATTTTTTTTTATCCTTCTATTCCAAGGTCCAGATACCACCTGAGATAGGCAATGTATTAAATATACTACTGGATGTGGTTTCTAGTATCAGTTCACTTCTCAATAAAGTCCACCATGTCATGGAAAAGCTTCCAGTATTCCTCCAAGGAATTGAAAATATTGGTGTGTTTGATGTCTCTGCATTGCAGCAGGTATGTGTAGGATTTCAATATACAAAATTAATTCCCCTTTTGAGGTGATTAGGTAGGGATATGTGCTTAGTAAGGAGGCACACTACTAGAAATGATTTCCTAGAAAGTAGGGAATGCTGAGAAGAGTCCATAAAGCCTAGGAAGTTTCGTTTGGTCTCATTCAAGCAGTCTGGTAATTTTGAGACTAGTGATGTGCTGTTCTGTCATCTCTTTTTTTGTTAGCTTATGAGGTTCTAGTCTAAGTTACCTCAGTGTTTGTCAGCTAACATTGTCTATCATCGGTGATTTGTAGATAGCTAGCCAGGTGTTTTTTGCTTAGAGCATTTTTTTTTTGTTTTTAAGAGCAGACCACTTTTTTTTTTTCTCTTTTTTTTTTACAAGAAATAGCTTTGCTTTTTTAAAGAATATGAGTTCAAGACAGCCTATGCAGTTCTTCTATCTGCCATGTGTTTCTGTTCGTGTTACCTAAGGGGTTTGTGGGAGAGTTCTGACAAAAATGTGACATGAGGTGTGAGTGTGGGTATTTCTTTTGTCCCTGCCTTTAAGGGCAGTTGCTGTATGGACATCTACACAGCTAGCACAGTGGTGGATCTAGTGTTAAACGAATCACCAGAAATATTTCTATCTCTAAGCAGGTTCCAATTCCATAGGAAGACCTGCTGACCCCCATGACATTGCCTTTTGGGTTTGTTGTCCTTTGTGGAAACCTGAGGATTGAATCTGGTTTAAAATTGCAAACCTCTGAAAGATCCCATAATGATAGACAGTGCAATCTGGTTTATTGCTAGAGTACAGAGTTAACACTGCCTTAAGTACTATTTTCCTTAGTGATACATTTTTCAAGATCTTCTAATCTGTGTGATAGAGACATGTTGAAAAATGCTGTTCTGGTGCATCTATCAGTTTTGGTTCTGAGCTTCTCTTTTTGGGATAGCTCTGTGGCTGCTGCAATTAATGGTGACTTTTATCAGATACTTGTATTTTTTCTACTTTCCTTAAACTACCTCTGTTTGTGTCAGAATTTCCTTTCAGCAAATGAAATATTATTTTTGGACTACAATCCCAAAGCTCCTTATTTGATAGAAGAACCTCTCAAAGGGTGCTGTTTAAAAAAAAGTTTGCAAAGGAACAATTGGAACAGCAGAGGGCCATCTGCTCAAAGTTTTAAGCTTTGCTCTGTGGTCACTCTTATTATCCTGTAATATACCATAGATTTAACCTTGGAATTTTTGGTTTTTTATAGTTCTAACCTTTTTTGATATTTTTTTTCTCCACATAGTCTTTATTTTCTAATGTTTTGCTAAATAGCTTTTTCTTGTGAGATTGCTGGGACTTATTGGTCACCTAATAATTTGTGGAGGATTAAAATAATCAGTGTCTATTTCTTTTATTAATAAATTACATTTTTGATTTCAAGGGTTCTTCTGTCTCTTTTTTTTTTTTAATTTTGAAGACTAGTAAAAGTGTAAGTGTCCTTTTTTTTGTTGTTTAAATTGATTTTTTTTTATACTTTCCAATAAGTTTTAATTATTGATTATTTTTTACATCTTTTCTACAGTGGCCAGACTTGTACTGTTGAATAAGTGCTCCACTGAAGTGCATATATTGCTTATACGCTTCCCTCCTTAAATGTTTTCTTCTATTTTCAAAAGAGCCCAACCTTATGGATTTTTGTTTTGATAATTACCAAGAGCAAAGTAATTCAGTGACTTTGAAAGACTATCAGATAAATAATGTAAATGTTTTTAGGGTAAAATATGTGAACCTTTTTCAGAAAGACATTGACGTTAATTAAAAAAATTATTTATATAATGAAAGTGGTAATAAAGTATTTGCCAACTATTCATACTAATCAACATCGATTTTTGCCTGAAAGGAAAAATTGAAAGGAATAACTAACTTTAATATATCTGTAAAATGTGAAGTTTAATTGAAAAGGTAAATGTATTATAATAAAAGATGATGTCAAACCTCATTATCTACCCATCAGCATTAACTAGAATATGGCGCCAGGTTCTACGGTTAAAAACACTGAGTGAATGGATAACTTGCTGAAGAAAAACATTGCTAATTTCAATAATGATTTTTTGCTTGTGTTTTGCTATTTGAAATTATTCACTTATATTTTCATACCTGTGTTTTTGGATGCTTGTCACTCATCAATAGATAAGCTGCAGTGACTTCCTTAACTGCTAAATACTGTTAATTGTGAGATATGGCCAGTAATCCTTCCACTAACTTGAATAAATCCCGTGTTGAACCTATTGTTGTAGAACAACCCGTTGGGGTTTTAAATTAATAAAATTCTGACTTAGGTTTATTTGTGGCTACTGTGTTTATTCTTGTATCAAAAGTGTTCTGTAGCATTTTTAACTTCTCTGTCTTGCCCATATGTGTGTGGAAGGCCAGTTACAGTCCCCTGTTTTGATAGGTCTGAGTGTCTTGTTTTGGCATTTGTTTTTTTGCTTTAGCTTTTTCTATCAGGCTCTCAGTTGCTTAAGATATCGTAGAATAATTTTTGCATGCTGGTCTAAGGCTAATCCTGAATGTCTGGAAGAAGAAATGTGTGCAGTGCTTGAGGGGAATTGCAACTGATGACTCGTGTAGCCTGCTCATTCTTGTCTATACCTACTAAAATGACTTTTCTAAACTTGCATTCAACTTTTTCATAAACTGCACACAGCTTTGTCTCTTAGATGATTAAGGATCAGTGATATACTGAGTGATATACTCTATCACTATATATGTATACTATATTGATATACTCCATTTTATAGCAACATCTCATTATTTCAATTGATAAATAAGATTTTGAACTGGTTATCTTTCTATTCAATTTGCTTTGAATTGGGTATTTGGTTTCTTGCCATATTGCATTCTCATCCTCTTTTCTCCTGCAATGCCTTCCGATATTAAATGATAGGCAAATTTAGGCAATTTGATTCTTTCAGGGCTCACAGGAATAACACTAATAGCTTCTCTGTAATCCTGTGCTTTCTTTCCTGTTAATAGACTCCCTGCAATATCTTCTTAATGCCATTTTCTTCACCACTATTAATCAGCAATTGGATTAATTGATGATTAATATTTTCTAGAGCATGAGCATTAATTGGTTGTTAGAATTCACCTAAATTTGACACAGCTTGTAACTTTCTTGTGGAGAAAGGACTAGCCCTCCCATGTAAATATGTTGTGTTGGTCAGGAATGATAACTTGAGATTCCATTAAGTTTTACTTCTCAAATATTTTTTGCTTTAATGTTCTCCCCTTTAAATTTCACTGTATGTCTTGCTCTAATAAACATCAGAATGAGATATCCATTATTTCCTGGATTATTATACTTCTCATTCTGGAGTATATATGATTTTTCTATTCTTCAAATAGTGCCATCTTAATTTGATAGGCTTCTGAAAACTGTTTAATCAAATCAGAAATTTTGCTCTTATTCCCCTGATTTGTCAATTTCAGGATGAAAAAGTCTTTGTTCTTTTTATGTTTTTTCCCAAGAATTAGGATTATCTATTTCTCTGAATAGCCCTTAGGTTTCACCAAATTTTGAATTATCTTGAAGCTCCTTGTACTTTCCCAGGAAAACTGCATTATTTGTTCTCTTTGTTTCTCTCTAATGTAATAATTCAAAATGTATTTTAGATTTATGTGCAAGCTGTAGCCCAGTATGACTTTTGATTCTCTTTTTCTGAGTATCTGGTATTTCTATTCCATGTGAATTTGGTTTTATTAATAATATCTTTTTGGCATACAGCTGTTCCATTAGGTCAGAAGCTCCTATGCTATGAGGTTTTTGCCTCCATTTGAAAATCCAGTTCCAGATAACCTTTTAATCTTCCATATCAGCTTTTCTCTTCCATGAATTTGCTACAGTGGCTTGCTTGACTGATTCGTTTGTAGGAGGTTGGTTGTTTGGATTCATCAGTCTTAATTACAGCCCTACTTTATACAGTTTAAACTTGATCAAAGATAAGTATTTTTTTTGGTGAAAGTCACACTATATATTCCTCATACTTTATCAAAGCCAAATTTTAAGAAACATATCTTTTTGAGTCAGTGGATATTTAGTTTAAAGACAGTAAGTAGATTCAGCCTGGTAGTGGCAGCTTACCGCATAAATATTCATTATTTCAATTTCAAATTATTTTGATTGGAACTGGAATTAATTAGCACGTTTGTGCTCTTTGACTGAAATAAGCCTCATTTATCCCTCTAGTGCAAATAGTCACTAATAAAGATTCATATCCAATTTTATACAGCATTGTGCATAAATAAAGTTTATTTTTCCAGTGAAGTCCATGCCAACAGATTCATTCAAGGGCTGTGGATGATTTTATTATGAAATATGGGTATTACTTATTTACTTTTCTCTGTGCTGAAACTCTCTGCTAAAAGTAAGATTTCTGGGAGAAACTAACACTGAGTTTTAAACAACACTTACTAATATTCCTCCAGGATTACTAAAGAAGCACCTGGCACTTCAACAAATGCATTGATCAGGATAAACTGTTTCTAACAGCGCAATTTCCAAACTGTCTGTGATTATGTCTTTATGTAAAGTGCTGTATTACTTTGAAAATTGACTCTTCTGTTTAAAAAAAATTCCAGTGATAAAATGCTAATTTTTTTCTGTGCCGAATGTGTGTGTTTGACATAGCGCAGTGTTTTTTCTACTTGCCAGTTGTGGAATCTTCAAATGATGTCTGATAGTTTAGTTATGCCTTTCTTGACAAGCATCTGCTGCAGTAATGAGTATCAGGCGAGCCAGTGCATTCTTCATTTGTGCCACAGCAGCAAGATGTCTTGCAGTTGTGTCCTCTTAGAGCTGTGCACCTGTACAGCCTTCCATAAGATATCACTTACAATCGAAGCCCATTATTTGAAAAGTGGAGCACAGAGGATGAGACTATTGTTGTTCTTCTTCCTTTTTGAGTCTGGTGAATGATGGTGCTTAAGCCATAAAAGCAGTCAGATTGCTTTCCCTCATTACAAGTATGCTAGTCATGAACAAATGGCAATAATAAATGATGGTATGACTCAAGATGTGCAAAAACTGTAAGCACATCTAACAAGTTAAAAGAAGTACTTGAAAAATAGGCTTTTAGGGCATCTGAATAGATATATTTTTTTATTAACAACTGTCTTCACTGCAAATGTTTATAGCAAAATGGCTTTAGTTGTTTCTGCTGCCTTTGTGACACAGGAATAATCCACCAGAAAAGCACTTTTTGTGAAAACTAGCATTGGAATCAGGGTATCTGTCACCCAGTTGTCTTGATATTTTCAGTCCTTTTCTGCCTAACTACTACACAGTATTTTTCTAGTTTCAGTGTGGTGTATTATGCCGCTCTCTTTCATTGAGTATCCTGACAATTAAAGCTACATTACCTTTCCCCATAATAATGGTGATCAGAAGAAAAGAAATTAACACAGTGGGCCTTCATTCTAATAGGCTGTTTCAGCAGCCTAATTTTGTCAATCTCCTTAGATGTCAATATTGACAGAACACCAGGGCTACTCCTTGAACCTACTTTAAGCAACTTTGATTAATCTGTATTTTTGTTCATTTGTTCTAGTTTTTGCAAGGTGGACAGTTCAGAAGTTCAGCTGTTGGATCCCTGGAGTCTGTAATCAAGGCAGTATGTAAAGAAGAATCTTCATTTTTCAGCAATGCAAACCTGTTCATAGACATGCCCAGAATCATGGGACTTTTGGAGGAAAATATGGCAAAATATGGCATTCCTGAAGATTCGAGTAAGAAAAAATATCTGACAAGTTGCAGTATGATCTCAGAGTTAAGAGAAGTTTTTCCACTTAAATGGAAATGTTTATATACTCACTGACATCTCAGTTGACACTGTCATCTTGAGCACAAAGTATTGATCAATAAATGTTAAGTGGCTATGAGATAATTGTGGGTGAGACATAACAGAGCCTTCTTTTTCTGTGTTGGCACATAATAAATGAGAGCATTCCTGTGTTTGAGACAGTTTTATTAGCATTTTAAAAGTACTTAGTATTAAAAACATATATTTGAGATAAAAAATAGAGAATTTATTGCTGCTTATCTTTCTTTGGTGAGCACAAAGCTGTGATATTATAGAGCAGTAAAATATAAAAATATACATTCTATTTTGGATAGAATGAGTTTTAAATGGTTGATATTCCTATTCTAGTGCTCAGAAAATCCCTTAGCTCTCATATAGTTTCACCTTTGCTCCCTTTCCTCAATACACATTTGACTTACCCTGATTAATTTTAATATTGTTAATAACCTTGTTAGTGCCTCAGGTGGCCCTGTGCAAGAGAAGAATACAGTGACAGAGTGTCACTAGGGAAGCCTCTGTCATCTGTTGGTTTCTACACGCAGAAATTGCTCCTGGCTTGGTTGGGAGCCTTGGGAGGAAGCCAGAGCTCTGCTTTGGCATTTTCACTTACATGTGTGGGATGTAGTGGTAAGCAGGCAACTCTGCTTTTCTTTCCTGTTGGATGAATGAAGTCAGCTGGATGGCTGATTAGACAGACTGTTTGGAACTTAGTCTTTAAAAGCTGGTTAGGCCAGAAGCACACTCTTGATTTTTTTTTAATTTTTTTTTTTCAAGTTGTCACAACTCTGCTGTGCTGTGAGACCTTTTTGCCATGGGACTCTGCAGTATTTAAGGCATAAGTTAGTTCCAACATTTCCATGAGTTAATTAATCCTATTGCCAATATTTTACCAATTTTTAAATGGGGCAATGGAAAATGAAAATTAAAAAAAAATTGAAGCCACTTACTTGATTCATACTGCAGTTATTAACTTGTATGTATTTTATGTATACCAAACACTTCCTAATGACTTTCTGAAGATCGCAGCAAACCCAGATTAGCGAATCTTCTGTGTCTTAGTCTATTGACGTTTATGTCTGGCCAACTTCTAGCCTCTTAGTTCTTTGCTGTTCTTTAGCAAGGATCATGTTTACTAGTGATTGTTTCATTCAAGAAAGTAAAAATTTGGGCAAAGAACTGTTTCAAGATGAAAAGAAACATTCTTGATGAAACATTTCTGGCACTTCTTTCTTTAATTTTTGTCAGGAGTTTAAATAATTTTGGCCTAGTTTTTCATTATGTAAAAAGATTTGTCTTCTTTGAGGAGTTAATGATATTATTAATATTTCTTCAGAGTACTAGAAAAAGGATATTTTGAAAACACTTGTAATAAATTGAAAAAAACCCAAAAACATGACTCAGGCATAAAAATCTAAATGTTTCTTATAGGAACTCATTGCCTTTACATGAGTACAGCTGCAGTGGGATATCTTGGAAACCATTCCTTAGATCCCAGTTGTGAAGGACATACACCCTAATGCATTAGTAGCCCCATGTGATATAGGGATATACTTTTTATTAAGGAATGGAAAAAACAATTGATTAGATTTTTCAAATCAAGAAGTTTGGTGTTGTGACAATTTTTTGCTTGTTTTTTTTTTTTTGGTAGGTTCTTGTAAGAGTATACAAAAAGAAAAGTCTGTATTTTTGAAGGATTTTGTATATTTCTACTTCTTTCTTATATATGAATCCAAAGCTACAGAACAATGCAGGATGTGGAAGGAATTTTTTTTCTCTTTTAAGGTGACTTTTCACTCTGAATTCACTTGTGTGGGCAGAGGTTTTGTCCTTCTGCTCTAAAATGCACTAATGTAACACTTAGGATAGATGTAATTCACATGTTGCTTTTCAGAAATGTGAGGAACTCTTAAGATTCTGATTTTTTTTTTTTTCCTATTCAGTGTTTAGAGTTCTGCATCCTCAACACTATCATAGACTGTGTTTAAACTGATTGGTTGTACTGTTTGCTTAGTGGTGGTTGCAAGGTGGTGTTACCAAACACTGGTAACAGTTTTTGGCATGGTGCTGTGGTAGACTCTAAAATAAGACTCAAGCTTGTATTTGAATAAAAAAATTTCAATTTCACCTGTCTTGTCAGTCTTAAATGAGAATCTTTGTTTTTGCAGCTCCTTTTTGCTTGAAGCTTTATCAAGAGATTTTGCAAGCTCCTAATGGGGCATTGCTATGGACTTTCCTGAAACCTTTATTACATGGGAAGATCCTGTACAATTCAAACATCAGCATGATTGACCTGGTGATGGAGAAAGTGGGTATCAAGAAATGACACTATTTCTCTGTATTGATTTTGTCTTTGTAATTTGTTTTAAGGGTCCACCTTTTTCAGGGTAGGCAGAAGCAACTGGATAATTGCATTTCAGAAAAATAGATCCAACCTGCCCCCTGAGGCCTCACCTGTCCCCACTTTAAACTTAATGCTTCTCTTAACTTCTGTTCTACTTGTTACAGTGGTTCAAACTCAGTGTGAAAAGCAGAATTTTGCTCAAAGTCCTTTAAAGCAAGTATAGAAAGATTAAAAAGACCACAACAGCAGAAGTGTCCTGTGAATCATGTTGACTCGAGGTGTAGGGTGCACATATTCTAGGGAAGATTTTACCTACAACATTTTCTTATCATGGGAACTGTAATGGGGCGGCATAGAGACCTGTGGGAAGGGATGTCCCCAGGGAAAAAAAAGCTTGTTCTTAGGGAGTCACTGAGCTGAATTAAAAAGAAAAAAACTTTAATCAGTATTTCATCCTCAGTGATTGTTTCTAGCACCAGTAGTTGAGTGACCAGTCATAACTGAGGTGCTGTATGTGTGGATGCTGATGATGGTATTGAAGAGCTTTATGATCTCTGCAGTTCTGCTATGGTTGGTGTTCTTTCTTGAGTGTGATTCTTCACAATGACATGCATCTTCATGCCTAGCTTAGAGGCACTTCTGTAAAGAAGGGTTTATGATTTGTTTTAGATTTCTCCTCAAATTTTGCATTGATCTTCTAAATATATGACTTTTAACCTGCAGTATTAGTTATTGCAAGAATAGAAATTTGAAAAAAAAATGCTGCTTGTAAGCAGTATACAAAAAGACCATAATAACTTTAAATGTGATGGTAACTATATTCTCTGTAAATTGAAAACTTTGTGGTATTAAGATTGTGTTCTAAAAATATAGCAAAAAACTAAGCCAAAAACCCCACTGTATATAGCAGATACTATGTAACTTTACAGTTTCTGTTCTGAATCAGAAAAAAAGATGAGTGATTTCATGCTTTGCAGTTAAATAAATTAATTTGGGGAACATTGCTTATCGCTCTGGAATACAGTATAATTAATTTAAAATTTCTAGTCAGTTAAAAAATAAAGCTGTTCCTGATGTTTCTAGATAGAAATTATATAAAGAATGAGTTAGAAAAAATTATAAATATTACATATATTTTTGAACTTATATTCTATGGTGCAATGACATTTAGAATATAACACTTAAAATATTTCCGCATTATTTAACAAATTAATATGTTAAAACTCCATTCTTAAAACATGTGTAGGAAAAATTAATATCGTCACATACAATATATTCCCCCACAGATCTTTTAGTGAAATCTTCACTGAGTAATACAGTTCAGAAAGAAGCTGGCTTGTGGGTTGGTTTTTTGGGTTTGTTGGTTGATTGGTTCATTTTTTGATGGTGGGGTTTACTGCTCTGGATTGATAAAAACATTTTGGTAGAAACTCTTATTCTACTTATATATTCTCAGGCTCACAAAAGTTCCATCAGTTTATTCAGAAATCTCTGTAAATACACTCTTGCCCCTCTTTCCAGAGCTGTAAATTTAACAAGCAGTAATGAATGGGTGTCTGTTTATGTGTAAATATGAAAGTAGTAGGAAATTTTATTGTTTTTATTACAGCAATCTCTCAGCTATTGCTTGAACACAAAGTTTAAATGCAAAATACTGTCCTCAGTGTCTCAAATGTTGCTACTAAACCCCAGCCCTGTAGCTCTTACAAACCTGATCTCCCGCTGAAATTGGAACAGTTCTAGTTTCCTTTAGACTGTGTGGCCACATGTCATCTATTTACTAGAAGAAAAAAGTAGAAGATTACAGCTTCAATAATTGTATACTCTGACATATTCTCTGTTTTCCACATAGACTATTAAATTTGAAAGCATGTAATTGACCATTCTTTGATAAATTGTGAGGTGCTGGATTTGAGTTTCAGAGAAGGCAGCAATTCTACTGTGTGGAGTGACGATGGTGACAGTCACAGAAACAGGCTGTGGTGGTGATTGAGGGTAAAACAGTTTAGTGCCAACCAGGCATTGCATCCAGGAGTTCAAAGGCCACATGTGAGGTCTTTGATATTTGCTTTCACAACTAAGTTTTTTTGCCACTGATGAACTGATCTTATAGAAATACTTCTTATTTCAGAAGATTTTCAGAGTTGATCTTATTTTCAATTATCAGTTTTGAATAATTTTCTGCTATTTCCAAAAAACATTGGGGTCAGGCTTGCAAGGACTTTGCTGCTATAATTTGTCTACTTGCTTTTTGGGTTATATGAATTCCTAGTATTTATTATGCCTGTGGTGAGTTCTGCATCAATCACTTCTTCCTCACTTGCTTGTTCTTCTACTTCAGACTGGCACCTTCTATTTTAATACTTTGTTTTTATCTCTCAGCTGTAGTTATTTCTATTTTCTGCTTACTACTACTCTTTATTGTAATTTATTATTAGTATAGAAAATTAAAACTTACTTACATTTCAGAATTATTAGTCTGCATTAGTAGCATCTTTATAAATAACTTTGCATTTGCTATTTTCCACTTCCCTCATAATCAGTGAATTTTAATCAGGAGGTTATGCTACAGTGAGTAGTTCGGCTATTTAATCCTCTAGTACTTTTGAAATTCTTGGCTAGACATTATCTTTTCCTGGAAACTACTTATTGTTCACTTCATTAAGTTGTAGGACTTTATTTTTAACTGCTGCTTTGATAAGAGACAGATTCTCCAAAGGCTTCTGAGAAAAGAACTTCCCAAATGCCTATGGTCATGAATGAATGAGTGAAAAAACAAAACTACTTTTAAACAAACTCTTTTAAAAATTATTATTATTATTATTATTATTAAGATTATTATTTAGATGATGATTATTATTCATTTGTGCTGTGCAGAATCCAGTTAAGAAGCACTAAGCTATACTGAGCCCAGATCTTACAAGCTGCTTGGTATAATATTTTCTAGTGATGTCTGAAAGTTTAATCTCCTTGTGTTCTGGTGTGACCTGTAGTTGCTCTGTCCTGGGGAGAAAGCAATCTCCCAGGCTGCCTATTTACCACCCTCACAGCCTTCCTGGTCTCCCTTCATCTTGTCACCATCATGCCTGGTCTGGGGGTTTCAATCCATGAGGTTTCTGTGTTACTTCTGATCAGAAGAACTTATTTAGTCTACTTGACTTCAGATTTAGTTTAACATTTAGGATCACTTTCTCTTTAATCCTAATGAATGATCATGCTTTAAAGTGGAATAGGAATTCTCATAGAAGTTAAATGCACAATGTTTTTCAGGGGAACAAAATTATGTGCAAGGTCTCTTTAGGGTGTTCTGTGTTACAAAGAGGAAGAAAGAGCCACCAGAAATTGTTTTCTCATGTTGTACTAAAAGTGAGATTTTGAAAAAGGCACTTAAGATACTATGGTATAAATTGTATACTTTCAACAGGAATTATTGCAAAAAGTGTGGTCCCAAATTGAAGTTTACAACTCACTGCAGACAATCTTTGCTGGAAAATGTCACAATTTTTATCATAACAACTGTGTTGGATTGTTCTTAAATGCACTTTTGTGACTGATAACACCAATTTAAATGAAAAGATACTGCAATATTTTCTTATGTTTAAAACAGGCTGGAAAAAATTGCTAGCTGTTTACTAAGAGAGAAATTGTAACCTGTGTTTGACTGGGACAGAAAATATTTTGCTTTATTCAAGTCAAATCTTTCTCTGTGAGAGTATTTTGAAACAGATTGGTTGATCAGTTATATTTATTGTCCAAACTGTGCTTCCACATTTCAGTTTTGTTATGTACTCAGTCAAACTAGTTTGAATAAAAGACACAAAACTGAGAGGCTTTCTTTTGAAACTGTATTTCTTATTTCTGTCTTTCTCAAGCATCCCCATGATACTCTCTATGAAGGTGACACTATAAAATAAAGAAGTCTTTATTGATACTTCAGGTGGGGAACATACAGAAAGGACAGGAGAGGTTTGATGTGCTCGGTATACAAACCAAGCGAAGAAAAAATATGTTTAATTTTTTAGGTAAAACAAATAAAACATGAATATTCTTTCTGCTGATTATCAAAATGGAATGGAAAGGAGTTGCAGAAGATCTAAAGCATGCCAGTTTTTTCTGTCTCTTAAAATTTACTGTGCACACATTTCACTTAATTTGTTTCTGTGTATTTTTTCCCTAGGCTAATTTCACTTTTGGTTTGGTGGAAAACTTGAAGAGTTATTCTGAGACATGGCTTAGGATGTCTGAGATTTTCAAGACCAGTGGAAATGTTCTCACTGTCTCACGACTACAGGTTGGTGAGCTGTGGGAGATCTATCTATTTTCCAACTTTTTGCTGTTTGATCAAGACAGTATTTCTATACATACAAAACTACCCATATATCTGACTTCAGATTTTAAAAGAGCTGAAAAAGAGGCAGATTAGCTTTAGGTTATGAACCTAGAGACTGATGCTGAGGAACTTCTGACATGAAAATACTTAAAAGCAATGTTTCCTCACTATCTCCAGTATTGCTCCAGTATCACTGAAGAATAGGGGAAATAAAATGATGTTAAAAATAAAGCTGTTCTTGATTTTTCTAGATGGAAATTATATAAAGAATGAGTTAGAAAAAATGATAAATATTACATATATTTTTGAACTTATATTCTATGGTGCAATGACATTTAGAATATAACACTTAAAATATTTCCGCTTTTTTTTTTGTTTGTTTGTTCATTGCTTATGTTTGCCAGGAAGATGTGAAACTGATGAAAAAAACTGGTGAGGGAAATATTGACTGTACAAGAAAGGCATTTTTCTTACTGGGGTTTTTCTGTTGTACATATTTATGCCTTCCTCGGTCACCTCTCCTAAATCTCTTCCCCTCCCCACTCCCATTTATTTGAAATGTGTGAGGGAAAGACCAAAGAAATGGTGAAGCTAAATGACTTCTGCAGTGTCATGCAGGAAATCTTAGTAATGGAATTGAACATTAATACATATGTATATTTTGTATTTTCTTAGAGAAGAAAAACCTGAGGTAACATCTATGGCTTTTTGTTTCAGGAAGCCCTGCAAAACAATTTCGTAAAGCATTTCATAGAAAGTAATTTGGATATCAACACGGAAAAACTCCTCAAAAAAATGCAAGCATATGGTGCGTATATGAAAATACATGTAATGGTTAACCTTGTCAGACTTTAACTTAGAACTACATTTAGTTAAAATTGAATATTTTAGTTACATCACTGATACTTAAGTAAAGTAATAAGAGACTTTACCCTCTTGAGTTAGTCTCAAATGTAATTGTCTGTTTTCTTTTGAGTGATTGGATGATTTGAATTTCAAATATTTAAACAATATTGATAACAAGTCAGAAGTGGAAAAGTGTCATGGGAGAGTCTCAAACGTATCATCCATACTTAAAAGGAGTGAAGGGAGATAAACCTTGTAGCCACAGTTCCATTAGGCAGAAGTATATTTTTGTAGTAAATTTTGACAGAAATAAATAGACAATGAGGTTAGATACAGTGTGTTTGATAAAAAACTCTCTGTATTTTTTTTCTCCATTTATTCAGAATCAGTTGTGTGTGGTGTCCTTGAGCCTCAGAAAAGCCTGAGGGAGGATTGTAACTAGGGAGCTGCACTGTCAAAAGAAAGCAACCTGGGTCAGTCCCAACCCTGGGATAGCCCAGTGGGGCCGTGGGGATGATGCTGAGGGCAAAGCACCACCCCGTGGGAAGCAGTGAGGGCCCAGGTGCACAGCCAGGTGTGAAATGGTGGGAGCTGCAGCCTGGAGCAGGAGCAGGCCCAGACCCAGCTTAGTGCAGCTCTGGTGGGAAAGGAATGGCCCTGATTAATTCATTGGTCTGCCTGGCAGCCTCCCCTTGGGCACAGCCATCCCTGGCTGCTCCCTTTCTGCACTGGCAGTGAGCCCTGGCAGTCAGACAGAGAGCCTCCAGGCTTAGATAGATAGCCCAACGGGGATGGTTCTTAATGGAGGAGAAGAGGAATTATTATTTTGACTAATGTGGGATATTTGAGGATTTAAATAGGGGAAGAGAAAGGATTGTGCTGTAAATTTATGTTACTTAGTGATTTTACAAGAATTTGATAATTGAAAAAAAACCCACAAAAACAGTAAGTCCAGCTGTCAGTAAGGTGGATGCATGATCATTAAAATGCTTGCCAGCGTGTGCCAGAAGGAAAACTCTGTTCTGAAGCAGATTCCAATGTCATTTAAGAAAAGCTCATGCTGTTGAGAATCAGAAAGAGAGAAAAATGAGATAAAATGCAATAACAGACAGTGTGCCATCATGGACAAAGGGAGCAGAGTACTTCCCAGAGGAGGACTGTGGTAGAAAGGACAGATCTGTGTGGTTTCAGGTCAGTGCCTGTTTGGATAATTATGAGCCAAACAAAAATCTGTTCCAGTCACTTTCTGGAGGAGGGCAGTGATGAGCTCTCAGGTTCCCCCACAGGGGAACTTTGTGACCATAATTGCTTTGAAAAAATTGACTTTACAGAAATGTAAGTCATTAAGTCTGCTTTACAGACAAAGAATTAAGACTACAGCTAAAATAAATAAATGTACCTGAAATACAGCTTTTATTGGTTTTCAGTGTCTGCCAAGATCCACAGAGAGCTTGAAAATGAAGTGTGCTCTCAATCTTAACCTGAGCTGGTGCAGTCATGGCTGGTGTGAGCTGGTGTGGCTTTTCTTTAGCAGACAGGTTGTGAGATTTAGTTGAAATTGGCCTTGGTTTGAAGGCTTTCTTTGAAGGCTAGGACTTCTTGTGCATGTTTTCAGTGTAAGAAAAATGACAAATGGCATCTGGAATTCAACCTGGAAAGAATCTGGGCTCTGTGTCTTCCTTAGGCAAGGGACTCAAATGAATCTGCTTTCCCTTCAGATGATTTTCTTGACCAGTGAATTGCTGACTAGTCTGAGTTGTACACGGCTCACCCTTTGAGGTGAAGGTGGATCATAATACAGCTAAATCCCAAGCCCACAGAATCACATTGTTGGAAAGATAGGATGGAGGAAAGAGCAAGGCTCAAACGTCAGGGTGTGCTGGAAGCATAGTTATCTCAATCTATTAGTTTGAGTAATAGCTGGATTTTGTTTGTGTGGACCTAACACTGAGAACTACATGATAGGTTAGGGACAAATAATATTCCATTAAATAGATACCATGATCTCTGGAATTCTCAGATCCATCTTTGATACAAAGTCAAAGAAATCTGTACCTGTGTTTCTCAAGCTATAGCTTTCTCACAGAACTTAAGGACATTTGATAATATGTAATAAATGGTTAATAGTTTGGATGGTCAAGAAAAAATATGGCATAAGTGAGTGTGGCTTGTGAAATTAGGATTTCCTTATTTTAAGGGAATACAGTTGGTAAAATTAGGATCATATAAAAACTGAAAATCAATAGGGGCTATATATCACAAGGGCATTTATGCCTGTGTGAAACTGATCTTTCCAAAGCACCAGAGCACTCCTCTGCATTCATTATGCCTCTTAGTACAGATTTACTTGGTTGTTTTACTTCTTGAAAAATTATGTGCACTCTTATTTTTGTCTTAGCTTGTGTACTTTTTGTTCATTTTATTAGACCATAATCATATGTAACTTAACTGTAAATGTCTGTTCTTATGTTCGTTTTTTTAAAATTTCATTAATCTTTTATTGCATCAGCTGCTCAGTCCTGTAATTACCTTGCTTGCATCCCATTAAAGCCTTGAATATATCCATGTTAATGGTTTTGCCAGTCACAATCTTTTTAATTTTCATCCAAAGCTCCAGCTTTCTAAAATCTCCCGATCTCTGTGACTATGTCTTCTAACTAAAACAAATATCTTCTTTTATCACATCTACACTCTCATACAGATGACTTTTAATTATCCTCAAATACAAGGTGCTTGTATCTTTTTTTATTTCTCTACAATGATACAAAAAAAAGTTAACAGAATTAGCGATGTTTTTTAATATGCTACTCCTGCTGTAAAGTGTCATGGACAGAGTGGATAGATGTAGAACTCTTCCAATGTCTCTATAAAATCATCATACTGCAAGAGCTCGCAAGGTTATCAATTTCTAAAACTGTTTAGCAGTATTACTGTGTCATATTTACTCAGGTGGAGCAAGGTAAATATTTAGGCTGAGGGCTAAAAAGCTTGTGGTTTTCTTTTTAATCCCTTTACTTTCTAACCTAGCTGTGTGTGGGCAGAGTAATTGTTTTCCTCTATGCTTGCTTTGCAGCCCAGCAACTTGGAATAATTTCCTACTGATCTTATATAAACCCTGACCCACTAGAACTTGTAAGCTCCTAGCTGGGCACAGTCCTTACAAACCTTCAGGAGGCACTGGGAGGCATTTGTGCTGCAAGCTCTCTTTTAAATTCTTGCTTGCTGAGTCTCTCTCTTGTCCTTCTTCTGTGATTTCTCCCAGACATGAATTTTCTTTTTTCACTATCAAGGGCTCTCCTTACGGAGGGCTACATGTGACACTGTGTATAACAGGCAGGGTGATAAAAAACAAGACCATAACAAGCAGCTTTCCTTTGTGCTACCCCTCTGCTGCCCTCATTGTAGTGATATAATTTTGTGTGTATTTAGAAGGCAGGAAACAAATAGCTGTTATGCCATCACTGAAAACTGTGCCACCACCCAAATCTTCTGATACCTAGAAACTTTCTTCTAATTTCTGACCTAAATTTATTTATTTCTGATTTATCCTAATTTATTCTTCCAGCAACTTTTCATTTTTACTTAATAGCACTTCTATGCAATGGTTTTACATAAACCATTTGTATTTCCTCCCAGTTACTTAATGATAGGTTAAACAAGTTGAGTGGAAGATGATGGCTGACTTGATTTTTAATGAAATATGAAGATAATAGTGAACACAGATTTACCAAGTTTTTCATTCATAATTGCTACATATATAAATGGGAAAAAACAAGGTAGTCAACTGTATGGATCTTGATTTTAAAATATTCATGTAGATTGCATTTTTCACATATGTGTTATTTCTATGATGGAGTACAGAAGTTCATGCACATTTAGGACATTTTTTTTTTCCAGAAATATTTAGTTATACCACACTCCAAGCCAACAGCAATATATATGTTATTTCTTATGCTAAAATATTCAACAATTTAACTTACAAGAAAAGCTTTTCTTAGCTAATTATTGATTTCAAATTAAGGTCTTGTGTATCTATATATCACTCAATAATAAAATGCTTTCAGTAGGAGGGGACTTTAAGGATGACATAGTTCCAACCCCTCTGTCATGGGGCCACCTTCTGCTAGATCAGGTTGCTCAGAGCCCTCCCCATCCAGCCTGGCCTTGAACACTTCCAGGCTTGGGGCATTCACAGCTTCTCTGGGCAACCTGTTCTCATCTAAACCTACTCTCTTACAGTTTAAAGCCATTCCCTCTTGTCCTACTGGTATATGCCCTTGTAGAAAGTCTGTCCCCAGCTTTTTTGTAGGCCCCCTTCAGCCCACAGTAAGATCTGGAAGGTGCTATAAGGTCTGTCTGGAGCTTTCTTTTCTCCAGGTTGAACAACCCCAACTCTTTCAGCTTGTCTTCATACACAATAATGCGTATAGGGTTATATATAATTACATACACATATAAAAAAATGTATATGAAAACCCTGCCATTCAGGCTAAATATTAGGAATATTCTCTTCTCTCTAATGCTGTCAAAAAAAAGGGGCAGCATGGGTGTTTCCTTTATTGTCCTACTCAAGGACAGACATAAATAAGACATTTACTATCTCTATTCTGTTATGGTTTCTTTCAACCTATGAATTCACCCTGTCATTGTTTGCCTATCTTTTGAATTCTAGACTGTCAGTTCCTCTGCTTTTTCTCCTTGTGCACTTTACCCTTCTCACTGTTAATCATGCTTCTTCTTCTGACTGCTTCATACATTTTCCACTTATCTGCCTTCCTATTGTAATATTTCCTGTGCTGATGCTGAGTAATGTCTCTGATCCAGGATTTGTCTGTCACCACTCTTATCATAGGAGGTCATCACCTATCATTTTTTAAAGATTATATCTTCAAGTGAATGCTGAAAAATTAAGGATGGAAAATTGTGTTGAATGTTTTATAGCATTATTACCTGAGAAATTCAGATGTTTTTATTAAATCTAGATAGCATGCAGTTTCTAGGTCATGCTATCCTTCTGACTGTTCTCTCAAACATAAGGATATAGCATTATCCCTACATTCTCTATTAATGGATGAAGATCTGAATTCCTCCAAAGGTTGACTTTTTTAGAAACCAGGTTTTGATTGAGGTATATGTTCCTCCTGGATCCACAGATGAAGTAAAAATGAAGAGACTATTAAGCTTTTTTCAGATTCTTTTAAATGTACGACTCCTGTCCAAATGCTTATGCTCTATTTAACATGGTTCTTGAAATAGTCACAGTATCAAGGAGAAAAGAACTGGATAAGATGTTGCTAAATGAGAGATTAATATCTATTATGATGTCTGAAGTAGAGTAATTCCCTTGTATTTGTGGGAGTAGTTATGGAAACATAAGAAAAGGTTTGATGGTGTGGGCTCTTTCTAGAACTTTGCTAGAATTTGTTATATTTTTATTCCTTTGAAATTGAAGTAAAGAGTAGCTAAGGGCTTGTAAAAGCTACTGAAACATGAACCGCACTTCCACAAGTTCACACTAAAATTTCTGTATTTTTTAAACTTCTTCTTTTTTTTTTTTTTTTTTTTTAATACAAAGAGGATTTACTCTTCTAGGATATGCAAGTGACAACAAACCTTTATGTACTGATAATTAAAACTAAGCAAGTCCAATTTATTTTCTCATCTTAGAAACTACAGTGAACAAGATGCTTAACAGCTCAGCAAGTAAACAGATTGACCTGTTGACACAGCTTGTTGTAAATATCTCTTCCTGTGTGTTACTGGACCGTTTCCAGCCTTTTGACTCTATAGAGAAATTAGAGGAGAAGGCTCATGAACTCATGCAGCAAAATAATCTTTTGGCTAGTAAGTAACTCATGTAAAATGTATTTTTACAGAAAATTTTGGACTTTGTTGTCTGTGTTTATTGATAAGCTAGGTAAAGGTTACACAGTTTTAACATGTGCATTTAAATCACATATAATGCAGTCAACAAAAAGGACATTTTAATGCTCTAATTTAAGCTGGAAAGACTAATTATATTGTTTTACCTGTGGAATGGCAAAATGAAGCCTTGGAGTCTCTTATTTCTATCAAAATGTTTAAAAGAATGGTCATAAATATTTGAAGAAGAAAAAGATAAAAAAATGTGGAATACTGAGGAAACTTGACAAGATGACAAGATGATTAGTTTACATCCTTTCAAAATTTATTTTTTATATTCCTGACTTTTCAAAAAGGAGGAAAGAAAGGGGTTTTGTTAAGATTTTCTCTTAAACCAACACTTAGAGTAATTAGCTTTTTTATTCAGAGTAAATAAGTTCTTAAGGAATTTCTTTTCTTCCCTGGTATTATACTTTTTCTCTTTTTCCTGCATTATGTGCTTATTTCTGAGAATCAATTAATTTTACAAAAGCCTTTAAGAGGCAAGAATATTTTCCTTAACATACACACTTGATTTGCAGAAAATGCTGTAGATTGCATATACTGTTTCCAGAAGAGAGGCCCCCTTAAGTCTATACGAAGTGTTCTACAACATTTTCCCACTGCCTTTTTGGGCTTTTTTTGTTCCTCTTATGCCTATAATTGTACAACACAAGACATGAGAAAGCATTTATAAAGAAGGAAACTGTTCTGGAATCTCATGCTTGTTTTGTGATCTGCACAGTACCCTGGCAATTTCCACCCTCTATCAATATGAAACAAACAGGCTATACCTTGAGACAAGGAAAATTGCTCAGGAGTACTTTGGAGAAGGCAGGCTGTTTGTCTCTTTAAGGAAAGAAATGGACTGATAAGTCTTGGCCTTCAGGAAACTGAATTATCAAATTATAGTTTCATTTTTCTTCCACTTACCTAGGGAAGGGTCATATGCTAATATAAGTCAAGTATTTTTCAGTACTCTGTCCTTATTATCTCCCCACATTATTAGAGAGCAAGAAGATGGCGTTCTAAGGAACATAATGTGTCCAACATGTCAATGTTGCATGCTCTAATGTAGGCATACATTCCTTTCCATAGAAAGAATAAAAGAATAGAAAGATGTTAAACTGGAATAGAATTTTTTTTTTTTTTTTTTTTTTTTTTTTTTTTTTGTGGTCTTGAGAGCCTTCATAGCTCTGACATGGAATGTCTTAGAAAATCAACTGTTTGTGTAAATGGGAAAAATGAGGTTGGCTGGTTGAAAGAAATCAGGTTTGCAGTAAAGTATTCTGTATTTTATTATCTTTCACAGAACCAGATGGTAGGTAAGATAACTCTCCCTTTTCCCAAGGAAGAAAAGGGCAACACTTAACATTTATCTGGAAGTCCTAAAAGGTCTGGATCCTATAAAAAAGAGAACACAAGCAGTTTCATGTATTTGGCATCATCTTTACAGCTACATGTTTAGCTTTCATCTCTTTGGTTGGGGTTTCATTTCCTTTATACAGAGCTAGAGAAAACAAACATGCAAATTCTACTGTACCAAAGTAGAAGTTCTGCAATTGACTTGAAGATTAATATCAGAATAAATTTTAGTGGGTTGGTACTGTTTACTTTGTCATCTACTTATGAAAGCTGTTATGCTTTGATGCACAAATTTTATGGCTGTTGCTTTTACTGTGCAACTGATTATCAGTCCCCCAAACAGGGCTAAATGTGGATGCAAAGAGAAAACTGCAGCTCAAAAAAAGACAAATCACCTCAGATAAAAATGATTTTTATGAACCCATCTATCATGTGAATCATCTTTTACATTTCATATTCATGAATGTGAAAAATGTATCTCTGAAACATGCCATTTTTGGGCTTGGATTCAAGAAGGTTTGGAGGCCTGCCCTGATAGATTAATGCATCCTATATCACATGGTAATTAGCCATGAGTTAGCTATGGAAATAGCATAAATTATATAAGCTTAGTTATGAAGCTTCCTTTCTTCTTTTGTCAGGTATCATCTTCAGTACACCAGAGGACAAGAAGCAAGATTCTTTCAATCTCCTTCCAAGACACATTTCATATACAATTAGAACCAGTGTTCTCTACAGCATGAGAACAGATTTGCTTAAAAATCCAACATGGAAATCCCATCCCCACAAGTTGCCAGCTGATGGGTTTAAATACAACCATGTATTTATTCCTCTTCAAGACATGATTGAAAGGGCAATTATTTCAGCACAGACTGGGACAGACACCTCAGAGACAGCAATTCAGGTGCAAGCCATGCCTTACCCTTGCCATACCAGTGACCTGTAAGTAAAATTTCAGCTTTTTAATTTGATGTATAGTCTTTGTTAGATTAGTTCTAGAGAAGCTGACATCCTACTAGGTTCCCACTTTTCAGTGAGTGAATGTATATCTCTGCACAGGCTTAAACAAGTACATCCAATACCAGAGTATTGCAGCATAGTAAATATCGTCCAAGAGCTGTGTTTAACATAACATGTTGCACAGTGTTTGTAGGCAAATGGCCCCTTACAAAATGTTTGAAGACATAGTGTGGAGTAGTCCTCTGGACAGAGGCTGTGTTAACATAGTGTGCATTTATCTTAAATTACTGTAATTGATTCCTTTTAAATCCTTAATTGTCCTGTACACAAACTGTAAATTGGTGCCTTGAAAGGTGAAGTTGATGAAGCAAAAGTGTAGGGTTTTTCTCTGTAAAACCATCAAAACATCCCAACTATTAAATTTTAAAATTACTCAGTGGTAATAAATCTGTTAAAGTGGAGTGAAAACTGACTGGGTCATGCTATTCTTTGTTGTCCAACTAGATTTCTTTGCCATTGACACAAATCTGAATTTTGTTTGACTTTGAATGGAGCCCCAAAGTGTAATTATATCTGTTTTATGGTTTAAAATATTATAATATGTAATAATAAAATAATAATATTGTACCAATACATGCATGTAGCTTGTTACATAAAAAAGAATTCTAACCAGAACAGGTATAAATCTTATTGTTCATGTCAGATCTTATTTTTTGAATATTTTGAGAACAGTTCCAGTACACTCTTCTAGAAAATAGTTTACCTTTGTGGGCTGACAACTCTTCATATTTGTTCTTTTATAGATTCTTGAATAACATAGGGTTTTTTTTCCCACTTATGATGATGTTAACATGGATGGTTTCAGTTGCTGGTATGGTTCGTAAGCTGGTTTATGAAAGAGAAATTAATCTTGAAGAGGTAAGAGGCAGATTAACCTCTGAAAAGAAAATTTATTAATTTAGGTGAACTGAAATACAAAAGTTGTGAGGTACTTTTAAGTACTCATAATCCAGATGGCTTTGTTTTCACTTGTTTCCTCTAGGCAGTAGGCTCTAGTTCTGGCTGCCAGCTTAGTTTCAAAACATTGTTTGAGCATCAGTATGCAAATATTGTCTATGAGAGAAAAAGCAACTAGCAAAAGTTGAAGTTGGAAAGTGTTATTTGGGAGACCTTGTGGTTAGAATGATTTTTGTTTTGGATTCTTTTTCATATTTTGCTCTATGTAGTCTGTAATGATAAAACTACCTAAAATAAGTTAAGAATTTGTTACAAATTTGTTATGAACTGTGTAATTATCAGAAATAAAAGGGAATTTTTATACCAACAAAAGCTGAAACAATTATTTGCTTCTATCAACAGCTAGTCTTCACAGGTGCTAAGCATTTGGAAGTACAGGGTCCTTATGATACATTTTCTATAGGAATAAATGCACTTTTTGAAGAATTACACTGATTTCACTGTATCAGCAGAATTACTGCTTGAGTAATATTTTTAATTTGGGGAATTATTAAGGAATTATCTCCTTTCTCTAATCTTTCTGTTGTAAGGTAAACTTTTTTAGTGCTCCCAAATATTAAATCAACTTAATGTTAATTTTGATGATCTTATGAAAACTGCTTCAAAGGTTTTATTAGATTGTATCTAAAAAGCATAGTTTTAGAAAAAAAGGGATGTACTTCATACCTGGCTAATTATTTGCCTGATAATACATAAAGGTAACAAACTGTATGCCTCTTTCAGAAGAGTAACAGGCTGAGAAAGAAAATGTATATATGTATACAAAGTTGTATATAAAATTGCTGTGTATATTCTCAGTACTTTTTAGACTATAAAAAGGCAAAATCCTAGCTGGAAGAACTGGCAGTTTCAGTTTTTGAAACCTATGCAAAAGAGAGTTTTGCTGAGCATGGTGATTACTTGTGATCATGTGTGATGATCTTAGAGACTGCCCTGCTCAATAACGTGTCTGATCTAGGAGAGAGCACAGCACAAGAACAAAGAAACAAGAAATTTAAGGGGAAGATGACATCCATAAGGAAATTGGTAGTATCTTGGTGACAAAATGTTTTGTTTAAAACAGAAAAACAAGAAAGTTTGTTTCCTAACTTTAACTCTCTGCTCTGTTGTCTTGCAGTATATGAGGACAATGGGTGTGTATCCAGCCATTCATTTCTTTGCTTGGTTTTTGGAGAATGTCATTGTGCTCACAGTAAGCAGCTGTGCTCTGGCCACCATTTTAAAAGCAAGTGGTATCTTTGCTTATAGCAATGGCTTCCTTGTCTTCCTTTTTCTCCTGGAATTTGGAGTTACAGTCATTATGTTAAGCTATTTTTTGGGAGCATTTTTCAGCAGTGCCGATACAGCAGCTCTGTGTGCCAGCCTTGTCTATATGATCAGCTTTTTACCCTACATAGTTTTGTTGGTATTGCAGAACCAGTTGAGTTTCACCAACCAGATTATAATGGTAAATATTTCTTCTTTTCTAATTTTTTTCCTCCAAATATGCTGTGAATTTCTATAGTTTCAAAACCTATGACCATAATGTATTTATTTTTTCCCATGTTGCTGTTTGCTTTTGTGATCATTGGAAATAAATCACGCTAATAAATCTCCAACTGAGAAAATATTTAGAAGCTAGAAAGGAAAGAAAAATAAATTTTCAAGGCAATTTTATAAACCCACAGAAAATATCAGGAAGTTGCATTCCTCATACTCATGAGTTCTCTTAATGTCTTGACCTCAAAATTTTTGTAACATTAGTGTATTTTCAAGATCACCTGATGACATGCCACTTCTCCAAGTCGTTATTTGTTTGGAAAAAAACCTAGTGATTGATTTTCTGTTAATATAATTGGGGAATAGATCCAAAATTTGTTCAACCATACAATCTTACTTATGTGTTTCTTTGGTGTAGGTTCTTTCAGGTCCTTCACTGTTCTATGTATTCCATAAGTTGTTTTGTTTTATACATTTGTCCTAAAATACTACATCCCTGAATGTGACATCAAGTATCACCATCATATAAAGAAAACCATATTTCACACATTTTGGCTTCACTATTTCAAAATAACTCTCTAAATTAAGCTGGTGGAATAATTCATATACTGTTAAAAAATGCAAATTTTTTTAGTGTCATTTGGTCAGATAAAATAACACTTTCCAGTATTAGTAACTAGGTCAGTTGAGCTCTTGTTAGGTGGAGCAAATACTGCTAAGGTTTGTGAGGGAGTATGGTTAAAACATAAAATGAAATAGCAACCATTAGCCTATGTGGAGGGGAAAAAATAAGGTCTATTAAGTTTGTGCTTGATTTTATCATCACAATATATTTTATTTCATGGAACTTGTTAACAGAATGTTTTTATTTGGTGTTCACATACTCTTTCTCCTCTGATATTGTAGTGTCTTCTTTCTACAACTGCCTTTGGGCAAGGAATATTTTTCATTACATATTTTGAGAGCCAAGAAATAGGTAAGCTCTTTGGTTAGGAGAAAAGCTTTGTAATTATTATTTCAAAAACATTGAAAAAGTTTTTCAATCTGTTCTGAAACTCTCTCTAATAAATTAATAAGCTAGATCAAGTTCAGGTATATAAGGGGATATAATCTTTTTTTTTTTACTATTATAGCAAGACCAATATTGATGACTGTGGATGTTTCAAACTATTGAAAAAGTGTCATATGGTAGAACAGTTTATAAGAGTAAAAGAGACAATTGCAGAATATATTACATACATTTCCCACTAGTCACTTCATCAAAATGACTTATCTTTACTGAAAGATGGGCAAAATGTGTTTTGGAAAAAACTACTTACCTTGACAATTGTGGAAAAAGTATTGTAGAAACAATATCATGATCCACTGTACTGCAAAGAAAGTGGCATTTTTAGTTAAATGTAATATTTTAAATAAATTTACAACTTTGTTACTTTTGTTTTCTGTTTAGCAGTATGGTAGTTTTCTGTAGCACTAGTGTTTGCGCCTTTTTTTTTCCTTTCTTTCTTCTGCAATGTAATAATTTTATGAAGCAATTATTCAGTGAGTTCATTCATGTTTACCTCTGAATGCAGTCAATGTACACAATGCTTCTTGGTTAGAATTCACAGATTTAAATCTTCAGATTTAGCATTATAGAAATGATATTAAACTTTGTATAATCCTTTTCTTTATATCAGCAGAATGGCTTAAAGCCTGATTCATTGGTCAGTACCCCATTTTGTCAGTGTTGTAGTTCTTTTCCTTTTGCCAAATTAGGGGGCCAGCTAAAACTTGATAAACAACCCTTTCTACAGCATCTTCTCTATATTTTCCCAGCAGCAGTGCCACCTGCTGTTCTAAATACAGGCTTGTAGAGGCATAGAAATTTTTTCTGTTCATTAGGATTACTGTTATTAACTATGATTTGTCTTGTGCCAGTGCTTTAATACCCAGAAGTGTGTGGTGTTGATGTGTTTGTGATCTTTAATGCTGTGCTGATTTAGCTTTGACCTTTAAAAATATCATTATTATTACTACCAGGAATTCAGTGGGATAATGTGCACCAGTCAACAGCACAAGGAGGATACATGACCTTTGGATGGATGTGCTGGATGATGTTCTTTGACTCCATTTTATATTTTGTAGGTGGCTGGTATTTCAGCAATATTATTCCTGGTAAGATCATGGGCTTGTTCTTATTTCATGTTTTTGAAGAAGTTATTTAATATTATTCATCCATTAATATCTTCACAATGTAAACATTCAGCCGCCATAGGAAACATTGTGTCATTGTCTTTCTTGTTTTTATGCAAATAAACCAAAAATATGTATTTTTCTGAGTTATAGTTCTGTTGTGCAAAACGGTCTGACTTTCTTTAGGCACTGGGAAAAAATATCTTCCTAAATATATAAATACTGACTAGTGCTAACACATGGACTAGAATTTGTAGCCAGGCATGAAATATCTTTTGTTTGCTGATGGGTAGGCCAAATGTTTGATAGAATTAGGAGTTTATTGGATCTTCACAGTAAGAGAGCCTAATCTCATAGCAAAACTTCCTGGGAAAATGGTGAATCTCCTGTCAGTACCTGGGCTGAAACCCACGAACAGCAGCGTGTTTTCAGATAAAAAACTTCAGACAGCACAGTAACTGTATCTTGTTCTCAGTCAGTCTACAGTCCAGTGTACAGAGAAAACAAATTGATTTTCAAGTATATTTTCAGAAAGTAGTGGTGTGTTTATTTAGATTTTTTAATGAACCAAGTTTTATAAGTCTTACTGAGTTGGTTGATGTATTTATAATCATAGCCTCATGCCTCACTGTAGTTTTACCTTTCCTCTGATGATTTACCTTTCACCTGATTTGCACATGTCACTTTTTCTTCTGGCTACTTTGTATTTCTTTTTTTTTATTAAATCAAAATTATTTTACCTTGAAAGATAGGGGTGGATGGAATATGCAACTGAATTTTAATAACTTTATCTTCAATTAACACTTGTCCTTCAGTCAATATAATGACACTCCAAACAGAGAGTGTGTGTATTGTGTGATGGGTAAGTAATGCCTGAAAAGATCAGGCACTGCCAAAGATTAGTTTGTATATGACTGTGTTTTTGCACTTTTTGTTTATGTGCCACAATAAGTGTTTCTTTTGGTGGCTGATTTGTTTGCATTTTGCAGATATTAATGGAAGAATTGGTGCAGTGGACTATTTTTATAATAAAAAAATAGGCTCTTTCTCTTGGCAGGCTGTTTGATGCATTTTCTTCCCTATGGGTACCAGATTATATTAGGTCTATTAAAAGCTGATTTGGAAACAGGATAAAACATAACTGAGGCTTGATTATTTTATGAAGGACCCGGTTTTATGACCAAATGAATTTTTTACACTTAATTAAAATATTTAAGTAGAGAAAAGTATTTGGGCTAATTAAAGGGCCTAACCAGCTTATTGTAAGCAACAATAGGACATTTTTAGTCTACAAACAGATGCAAAACTACTATAAGTTTTTCAACAGTTTCCATCATAATTCTAATATAGGAAAATTTGGATTGAAGAACCGATGGTATTTTCCCTTTACTGTTTCCTACTGGAAGAGCCTGTGTGGTACAGAGAGAAACAAGAGACATTATCTGAATTCTAGTATGTTTTTCTTCAATAAAAACTTCCAAGAAAAAGGTTTGTAGTAATAGAATTTGAACTTTTTTTTTTTCTGAATGGTATGCTAGTCACAGTCAATGTGCTTTTGTCATTGCTTGTTCCTGTATTATATGTTTAGATCTTATCCCTTTCTCTCTTTCATTATGGAGTATATACTATGAATATCTGTTACGTTTTGCTACCCCCATAATGATTGATTCATTCTGTGAAAACTGCTATTGTACAGAAATATTTAAGAAAACTCTTTGAAAGATGTAAAATAAATATCTCTTGGGTTCATCCTGTCCAGTGTATTTTCACTTTGCCTTGTTTGGATCTTTTGAAATTCACTGAACTCTTTCATACTCTTACTGAATCTGAAACGTGTTGGACTTTATTAACTTTTAAAAATTTTGCTTCTTGTTTCAGTGGAAAAATTAACTTTGTTCATTTCTTTCCCTTCTGTTTCTAATTTCCCTCTTCTATAATCACTGTTCTTTCTGTCTCTGCTTCTTAGCCTTTTGTCTAGAAAGCTGTTATTGTAACTAATTTTTTATCAGCCTCCAGATAATTTCACTGCTCTTCTATGTATGTTCACTTGCTTACAATTAATTAAATTTTTTTTTTTTTTTACTTTTTTTCCCCTCTCCAGTCCCTTTAAGGACGTTCACACAATTAGTTAGGTTTTGGAAATGAAGGAGTATTCACCTGTATTCCCTCTTGGGGCTTAGAACAACATGATGGGGTGTTGTGCTTCTTTTGGGAGTTGCAATATCTTAGAAATGATCCAGTTGTCTGTAGCATAGGTGAAGAAGCTGAACAACTCAGCAGTTTTACATGCAGGTGTCTTCTAGATTGCAGCAGATTTCAAAACATCTTGAGGTTCATTTTAAACACTCATGGGAAAACTATTTGTATGAATTTTATCTGAATTTCTGCAATTTGGAACAACTCCATTTTATTAAGACAATTGCATTTTGTCCTTACATAAAATGAAGATTTTCAGTGTTTCTCTCTGGGTTCATCACATAATCTGCAGAAAACAAAGACATAAACCTCTTTGCCTGACCAGTTTTAGAGTGGTTTCTGGCTCAAATTAATTCAGTGATTTCCTCATGTCATGTGGTTGATAGCAAATTGCTTGTGTGTGAATGCTAAAACTGTCTGAAGCAAAGGAGCTTGCTGTCCTTTAAAAGAATTGTGTGCAATTGTACTGACAATGGGATAAATGCAGTCATGAAGGATTTTCTAGGACAGCACAATGACTTGCTTCCAGGCAGTTTCTTTACTTGTTCCATACAGCCCAGGTAAGGGCTGGTCCCAGAGGCACAGAGAACATTTAGGAAATCAGAGGTGTATGAGGGAGGAGCTGAGAGTGTAGGTCCTACCAGCTGGAGCTAAAACCATAGTGGGGCTGGCAGTGACCAGGGTGCTGTGTACCCACTTGGAGCTCCACTTTGGAGAAGTCCCAGGGTAATCAGTTTAGTGCTTGGAAGTAACTTGGAGCTCTCCCTCTGAGTCTTTCCTGAGCTAGATTGTATGAGGCCCCTCTGCGCTTGAATGATTTTTTGTTAATTTAAAGGATGCAAATTTAGGAAACAGCAGAAAGGTACCTGGAAGAAAGCTGCATGGCTAGGAGAACTCAGTACTGTCCTGGCTGCTGGGAGTACCTAGCTAGCAATGACCTCAACTTTGGAAAAATTTTTGCCAGAAGCTTAAAATTGAGTGTGAAAGCAGCAAAATATTTTCTTCATTCACAGTGTAAACAAACCAATCTTTGAAATAATTATGTATTTTTAAATTTCAGATTTGATTCATACAATTCAAGCTTTTTATGTATAGGATAGTTTTCTCTTCTTGTAACATTTGCGTTTTATTTACATAAAAAATATTGCAAAGAATGTAACTATAGACCATAAATATCTTATGTATACGCATATTCATAAGAACAATTTTTCTCATAATTCTCAGGCATAAAAGTTTGTTTCTTTGGATTAACATTCCAATCTGGCTTGCCTTTGCTTAAAAATTAACCAACTCACTGTCAGATCTCTAAGCAGTAATAAGTCAATAAAATAGTAAACATGAATAAGGTAATGGGGCTGCTGGTAGACTGTGCTCATGTTTGGAAAGTAGTGCAAACCTGACATGGAAAGGAAGGCAGCTTCATTGGTGTCAACTGGCATCTCAGTTTCCTGAGGATGTTACCTCACAGCTAGAAGATTGTTAGATATCTGCTTGCCTTGAGCACCTTGAGTTATGCTTAGACTGGGCTGCTGCCCTGAATCATTTTAGAGATCTGCTTTGCTTAGTTGACTGAAGAGAATTGAGAAGATTAACTGCCTGTAAACGTATATCAATCTTGTGTGCCTGAAACTGGATGACATATGTGGAGTAGCTTACACAGTTAGAATTTTCTAATGCTTATAGGTATAAAAAATGATTCAAGTAATGTTGTTATAAGTATTTTTTACTAGAAATAGAATATAGCAACTATTTTATGGCATTATAAAGACATATGTAGACATGCTCATAACTTGGTGTTGCAAATGGGCCAAATTCTTAGCAAATATTAATTGTCATGGTATCTTTCATTTCAGTGTAGTTTGTGTCAGGTCAGTCAATCTGAACATCTGTTCTAGGCTTTGGTAAATGGTAGGAGAAGTTAAATTATTTTGTTATTCCTTTTATGCACAAATACACGTTTAGATTCAGCAACCAGCTTGTTCTGCTACTCTTCCCCCCGCAGACACATCACCTCAGAGCTGGAAAGTCCCTTGCACTGAAGGAGCCACCGTTGGTGTTGTGCTGCTGTCCCTCACCAAAGAGCACGTGGATGGTCAGAAGGCCGCTGTTAAAGATCTCAACCTCACTTTCCATAAGGGCCAGATAACAGCGCTCTTGGGACCTAATGGAGCTGGAAAGACAACAGTTATGTAAGCCCAACTTTTACTGCTGTTTCTGTCCCCTCTGATCTCTGCTATGCTTTTTCAGTTTAAAATTATGTGAACTATTTGCTCTGCTTCCCCCCGCACCCCCCCCCCCAATAAATATTTGATAAACTCCTCAAAGCACATGGAAAGTGAAGGTTGTATATCTATGATGAAAGGAATGTAATGAATAGAGAACTGATCCTCTGTGCCACTTAAACCATGATATGATATCTCAGGAACAGCTTAAGTAGGACTTGGGCATGTCTGGTGGTGGAGTTGAATACATCTTGAAAGTGTGTTCTTTTTTGGCAACCTATCATATGGAGAGTATGGAGTTTTATGGTGGTTTTGTCCCTAGAAGTTGCAGGGGACTTCTTTCTTGGCAGTTGACCAGAAATGAAAGTAATAAAATGAAAAATGACCTTTAAAAATGTCTCAACTAAGAAGTTTATGTTTCTACCTTTCTGTTAGCTATAATCAGCTTTCATCAAGCCAGTGACACAGGATGAGACCAACTGGGAAATACTCCTCACAGAATACCCATGTGAAGAAGGAAACAATCACCTGTTAGATTTGGTTGGGAAAAAAATATTGATTTTGCTCTGGAAGAAGGGAAATGAAGAACTCTTGAGATCATGTTCAAAAAACAAAACAAAAAATCTACCAACAAACCAATTAAAAAAAAAACAACAAAAAAAAAAAACCCCAAAAAAAACCAAACCCAAAAAGCCACCAAAAGCAAAAAGTAGCTAAACCCAAACCATTAGTGACATCTCTATAACTATCCTCGACTGAATTGGTGTTACCCTAAGGATGCTAAACCATTCCTCAGGATATCTAAGTGAAGAGCTAATTGCATGTTGTCTTACTGGATTCTTTTTTTCTTTTCTTATATCAGATCCCTGTTGACTGGTCTGTATCCACCGAGCTCTGGTACCATTATTGTTGATGGGAAGGACATACGGACTGAGCTGGCTGCCATCAGGACAGAGCTGGGTGTTTGTCCCCAGTACGATGTCCTGCTCAGCATGCTGACAGTGCGAGAGCATCTCCTGCTTTACGGGTCAGTGAAGGCACCAGGTTGGACAAAAGAACAGTTGAATGAGCGAGTCAGTAGGTAAGTTTTCCTTCCTTTTCTTGAAATCTGTCAAGTAAATTGGTGATGATTGTTGCAAGCCACCCAAAAAAAGAAAAAAAAAAGAGAAAATGCAAAACTTTCAAGAAAAAAAAATAATGGAAACTGCAGGGTTTTGTGAGTTTTTGTCGCATTTCATGCTCTGAAATCATGACTGGAAAATAGATTTCCTAGTGTCTAACTATTCCTCGAATATATTTGTAGTGGGAACTGTCACTGTTTAAAAACCTGGTATACAAAACCATCAAATAATGATGTTTTCACTGGAGTGGAGGTGGTTAGCCTTGTAGAAATTGTAGGTGTTCTGCCTCATGCTGTCTGCCTTACCCTTATCTCTATCCTTGCTGAAGAAGCAGATAGAAAGAAAACTGCTGTACTTGTTTTTAAACAAATCAACATAATTGCTTTATATATTTGTGATCCTGTATTCCTTTACCTGCAGCAGAAGGAAAGTTAGAAAACCAGAAAATCCAGGTAAAGGCAGTGATTGCTACAATATTTTTAAATAAGCCACCTCATTTTCCTTTGCCAAATCCTGCTTTGAAATGTTTTTAATAAATGAAGAGGTTTACAAATGAAAAAAACAATAGCAAAAATAAGTCAGAGCTCTGACACGAACTCAGAGGCTTTGCCACTTGTCAGGTTAAAAATATTTGCTAGTGATTTTGTGCTGACACAAAAGTGTCCTTGCTTTTTCCTAGAGTATATTAAACTAACTAGTAAACAGTACAAGCTGAGATCTGGTTCATTAATAGCAAACTGCATTTATTCTACTTCAGACACAAAAGGTATGCTTTTCAAACAGTGTGGCAGTGTAAAGTGTTCATGTTTACCATCTGATTCATGCTAGACTCTATGAAGGGCTGGGCATTTCCATGCTTCAGTGGAAACAAATGTCAAGTTGATGGGACTTCTCCTTAAGTGTACAATCAGGCAGAGGCATTTGTGGCAAAGTGGCTTTCTTTGTTGGCTATCATAAAAGCCTGTTAGTTTTAAATTTCGATCTGAATGGACTCAGGCGTGGACACTGTTCTCTCCAGAAACAACAGAAGGAATTGTCTAGAACTACAGAGACAAAACAAACTTAGTAAATGGTTTAAAATTGACACAAAATAATATTCTGTATTTTCAAGTATTTAACTGCTGAACTGTAGTTCTAGCAGCAGCCTGTCATACTAATGGCACGTGAAAACGCTCAGAGCTCTGCAGGCCATTCTACGAAAAAAAATTATTTTTAAAGGCAACAAATGCTTTAAAACACTTCAAAGAAATTAGAAAAGCAACAAAAGAATGAAGCAAAACCTCTTTACTAATTAAAAAAGTGGGCTTCTAATGAGAAATTCTCTCAGAGTAAATGGCATCGCCTCTTCACTCAGACTGCATATTCACTGAAATTCACTAAGGAGTTTAGCTTAGGACTGTAGAACCTTCTATGTCTTGCTTGCCAAGCTGATAGCAGCTGAAAGCTCTTAGGTCACTGGCTGTATGCTCAGTGTGATGAAAAATAAGTTAAAGGTCTTAGAGTATTGACTTTATTAATCGTGTTTCCATACCATTCTCACATGCAAGAGCAAGGGCTGAATTGGAAACATCTGTAAGATATCTCCCAGTCCTTAACATAGGAATTAGATTAGATTTGCTTAGATAGTAATATTCTACCCAGGGATCTCTAATCAGTTTATTTCATGAAACTAGCAGCCTTTATCATTATTTAAAGGGGCTATAATCTGTAGTTTGCTGAAGCTGTTGGACAAACTAGTATTAATTTTATTATCTTTAAAATATTCCTTTACCATATTATTTAAAACCTGTGCATCTGAGGATGATAAGCATTTATGCATTGTAGGTAGAGATTTTTTTTTTCCTATTTGTTTTTGATACCAAAGTATATAATCAGACAGAGGTAGTGATTTTATTGCTTTCCATTCACAGTGACTTTTCAGTACTTGTTCTCTGAGTGGACAGAATGTGACTAGAATGTCCACTTCAAAATTGGTCCTGTTTCTGTATTCCTATTCAGAGCTCTGGAAGATGTGCATTTATCCCAACATCAGTACAAACCTGTTGGAGCCCTTTCTGGAGGAATGAAAAGGAGTCTGTCAATTGCCATCTCCTTTATTGGAAACTCAAAGACAGTTGTTCTGGATGAGCCTACAAGTGGAGTAGATCCATGTTCTCGCCGTAGTATCTGGGATGTTCTTCTGAAGTACAAAGCTGGTACAAAGTTTATGCACATAATTTGCTTCTTCTTTTCTTTTCTGGTTTTCTTTTATTTCACTGAATTTAATCTGAATAGTCCAAGTGTAGTCAAAATATTATCAGAAGCTAAATACATTAATTTCTGAGGAAACATTAAGTTGACTTGGTAACTTTAAGGCAAGTCAAATGGCATTACAAGAATTATCTGCTATTGTACAGAAAGACTTAGTTTGAAGTCCTGTGCTAAAGTTTCTCCCCTCTCTTCAGCTTCTCAAAATTACTATCTGGTTTTCATTTCCCATTTTGCATATACCTGTATATATATGCTCACATACTTATAATGAAAATATATTCATCAGTCAATCTGCTACACTAATTCTAAAACTGATTGTGGGGAGCAAACTCTTCAGCTAGTGAGCACTCAATTAGCTGTAATAACTCACATTGAATTATCCATTGAAAGAGACTCTGATGTTATGTCATTTTAAGGAATTTCTTAAGCTTTTAAAACAGCTGGAGGTTCTAAAGCCTTAATACTGTTTGCTATGTATAAAGCAGGGCAAAGTAACTTTAGAATTAAATCTAACTCAATTTCTTGTTCTGACAGCATATTTTGTTTGAATCCTGTAGTTAAGATTTTAAAGAGTTCTGAAAATGTTTCCCTAAGGCTAAAGGACCCTTGTAAGGGGTTTGTCTAGAAACCAGGTTTTGTAGACATGTACCAATCTTTGTCATGCAGGTTGCACACTGATCTTTACCACTCACCATCTTGACGAGGCCGAGGTGCTCAGTGATCGCATTGCCATCCTGCAGCGTGGCCAGCTGAGGTGCTGTGGTTCTCCCTCTTACCTGAGGGAGACATATGGCCAAGGACACAGTCTAACACTCATAAAAAAGGTAAGTTAAGAATGTTCTGTACTGAACTGGACAGTGCCTGCCGGGTATATTTTAAAGAAGATGTATGTCCTTGCCAGGAAGTAATACGTTTAATAATATAATTTTTGGAAAACCAGCAAAACATGTTTTTATCAGCTTTCTTGGTTGTTTTGTCTGGGTGGTATTATTATTGCTATTTAGATGAACAAAATGGCATCTTTAAAAATGGTGAATATTAGTATTTAGCTGAAAATTGGCTTGTATCACTGTCCTTTATTCCTGGGAGGTAGTCTCTGTATCTCAGCTGTGATGCATCTTCATCAGTAGAATTTTTCCTGCATGAATTCTAATATTAAGACAAATATTTCTGGTAATATGTAATTTTTTTCTGCATGATTATCTTTCTTTCTTTATAGCCCTCTGTGATTGAAATCCAGGACCCTAAGCACATTGTTCAGGTCACTTCTCTGGTACAGACCCACATTCCAGAAGCCTTCTTGAAAGATAATAGTGGGACTGAGCTGACCTATGTGATCCCAGAAAGGGCAGATAAGACCTCTTTTAAAGGTCTTTTCCAAGCTTTAGACCAAAGCCTTCAGCATCTACATGTGATTGGCTATGGCATTTCTGACACAACTTTGGAAGAGGTACTTGTAGTTTTTCTGTGTAATGACATTTTCTTAGTTAGAGATTCTTGATTGTATGATTGTATCTTTTATATTGCACAATTTCTTGTGAGAAACATATTAAAAAAAAAAAAAAAAAAAAAAGTGAGCAAACAAACAAAACCTCCCAAACCAGGTAAAATCTATACCATATAGTTTTGCTTTGTGGTAATCTCAGCACCCACTCTACTATGGCATATTTTTTTATTTTAACAATCTAATGTGAAGACTGATGAACTGTGTAACCCTTAATTTTTTTCTGCATTAACTTAAGGGAAATGTAATGTGTCATTGACTTTATGAGAAGCAGCATTGTCCTAGGTTCATCACATCGGAACAAGCTTTGGGTTTTCAAGTCTGGTGATTCAGCTCAGGTGGCTCTTTGGACTGAAAAAAAATGCTAAGAATACATTCCAAATTACTAGTTCTGAAGCTTAGGACTTAGCCAAACTGTGTGATGAAATACTTAAAGAATATTTCCTGTGTGTACCGGGAGAGAAAGTCTTTGATATATGTATACATCAACATATACACACACATATATGTACATGTGTGTGTGTATATACTAAATGGATCAGAGGAACAGAGTCTGTTATGCATCTTCATCATTCTGAATTTAGCTCTGTGTAAATAGCCATGTCAGCAAGTGGTTGTTTCCCTTGGACTCTTTTTACCCCATCTATAATTTCTCAATAACAAGACTCCCTAAACTACCACTATCCAAATACTGTACTGTAGATCCTTTAGAAATAATATTTTTTTTTTAACTTCAAGTGAGGATAGGAGACTGATGTCAAACTGTGTGATAGGAGACTAATTTCTCCTATCATTGATAGTTTGCAAGTTTAATAAACATTTTATTTAATGTTATGAAGTAAATTAGATTCCTGCGATACAATTCTATGAGGCAAGTAAAAAAATATTGAAAAGTTTTTATTTTCTTATAGAAGATGGATGATTAAGATGGTATAAGGAATATTTTTCACTAACAAACATTAGAGATTTGGAGATTTGGATCTTTAAATGTGGTATTAGATATTAATGTATCATTCTTCAGCTTGAAGATTTAATGCATTAATTTGGGTTGATTTCTGTCATCTCTGCATCTCATCATTAGTTGTTACAATCTCAATTCTCTATTATCTTATCAGAAGCCTCTTTGCATTGGGCACTAAAAGAATAGCACATAATGGCACTATTTAATCTATTCAAGCAATTCAATCTGGAAACAAAGAACCCTGGCCTTAAAGGAAGAAATGTATTTTAATTTTTTTATCATTTCTTTTTGTTCTCTTATACACTCACTATTATTCTTTTTCATTATGAGGGACACTAACACTCTCTAAAAATTGTATTCACTGAGGGAAAATGGACTTCCATTCATATTTTGAAGGAATCTTGAAGTTCTAACAAATCAGTTTCTGACACCTTTAAATCTCACTAATATTATGTTTACTCAAATTTAGGTTTTAGATATCTTTTTCCAACTATTTGTATTTGTGTATTTTATAATACTTGTAGTCCAAAGTGTTGATAAAACCAAAGGGAGAATAGAAGAGTAGTTAATTAAATTCAGCATATACTAAGAGATCTCTGGAGGATGCTATTTCACTTTCTGGCAGCTCTGGGGATTTTAAAGCTTATTGCTTTCTTGCTTTTCTTTGAAGGGAGAAGAAAAAGATTGTAACATCTTTTCAAAATAAATGTGTCAAAATTTGTTAATTGAGCATTGTTTTAAAATTATTTTCTTTGAAATTACCTGAGATTTTGCATCAAAACTTTACGGGCAAAGCCATATTCCTCCTTGAAATGATGGGTGTCTTCTAGTGAGATGCAGGGTGCTCCAACATATTCTGGTGATGGCACAATCCCATTAATCTATTTCATGTAATATTGTCATTTGGCCAGATTTGTTTCCTCAAGGACAAAAAGCACTTTTTGTCCTTGACAAAGACAAGTCCTTAGTCAGATATAGGCTTGCTAGTCAAACCAGAAATTAAACAGAATTTCATAGAATTACAGAATTTCAGAGAACATTTTGAGTTGGAAAGGACCCAAAAGGGTCATCAAGCCCAGGTCTTAAGTGAATGGCCCACATGGGGATTGAATGCACAACCTTGCTGTCATCAACACCATGCCCTGACTAACTGAGCAAGCAGGAATTGCTAACGCATGTGGGGAAAGGATGCTCTGCTGAGGTCTAGTACACACCTTCATTTAGATGTAGCAAGAACATACTGTCTCTTTGTCATGGTGCTTAATTCTGACTTTTCCATACCTGTGTGTTTCAGAGGGCACTCTCTCTGTTAATAACACTGTTAGGCTAATAGCACTTCTGTCCACAATATCTGGTGCAACATCAAGTAAATTATCATATCTTCTGTACAATGTAGTCCCTAATGAGTCCCATTCTTAAAAGGATGTGTGAAAACTGGATACCATGGGGAGGACTGGACAATGCAGGTGGCCTTCTGCCTTTATAGCTGTATCAGAGTATGTGTCAATGAAGCTGACAACAGACATAGGATGTATTTATTACACAGGCATTTGATGGGTTTGTTGATTTTTTTTTTTAAGGTATAACTACATCCTGTTTACAGTGACTAAATGAGATTAAATAAGAAAATGTGTCTGCTGCTATTTTGGAACTGAAGTAAACATAAGCAGGCAACGTTTTGTAGTGTAGGCATTGTCCTAGCCACAGATGTGTAGTTACTTTGTGGTTTCACTAAGTGGTTGACAGACCTGAAGGTCAGGAGGCCATCTGGAGGCAGCTAGACAGGATCAAGAATTGGGCCCATGGGAATCTCATGAGGTTTAACAAGACCAAGTTCAAAGTTCTGCGCCTGGATCAGGGCAGCCCTCAGTACCAACACAGGCTGGGGATGAACAGATAAGAGCAGCCCTGCTCAGAAGGATTTTGGAGTGCTAATGGATGAGAGACTGCACATGACCCAGGAATGTGCACTCGCAGCCCAGAAAGCCAAACATGCCCTGGGCTGCATCCAAAGCAGCGTGGCCAGCAGGGCCAGGGAGGGGATTCTGCCCCTCTGCTCTGCTCTGGTGAGAGCCCACCTGCAGGGCTGCACCCAGCTCTGGGGTCCCCAGCACACAAGGGACAGGGACCTGTTGGAGCGAATCCAGAGGAGGCTGCCAGGGTGAGTAGGTGGATGGAGAACCTCTCCCATGAGGAAAGGCTGAGAGAGATTTGTTCAGCTGGAAGAGGAGAAGGCTTTGAGGGGACATAATTGTGACTTTCTAGTACCTAAAAGGAGCCTATGAGAGAGAGGGACTTTTTACAAGAGAATGAAGTGACAGGACAAAGGAGAGTAAGTTTAATTTAGACATTAGGAAAAAATTATATTTTGTGAGGGTGGTGAGGCAGTGGATCAGATTGTCCAGAGAAGCTGCGGGTGTCTCATCCTTGGAAGTGTTCAAGACTAGGCTTCATGGAGGTCTGAGGAATCCAGTCCAGTGGAAGGTGTTGGCAGAGGGATTGAAACTAGATTATCTTAAATCTCTTCAAACACAGGGCATTCAGTGATTCTGTGATTGTATTGTTGTAGTTTATTTTGGTTTGCTTGACAGAATTGGTGTTCAGAGCCATCATCAAGCAGGTCCAAGAAAACAAATTAGAATGTAGCTTTAGACTGTCAGGATCTGCCTCCAGGGTCTAATACAGAAATATCAGGCCAGAAATTTCTGGCCTTGCAGTTGTTAATGGCCAACGTTTTTCCCTGAAAGCTGGCAGGTAACAAACATAATCAATAACAACTGTTAAATGGCAATTATATTGACTAAGCAAAATAGGGTTTTGTAACAGTCAGGCCTTAGAAAGTCAAGAAGTATCTTTTAAGAGCTATAAAGCACTTCACATTGACTGGTTTTTATTGTCTATTGTATGAGCTCCTTGGAAACAAGGAATTTTTTGTTATAGCTGATATCAGGTTCTTTTGTGGGAAGAAATAAATGGTTTCTTAATGATTTCAGAAAGTTGCACTGTGGGTATAATCTGTCTTGCAGCTCAATCCAAACAGAGAGGAAAGAGCAAAAGAAAACTTTCATCAAGACAAAGAAAAATTTAGTTGCTATTTTTCTGTTTAATTTGAGATGCTCATGGTGCCTGTATTTTCTATAAATTTGTCTGTCTTTTTATCTGAGGTTTTTAGATCACTATTTGAATTGCAGTTAGGTTAAGATAAGGAAATGTTATTGTGTTTTTGGTTTGAGCTTACAAGAAGTGGGGAGTGTGTGAATAAGACCCACTATGAAAGCTTCTGCAAGGCTTTGGTATGGATAAATGAAATGCATGTCTCTAAAATTCAAAGGGCTTTATCAGGACATAACTGTGAAACAGGTTTAAGGAAAAAATAGTAGTTTGAACACCAATCTGTTTGGCAAAGTGTATATACCATTTAAATAGACCTCATGATTATGAAGTTGATGAATTCTGCCGGGTTTTAATAATTTTAACTATAAGTCCCTTCTGACATGTGTTCCCCTACTTTAGAAAACTCAATCCTTTCAACATCAATCTAATGCATATTTTTAGATTGCTGCTTTTATGAAAAAATAATTTCAGTTTTTCTCATGGTGATTTTAGGTAATGTATTCCTATCGTCTCTACCCAATTTGGGGTATACACACTAATGTTTTGCTACAAAACACACATTGTTGCCCGATCCTGTCTGTAGTATTAGTTTTCTAAGACTTTGTTCATCTTGGCTGTCTTTGATGATTGCCTTGTCCTTTCAATGTCTTTCAGTAATGTTATTGTTCATGTGCTTGCACATACCTAGGCATGTTTCCTGAGTGTCCCTAGACACTGTGAATTCCCTGGAAATTGTAGGTTCTCAGCTTTGTAGGATTTTGTGCATTATATTTAGATGTTCTAGTACAACTAGAACGCTTTGGTAACAGTTTTAGTTGTGCCCATAGATTTCTAGCTGGAGCATCAGAAGAGATTAAGCTGTTTCCTTGGTAAAAACTGCAGTAACTGAGTTCCAACACATACCAAGGCTTAGAAGCATAAAAAGTCAATCAAGGACAGACAGTCTATTGAAAAATCTTTGCAGATAGTAGTGTTTGTAGGTCAGCAATGTTTTGCATGGGTGTTTTTGCATTTATTGACATTTATTTCATTTGCCTTATCCCCAAGATTTTAACAGGAGATCTTGACTAATTTTATTGTCATATTCCAGCAAGGTGTTTAGAGCAGTCAGTACTAATTTCTGACAGTCTGAATGGTTTAGTGTGTATATATCTATATCTATACAATAGTTTTAGGAAATTGATTCTAAATTACTTTTTTCTATTTTCATGAAAGGTTTTTCTGAAGCTGCTGGAGGACTCAGAGAAGATGCCCTGTGTTCCACAGGCAGCACACCTGGACCATACAAATGGTGCTGAATCAGTCGGTAAGTAAAAATTTATGTGCCTTCTGAAGCAACTAGATTTATAAAGGTCAAAACCACTAATGTAAGCATGCACGAAGTTTCCAAAGTGAGAAATGCACAAGCAAATGGAGAATACTTCTTGCTAACATCTGGTAATTTCTTTTTTGTGTGTCTGCCTTGGGAAGTAGTTTTTATATGTCTGCTATGATTTACCTCTAGCCCTTCACAGTCATCTTCCCACCCTTCTGTGTACATGAGCATTCTCTCACTGCAGCAGCACTGACTTACTGCTTTGTGCTAGTCCGTGGAAACTAATTATCCTCTCTGCCTCATACTGAAAATGGATAAATATTACAGACATATACCACAGATATAAAATCTCTACACTCTAAGAAAAGTACATTCATGTTCATCCACATACAATTCAAAATAAGAAAAAAAAGCTGGTTCCCCTTGTAGTAGGAGATCATTTGTCTTCTTAAGTGGCATGTTATTTTAGGTTCCTTTACATCTTGTTTTAAAGAAAAACCCTTCATACTTTCTCTTTTTCTGCCCTGCAAGCCTGGGAGGAGGTCCTTGCTACACTTCTGAAAACACAGGAAGATTTTTCTCTTAAAAATTCTCTTAATAAGAAGAATCACTAATTATCACTAATGATCATAAGGTGATGCCTTTACAAAATCCAAGACTCAAGTTCTCTAATGATAGTGCCCATCAAGTTGATTAATGTTTTCACATTGGTTCTGGGATTTTCATGCTTCTATACTTATCATGTTTCTTTCTATTTGAAGATTGACATTTAGATTATAGTTTTCTTTGGTTAGATTTCAAGCACTTTTTTCTATGTGAACTACTTTTCAGTATGTTTCTATAAAGTACAGGCACAGGGAAGTCCTGATCTGTGGACCTTTAATGTTACTGTAACAGAAATAGCAATTTTCAGCCAAGCTTTCTTTATTTGTTAAGATAAATTCAATTGATACTGCCAGTAATAAGTAATCATTGCCAATAATGGTGGTCTAAGGTCAGACTTTTTCTCACAAAATGCGAGCTTGAATAGATGACTTTTTCCAGAGTGTGTGTTTGCTGGGCTATTCCATCTAGATCAGTGAAGATGTAAGTGTATAAAATTAAAACAACTTCACTAAGCAAATAAAATTGACACTTTTGTCAGTGGTGAGAATGTGACTTCTATTCAAAACACAGTTTTGAATATCCCTTATTTTATGAATGTCAATTTATTTATTCAAGACTCAGCTAGGACATCTCAACTAGTTTCAAATCATAACAATCTGCCTTCTCCACACTGCATTTTCATTAAAGAGTAAGATTTACAGTTCCTAAAGTAATGAAGACTGTATATTCTAGCAAAGAACTTGATATACTTTCTCATCTGCATCTCAAAATGTATAAAGGAGTATTTGTTTAAGTTATTACATTAATAAAGAATTGAGTAATCAGAGACTCTATATTTTTTCACCCTGATAAATTATAGCAAGAATATGCGATGATAATGCCATTTCTTTGAGGATGAGACTACTGGAAAATTGTCATTCATTGCAGATGACTGTCATTCATCATTAAGGACAGTTGTGAAGTGTAGGAATAAGGGATCTGGAAAATGGTCATGAAAGGTATCCATCATTGTCAAAGTCAACCAGAATATTCCATGGGCAATAGCTTGACTTGTATAACTTTGTCTTTGAAAGCAGGTTCAAAGGCAGTCAAACTTTCTGTTGTCAAAGAAGTCAAATGAATTTTCAAACCTCCTTAGAGCAAGCAGCTGGGATTACTGAGGAGATCACAGGATCTGCTGCTATTTGATTTGTAAAAGAATTTAGACTAGAAAAATGCTTTCACAAAGCACAGATCTGAGCTCAAACAAGGGTGTTGACTATCCTTTAATGCTGTTGAGCCCTTGAGGTGTCAGAATTGTGCAGAAATCAAAATGTTGTCTAATGTCTCCTGGACTAGGAGGTGTAGCAGAGAGGTGTGTATGTCTCTTCTTAAATGAAACTGCAGAAAATCAGTACACAATTTAGGCTGACCACCAATGCCAAAAATATGCAAGAGACATTATTTCAGCAAAATATGACAGTATCACACTAAAGTCAGAGCTGAGATAATTTCTAGTTATGTTTTACAGTGTCTTAGTGTACTTTGTATGATTGGAATTGAGTTAAATATCTTCACAGCTGCCTATATGGTGCTGTGCTTTGGATTTGTGACTGAAACAGTGTTGATAACCCACCAGTGTTTTGGCTATCACTGAGTAGTATTTACAGTGCCAAGGCGTTCTCTTTTCCCACATCCCTACTATGAATAAGTTGAGGATGAGAAAAAGGGTGTGAGGGGACACGACCTGGACAGATGAACTAAATTGACCAGAGAGTTATTTAATGTCACAGAGTGCCATGCTTGGCAACAAAAGCTTTTTTAAGGAGGTAGCTGTTGCTACCAGTGGCTGAGCATGTCTACATGTGGGAGGTGGTGAGTGATTGCCTTTGCATTATTTGGGTTGGATTTTTTTAGTTTTTAGTTGGTTTGTTTTGGGTTTATTTCTCTTTCTTTTTCCTTTACTGCTGAAACTGCCTGTATCCTGGCCCACAATTTTTCTAACTTCCTCTTTTCCTAATCTCTTCCCCATCCTGCTGGGGGAGGGGGAGTATAGGTGATCAGCTGTTTGGTTCTTGGCTGCTGCTTAAGGTCAGCAATGAAAATAATGCAAATAAACTCAGAATTATTTAAGCTTTTCTAAATGCAAATGTTATAGGTAAGTAGCAGTCCATTAATTAAATTAGCTGTAACAGTTTTAATATTAGTAATTTTAAAGATACAAAGCACACTGTAATATATAGTAGTTTGTTTCCATTGTGAATGGTTTTCTCAAAATTTTTAGTTTTATATGAATGAAAAAACCTTAGACTAAACTCATATTTTTGTGAATACAGTTAAAATTTTGTTTTTAAGTCAGGGATTACTGCATGTGCAGACGTAGTACATAGATATATTATAATACAGTCACGCATTATTCATTTATACACAGTTGGAACACACAGTAGTTATTGTTTTGTAGATGTATACAGAGCATGGAGAAAAATTGTTAGACTGAGATTGTAATAACTGTTTGACAAGACCATTGAAGCCAAATAGCCTAGAGAAAATGGAGAAACCAACTCTATGGAGGCCAATAAAATTATCATAATCCACAGCTGGCAATATATATACAGAAATGATCAGGAGAACTAAGACCAAGTCCAAGATATGAGTAGCTAACCATGGATAAATGACAAAATGATCTGAACATATGCAAAAGCAGGTAATAGGCTACTGAGTGGTCTCATTGGCAAATATTTAATTTTCTAGCATTTATTGTCTTAGAAATTTCTGGGAGATACCAACTTTGGATCTAGTTTCTTCTGGCAGTAAACTACAGCTGGAACCCTTGAGGTAAAATGAAACTAAACTGTAGAAAATGCAAAATTAATTATTATATTTTTGCACACAGTAACATGTAACATTTGAATTTTCTTGCCACACAATTGCAGACACTTACAGAGACTTAGAGTATTTGCCATACATTTTAAAAAGCCAAAGAATGGTTATTAATGGATGTATAATATGAACAGCTATAGTAACAGTAATGCTATTAAAACTCATATGCCTCTGGACTTCTTGGGTAAGTTAGCCTCTGAAAGTGTGGGTGGGGAAGCAGGTTGATGCATAAATACTTTTTAATGTTGCTTAACCCTTTCTCTGAAGCAGCTGGTGTTAGCCATTTTGAACCATATTGGGCCAAATGTGCTGTTGCTCCTGTTAGGGTTGGTGAGATCAACAATATACGCTACTCATAAAGCTCAGCTAAAAGCTAATTTACTAAGACTTTGTAGCTGACAAAAAGCAGTTGTTAATAGTGAAATATCAAAATGAAGAACTTTTGTGAATTTCAGCTGTTTCAACTCTGCTTTTTAATTATCTTCATGACTGACACTGAAGTAAACATAGCCTTGCTGGTGAAAAAGAAAGACAACTGCTGAAAGGTGATAAGTAAGACCAGTCCTAAGGACTGAGTTAGATCACTTGAAAAGCTGAATCCATTTTAAATAAAGGGTATTTTAATTAAGCCAAATGCTAGGCATGTATGTGTAATGGGAATTAATATTCTGGAAAGGACTGACTCAGAGTTATCTGCTGATCCTGGCTGAGAAGTATTTTAAGACAGCTAAGGTGATTTATATTTGAGTTGAATGTACAAAATGATGCGAAGAGGTCATTTTGACTATCCATTCAAAATTGATGAGACTGATGCTACAATACTAGTACAACCTTTTTGTCCACATTTTAAAGTTTGAATGACTTTAGGGAGAAATTGAGAATTCAGAAAGTGAGCAGAGAAGAATTAATATTAGGAGGTTGGCAGTGAAGTCCTCATAAAGGCACCATCAGGGCCTCTTTAACATAGCTTATCAAAAATAAGATAGAGAAGTGGTTTGCTTAAAAATCCTACTATTTTTTTAATGCATGGAAAATATTGTCGGTTAAAGTACAATTCTACCTTTTATTCGAGCAGAAGAGAGAAATGCAATAAAAGAAGCAAAAAGTAAGCAAATAGCTGTAATCTGGAGACAGGCAAGAGTTAGTTAGCAGTTGGAGTTATTCTCCCCAGGGAAGTGTGTTGCTTCTCTTGGTGCATTTGACACAAGACTTTGGTCTTTGCAGAAAATATGCTAGAGTAAAGGGTGTTATTGATTTCTTCACATGAGCTGCAGTGTGAAAGTTGATATCTTTTGGCTGGTGATCAAGTGATTTCTTCTATTCTTAAACAGTATCTTTTAATCCACTATGACAAATTGAGTTCACTGTAATTATAAATAAAAAGCCTTGACAGTGATTTTTACAATATCCTTGAAGCTGTATTTTAACATTAATTTTTAAATGGAGCTCAGTTCTTTCAATTCCCTGTAAAATTTGCATAAAAGAACCTAGGAATTATTTCAGTACTCCACCTTGCAAAATGTAAGTTGATTTATGAGAAGAATATTGTAGACACAAAGCATCGGTTTCTCTGTTTAGGAGTAACTATTTCAGAGACATGAAGGTAGGTAACCCTACCTGCCTTCCTCACACCGCATATTATACATAAATTGTTACTTCCCTCCCTCACAATATGGGGCCTATGTGTTGGACAAAATTTTCACTTAGATAATCAATAGAAAGTCAAACATTTGGCTTGAGAAAGCATTTATTGCTAATAGCTAGTTTTTTGGTTTTATATGGAAAGTAAATTCTGATGGTTTCTTGCCTTGCTTGAGTTTACAAGTGGAGTGTGTATTTTATAGATCTTTTTGTGTTTGTATATATATATGTATATACACACATATATATATTTACAGATGAAGAAAGTGTGTGTGTATGTACACACATGGATACAAATATTTTTAAAGTTTTGCTTTATTAATGATGTTGCACTAGCAACACAGGTATTTTAACTTCAATTATGTAAGTAATGTAAATGACCATTTTTTTTATAGCAATGCTTATCAAGAGTAAGATGCTTGCTTTTCATTCTGAAAGGGAACATTGCTTAGGGAAGGGGCTTCATGAAGTCTTCCTAATGTCTTGCCTCATTTATTCAGTAAATACTCTAGGTATGTAGAAAGTGTGCTATGGATCTTAGTTGTGCTGGTAAGACTCTCTTTGAGGCTGATGCTTCTACATGAAACTAGATTTTCACCTGTCCAGTTCAGTCTCAGAAGTATTTCCTCTGGTGATATTGTTTTCTCTGCTCTGTTGCTAAAACATTCCTTTTGTGCACCAAAAGCCCACAAAGACTTTAGCAATATTCATACTTTTTTTTTTCTCAATACTAGCAACATTGTGCAGTACTACATGGTGGTGGTTTTTTTTGGTGTTTTGTTTTGGGGGTTTTTTTGGGGGGGGATGTTTTTTGTTGTTCATTTTCCTCAAAATGAAAAAAATTGGTTTAGGATTTACATGGACAACATGTAAGGTAGTATAGTATGAAGGGAAGTATGTGGAGCACTTAGGACTACCCTTTTTTTGCTAACTTTTCATATGATAAACTTGTTACAAGGTGATACAAGACTTATATTACACTGTTGCTGAGTTGTTCCACTTTGAAATATAAGTGGACTTCATGATAGTAGATCTGGTGTTGAACTTCTGTATAGGTGGAAATTTTTAGCCATGTAAGGTTTTCTCTTTCTATCTGGCTCTAGGTCTATTTTACAGTTTATTTAGGTTACCATATTTATTGGAGACATTAGAAAAATTGGAGCTGTTGTTTCTGCTAATCCAGATCCTTGAAGCTGTTTAATACTACTATTTATGAGATACCTGAATGCCTGAGGAATGAGATTATTCATCAAACACATTTTTCAGTTGTTTGCTATAGGCTCAGGTCTGAATAAAACATGCCTCCTGCAGAACTTTCAGTTTTGAATTGTTTCCCTGTACAAACTTTGATATGATTTTTTTATTAATAGAATATCTCCACTAGAGATATGGTCTAAAAATATTCCTAATTATGGGAGCTGCAGTATTTTATACCAAGTACTTTGTTTGTATTAAGGTAATACTTGCAAAAATTCTGAAAGTTAAAGTAGGTCAGAATGTCCTTGTCCGTCATGGTGAAATCTGGGCCCTGCTAAAGTTATTTCCTCTGTTTAATGTGTGATTATTCTCAGAGCAATTCCAAGAGGCTTCTTCCAGCGTGCTGTACACAGTGTTTTCAAAGGCCACTCATGGCAAACTGAGCAGCTGACAGAAGTCATCTGCAGTACAACAATGGAGAGTTGTTATTTAAAAGGTCCCTTTGTGGGAGTAACCAGTCGGAAGTGTTTGAGAACATCTGGTTTGAATATATAGTTCTTTCTTCTGTTGCTGTATTTAATCTGTCTAGTTGGAAATGCTAAGATACTTAGCATTAAGTCTCACACATAATGTTATGGGAAGTGGTAGAGCAAAGTTCAGATTTTGTTGCTGTCCTGCCCTTTCACCAGTTTTTCACTAAACACAGCAAAACTACTGTGGGTTGTAGCCCATTGTCTGCATCGGATTCAATCTTGAAATGTTGTAACTTGAGTCTATAAGTTGAAATCAATAGGTTGAATTCTAACAACTTTCTGATAATTGATTTAGAAAGAAGAGGAACCAATCTCAATAAGTGTGCTGCTTATTGTAATAAGAGGGTATATTCTAGTGCATGAGATGTATCTGATGGTTGCTTGCCTGTGCATACACAAATGTATTCTTTCTCTTGGCCAAGCCTGGCATAGATATATAGATACATATGAAATGAATTGGGATACTTTTTTTGCAATTCTGATAGTCTGTGCTTCTCTTCTGTTGTACTTTCAAAGAGTACAAACAGAATGTGAAAATGGGCTTCCATTTTGTAGCCACAGTCTGTGCTTTTCAGCTCTTCCTCTACTTGCCTCCTCCTCCATGTGGCAATTCATTGCAGGTGCATCACTGCAGGGAAGATAGTACTGCAATAAAAGGATATCTATTTGCAAAATTATCTCCTGGAAATTGAAATTAGCATAGTTGTTAATGTTGCAAGTTAACCATGCAGAAACTCAAAATCAGAGACTTAGGGTTTTCAAATCTGCAGTAATTTTCTTTTCCAAGACATGATAGTCTGTGTACCTGACTGAGCATTTGTCTTTTTGTTTATTTGTTGGTTTGTTTATTTCCAAAGAATATTCCTATCCCATAATAATGAAGTTGCCCTGGCCATAGTAGACTTTACCACACAAGTCTAAAAAGATACTTGGTGTTTAATTCCAACTTCTTTTTCAGAATGGTTTAAGCTGGCAAACATCCCAACTAGGATGAAGAGATATAAATTATGGCAAAGCAGGAAAAAAAACCTGGAAATGTAACAAAAGAGATTGTTTTAGGCATCACAAATGTAGAAACAATTGAAACCCTCTAATTATGAATTATTGGAAGGGGACATTCAGCAGTGTGTCCTCCTCTTCCACCAGGCCCAGACTAGCTTAGGTGGCCATTCACCAGATTAGCTTGCCTGTCAGTGTACCAGCTGTATTTGGCTCTCCACGGTGTCTGTAGGGTGATGGACAGGAAGACAGCACCATTGTTTCCCATTTCTTTATGCTCATGTACTGTTTGTGTTCTTATGGCTGGAGAAGGCAATGAAACAGTATTTTGCACTAGAAAATTAATTCCCTAATTGAAAGTAATGACGGTGCTTTTATAACCTGGAAGTGTTACACTGCCAAATAAATATATGCTCAGTCAAGTTTCTGCTATGGCTACATTTCTGCCCATTTCCACACTAGTGAAAACAATAAGGGGTGTTTTTACACCAGCTCACACTTGAGCAGCAACAAGTATGTTGTTTTTTCCTAGCTGCTGTGGTAGCTATTATTGTTTATTGTATGAGCCACAGTGCCTTGGAAACCCAATCTAAAGTCATGCCCTGTTGTTCCAGACACCCTACAGACTAATAGTAAGAATAAAAAAACTCAGGTCCTTACCACCTCTGACAGCTTGCAGTCTAGTTTTAAGACTGAATGCAATGAGTAGATAAAACAGAAAAATAGGTTTGGGAAGGCAAGAGTATAAAGCAGGTCCACAAATTAAAAGCAGAGATCTCAGATCATTGTCTTTCTGACTATTTTATTTACTTGCTAAATGCCATTTGGACTTTCTTGCTTCCTCAAATTTATATTTAGAGTATGGTTGTGATGCACATCTGTTTTAAAGTTTTTATCTACTACCACACATGGTGTGGCACTTCTAGAAGATTATCTGTTATTTAATATGAGTGATGACAAAGATAATTTTTTTTTTTTTGCATTGATACGAGACTGAGTATTCTTGCATTAAATAGAGGGTTAAAACAGTCAGCCAATTCTGTAGGCATGTGAGTACTAGTAATATGTTAATTAAAGAGGCTGGCTTACATTTTTTCTGACTTGGATGGGTGTTTCAGATACCTAAATTCATATTTAATATAATAGAATTATAATATTGTCTATAAGTAGTTGTGATTGTGAACATATAAAGGAAGGGAAAACTAGAATCTAATTTTTAGTTTTAATCTACTTTGTATAATTGTGGAGAAATATTTTCCTTGCATTCAGTGGTGCTCATCTCTTCATCTATTGTTCATACCTCTAGTATGCGCTAACTTTGAGAAAATGCAAATTATTGAAATTAAAGGATGATATTCATAATGTGAATGAGGCTATGTTATGCCTGGAGACAAAATAAAGACCTTGAGTTGTATTATTTTTTACACTTAAAATATGTTCTGACTATTTTGTAGATCTTTGCTGCAGCATAGTGTGATGGTGGTTGGATGTTGAAAAAGTAAATTCAGGTGGGACTCTGATCAAGTTCACATTGTAAACTCTACAAAAGTTGGAGAGTTTGGGGGACAGGAATAGCTATTTGCTACATTTAATGAGCTCTTGAGGATCTAGATCATGTACTCTATTCAGGTTATTTTGGGAGCTATCTTGTTGTATATCCGTATGTATTCTCTACAATTGGGTTATTCAGTACTCAAAAGTTAGTCCTAATTTTAATTATTTCCCAGTCTGCTAGTTACCTATCCCAAAACTATCCCATGGTAGGGTTAGGGTCCAAGAGGAGTAGAGTATTTTAGATTGTTACTTGAAGTGTTTGTATGAGTCATATTTCATGTGAAACTTTAAGCTGAAAATTCCTTGTTTTAGCAGTTCCTCCTCTCCTAACAAAATAATAAGCAAAGAGTGAAGCTCATATTTTGGTTAATAAATTTACAAAATCAGAATCACAGAATCATTTAGAAAGGAAAAGTCCTCAGAGATCATCAAATCCAATCTATGACCTAACATCACCATATCAACTAGACCACGGCTCTGAGTGCCACATCCAGTCTTTTCTTAAACACCTCTGGGACAGTCGCTCCACAACCTCCTTGAGCAGCCCATTACAATGTTTCATCACACTTTCTGTGAAAAAATTCTTCCTAATGTCCAACCTAAACCTACCCTAGTGCAGTTTAAGACTCCTCTTGTCCTGTCACTGGTTTCTTGGGAGAAGAGACTGACCCCAACATGGCTACAGCCTCCTTTCAGGGTGTTGTAGAGAATGATAAGGTCTCCCCTGAGCCTCCTTTTGTGCAGGCTAAGCAACTCCAGATCCCTCAGCCACTTTGTATAAGACTTGTGCTCCAGGCCCTTCATCAGGTTCATTGTCCTTCTTTGGACTTGTATTTTCTATTGCCACTTAATAATGTGTCTTATGTTATTGTAGAATGCGTCTACACCCTGTGATAAACCTAAATGAAAATCTTGGCTGCAAAGTGATGTCCAGGATCAAATGCTCTTGCTTAGATACACCTCTGTCACTGCTTGAATAACAATGCAGCAAGTAAGAGTAAAGAAAATTATTTTATGGATGAAAGCTTTTAGCTCTTCTAACATCTGGATATTTTAACTTTTCTTCTGCACAAACACACTTGACACTTCTTTCTTTCATTTAACTAGTGAAAGTCAGATATATCTCCTCTCCAACATGTCAAGTATGAGGGTACTGTAGAGCATTTCTCCCTCTAAGATTTAAGTGCAATTGTATCCCACCAGTTCTTCACCCCCTTACACATTGCTGGGAATAGATAATTTCTACTCTGTTTAGGCCTGATTTTAGGATTTATTTCTTTTAAATACAGCGATAAGTTTGAAAGGAGTTTGCCCCATTCTTTTCCTAAGCTTTTTGTGTACAAATGAACTTTTGTTCATACCCCTTATTCGAGGAAATAAAAAATAATAAAGAGCTTAAAGAGCCTCTTTTATGAGTTTGCTAGAAGCTTTTCTAGGAGCTTTTTAGATTGTGAGATTTGGGTATTGGGAGTTTCTTCAGTGTGAGTGTACAGCACATTTTTTTGGTAACAATGGTTCTTGAGTTTTCAATAGGGATTAGATGTGTTGTTCACACTATCATTTCAGTGGTCTTCAGTGTGATAAAATATTAAGCGTGCCAGATCTTGAACAAGAATAATATCTTAGATAAAGGAAGGAAATTGTCTAATCAGTCAACTGTCTGGTTTGAGGACATGGGCTTAGGAGATCTGAGTTGTGAAGGGGGTTCTTTACAAGGTTGGGGAGTAACAGACATCAATTCCTTGGTTTAAAACATGTTAATTCTATTGATGAACTCTACAGTTGCCTAGATCTCTATTACTCTGTCTCAAAGGTCTTCAGGCCTATTCAGAATCCTATTTTGGGGTCTGGCACTCAGAATGTAAAGCTAAATTTTTAATTACAATCCTACACGTTTTCCCTTCAAAAATGTTACTTAATTGGATTAATCAATATCTGTGGAGTAGGGAGAAACTCTTAAACAGGAAATTCTTAAAACAGAAGCAATTTGAATCAATGTTTTAGAAGAAATATTTACAATGCCTAAAATTAAAAATAGCCTGAGGGGAGGAATAGGAGGATTTATATCTGAAAATGCCCCAAGGCAACTTCTCTCATGAAATTCCCCTCAAAATAAATATTTTTCTGATCAGCTTTGGATAGAGAGAACACATTACTTCATTACATTTAAGCAAGAATCTGTCACTGTATGAAACACAGACCAGATATATTCCCTTTATACTTTACACCATCAAAATGCCTTTTATTCACATTCCCCACATGAAAATCTGTCTTCGACATCCTTCTGGAAAAAAAATCAATATAATAATGGTTTTTGTAATGAGTAGAAAAATGTGCAATAGGAGGAAGAACATTTTTGTATCTTCTAATGAAATGCTGTGCACAGATTGGTGGGCTAGCACCACCTCTGGGCCAAGTATGGTGTGTGCTGAAATGCAGAATGATGTCAGTTCACTTGCTCAGCTTAGAACTACTTGTTGGCACAAAACTTCTGATAAACCAATCAATATGTGCTGCCTCTGAATGCTACCAGTTTTGTATGAGCTAGCTCAACTCTTTTGCCAGGGTATTGCAGCTCCAGGTATTAACTTCCCAAAATCTGGACCTCTGCTAAATGACTTGCCTAAAAGCCAAAGTGACAGAAGTAGAATTGAAAATGTATGCTCCTGACTTTTTGTTTATCTATTGCATAGCCCATCTTTCCTTCTGCACTATAAAAAACATTAGAATTACATTGTTTTCTAGAAGTGAAAAATACAGGACAAAAGGATCATCTAAGACCAAGTGAGAGACTTTTACAATAGTTTTTTCTGTTCCTAATTCTAGAGTAGTCTATAGGCAAGGATTTTGATAATTTTTGTTTCAGGATTTTAGGCCTTGTTCTGTTTCCCTGTACCTAATATTAACCTATATGTATTGGAAACTAGCAAAAGTCTTGTCTGTAATACAAAGGAGAGTCTGGATGAATTGGGAAGTACAAATTAATTGTGAACTTAATTAATTGCACTTCTGGTGGATAATTGCAATTGTAAGTCAAGCAAGACAGCTTCTAACACTTGGGTCAGGTTTTTAATTCTGTGATCTAAATTATGAATGAGGATATTTTCATAAGCTTTCTGCATAAAAATTGACTTCATAACAGAGAGGTCAGCTGGTCTTGTCTTCTAGCCTTTATGATTCTCAGTGATAATCAGAAGCTGTTTTCCCATAAATGTATGCTGGTTTTATGCACCCTGACATACATACCAGAGGTAGGTGGTGAATTACGTACAAGCTTTATGGAGCAAAAATTAGTTCTTTAGGTTCTAGTTGAAAGAGTGATTTAATAGCTTGGGAATCTTGAAAGCCGTATTGAGTCTATTAGGTAAACCCAAATGCAGGCTACTTTTCACAGTGTGGCTGCAGTCAGATGAAGGGGTATGATGCATAAAGAAAACAAATTGATCAGTACAAGCATGTATAATACTATAATATAAATCAGTAGTGTTTCAACGTCTGATAGACAGGTGCACTGAACACATTATATCTTGAGACTGATACCGTGTCAATATAAGATTTGAGACAAGCAGCAAGGTTGATTAGGAGTATAAAGATTTTTATAAGAGGAGAGTGAAAGGTTGAGATTATTTATGCAGAAGATGGATTGAAAACTTCTATAACCTGTCTCCTAAAGCAAGATTTAAGAGCCCATCCAGTATCATCAAATAGAATAAACTCAAAACAAATAAGAATTTTGTTTTGTACCTGAAACACAAAGAAATGACAGAATTCAAGGTCACAAAGATGGAAATTTAGGATAATTCAGAAAGATATTTGGCACCCTCTTCAATTAGAATTTTAAACCATAAACATATGAGATTTTAATAAAGATAAATCACTTTAAAGTGCCTGAGTCAAGCAGTCAAGCATATACTTCCACTATAATAGTTTATTGCATTTTCTTGGGGTGTGTCTTGGCTCATTGGCATTATGAATATTGAGTAAGAGTCAGGATACTGGACAAAATAAACAATTATTTATTTTCATGGTGGCAGTTTCCCTTCCTTTGGCAATCTGAATTAAGTTGTTATAATTTATTTCTGCTCTGTTTGTCAAGAAAAAAGAATGGACAGCAGCTCTGATTTCCCTTTCTGTCCTCAGAAAGTAGATGTCATTGTTGCCTTTCAGAGATTCAAAGGGTCAAATATTTTGAAGACTCTTTCATTCATGTCTCCTGTTAATGACTATAAGCAGGTCTGGGACTACAAAAAATATCTAATTCTGTGCTTCTTTTCTGGCATTTTACTACTTAGATAAATGAGCGATGTTACAATTTCAGGGATGTTAAGCTGGAAGTACTTACTGAGTGTGTTTTAGTCTAAAGACACTCATACCTTGAAAATTTTTCTTCCTCTGAGTGTCTCAATTTCTGTATTGTGAGAGTCTTACCATGGTAATATGAAGAACTTAATAAATTCCTAAGAATTTTTCTTAAAAAAAAAAAAAAATTCTTAACAAGAGTGTCTCCTCCTCCTGTAAATTGGAGAACAATTTAGACAACAAAAATTTATGGAACAAAAAATTCCAAACCTAAAATATTACCCTTCTTGATCAGGGCACTTGAAATCTGAATCAGATTCTGAATTCTGAAGCTACTTTTACTCTTCACAGATTCAAAACCTTAAATTCCATTTGTGTTAGCTGTCAAATTAGCAAGCTACGGCTGTGATTAGAATGCCTTAAAGAGAGAATTTCTGCTCAATGGGATTTTCTGGGGAAAAAAGAAATAAAATTAAGTTGCAGAGTTAAAGGAATAAATACTGGAATTTTCCCCCAAAATAACCCTCAAAATAACTAATTATAGTTTGTTAAAATCAGTGAGTATTAATGCTGAAAATACAGGTCAAGCAGGTCAAGAGCAGGTTACTTAGTGCCATGTCCAGACCAGTCTTGAGTTTTGACACTGTGAAATTTATTTTCCTGATTTATGATATCAGAATTTCTCAGGTACTAGCTGGTGCCTGTTGTAAGTTGTCCTTTCCCTGAGCAGAGATTTTGCTACCTGATGCTACTAGGGTTCTTAAGAGCTGCCAGAGAGCTGCTTCTGCTGCCAGGAGGTTCTCCTTGTCCCCAGTGCCTGACAGAAAGGTGACTCCAGACAGGCTGGATCCCCTCCCGGTGCAAGTTTGCACACACATCTGTATTAAAAGGTATTGTTAGCCAGTGTTTTGCTCATCTTTGCCCCCAAGGGACACCCCAACTAACTATCTGCTCCTCAGTTGGATCCAGGATCCCTGTTCCCAGCCTACAGGGCAGAGACTGTCAGTCCAGCCAGTGGTCCTTGTTGTCCTCCACACCCGATTTGATTGTGGGAAATCATGTCACAGGCTTTGTTAAATCAAAATAAACAGCACACACTGCTCCCCCTTCATTCACCAAACCAGTCCTGTATTCATGCTGACACAGTTCAAATGTATCTTGTTTATTCCTGGTTATTTCTTGTTTTTCATATCCTGGGAGTAATTTTATGGAGAATTAGACATGTGACCTTCCCAGGGACTGAGGGTGATTAACCTGGAGTAATGAGTGTAGAATTTGAGGTGTTTGTTCAATGACCATGGTCAGAAGTTTGGCTTATTATCTGGTTAATTTTTCTCTCTGTTTGCCTCACTTCTTGGCTAAAAATACTCTCTTAGAACAATGCCAAGCGACTGGGATTAAAATTCTGTTAACTCAGAAAAAACTGTTCTAAGGACAATTAATTTGAGGTTACTTGAGAACTTCCATAAACATAACTGTTTAAACATGGAACATGGCAATGCTGGTTAGAGTGCTCTCAATACTCAGAAGGGAAAGTAATAAGAGTAAAATCAAAAGTGTTCATAAAATATAGCATGACTATGAGCATTGTAATAAACAGGCTGTTCAGTCTTGCTATGGTACAAATGCCTGTGGTAGTAAATATGTCAGATACTGCTATGATGTGAGGAAGGAAGGAGGTTGAAGGACATTCAACTGGACAAGGCCATAGGCAAGAGAGTTTGATAAGAACCTCCGCATATCTAGAAGATATTAGGAGCTAAAATGGAGGCAGAGTGATTCACAAGTATCTGACAGAATGAGAAAATAAAATTAAGGGAGAGTCTATCTGGAAACCAATTGATTTGTGAGCTGTCAATAAGCTGTGGACACCTTCCCATGTGAATCTGAAGGACAGCCCATGAGCTCTGAAAACTGAATTGACTAACAAATATGAAAATTTTATCAGTCCCATATGAGCAGGGAAATGAATGGAATGCTTTTATGAGAATCAATGTGCCTAGCAACTGTGACGCTCTGAAGAGGATCCATTGAAATTTCTGTGGAGAAGTTGCTGCTGATTCCAGTCAAGGTAGATCAAGACATTAGTGTGAATACAGGCCATGTTTATCAGAGTAATTTGTCCAGGAACAAAGGTGGCAATGCACAAGGAAGGGACAAACCATAGGACAAACCAAGTGTAGGACCATAAGGAATACCTAGGGAAAATAGTATTCAGTAAGCCATTAGCTGTGCATGGGAACCTGAAGAGATGTGTTAACAGAATATCTGTTTTCCCTCCCAGGAAGAGGTAATTTGTTAATTGATTATACTTGGAAGCTATGTGGAATGGGGCTATACTTTTCCATTCAGGAGAGCATGCTAGGTTTATGTAGTTTGATTTTATTAGAGCTAAAAGACTGTTATGTTCTATATTTGACAAAATAGCATGTGAAAGTTCAGTTTGGTTTGTAGTGTTTGTCAAAGTGTTGGTCTCTTTGTCTCACTTAGATATTTCACTTGTGGGAGCCTCGAGTGTGCGTGGAGCCCACCTTGTTCTCACACAGATTGTTGCCCTTCTGATGAAGAGGTTTCACCATACAAGGCGAGACTGGAGAGGAAGCCTGTCAAATGTGCTGCTGCCCATCCTCTTTGTTGCACTGGCAATGGCCTTGTTTAGTGTGAAGCCACTGGCGATTGATTATCCTTCTCTCAAGCTGACACCAAGACTTTACGACAACACAGAGTCCTTCTTTAGGTAAAGGGCTCATGCATCATCATCAATATCCAGGGTTCTGGGATCTTTAACCTTGAGTTCTCCTATTGTAAAGACCTTCCTGTATTCTAGAAAGAATGGATAGCTTACTCTTTAGAATAGTTATGTGGGGGTTTTTTTTCAGATGTTTAGTACCCTTTTACAGATTATTATAAGGTAAAGATAAAATTAGAAAGTCTTTGTGTGAAGGATTTTCTGGAGGAAAGGGCAAAGATTTTGGAGAAGATTGAACTCAAATCAATACCAGCCATAACCATTTATATGTAAATTAATGAGTGTATTGAACAAGCATATTTGAACGAGCCTTTGCATGCTTCACTTTAAAAAATTGTTTAGGCAGGAAGTTATTTTCTCAAAACAATTCTTGGGTTTGAAAATGCTGCACAGTATTTTCAAAGCCTGGTTGCTCTTCTTACTCGACCTAATTTCTATATGTTCAGCTTTGAAACCAACTAGATCATTTATTTATTTATTTATTTATTTATTTATTTATTTATTTATTTATTTTTAATGTGCAGTATCTATAGAGTTAATCTATATACAGTGCTAATAACACATGTAAGTCCCTTTATCTACTGTGCAAATATACAGATGAACATAGCAAGATGTGGTTTGAATTTATAAATATAATATAAATTTGTTTTATAACCATAAAAGCACTTTAGCAATGGCAACCGCTAGAAATGCATGATTATAAGTAGAAGGATGTCTATGGGTAAAAGTTGAGATTTGTTTAGCCATAATTGTAATGAATTTTCTTTACATGTTCACATAGGGTTTTTTGAAATGAGATTATTTTGGTATGTTTCCTATGCATAGATTTTATTGGCCTTTAATTTCTTGGAAAATACATAGGAATTTGAGACTGAAGGTTAATAGAACTTGACATATTAACATGTCTTTATTTCTTTTCTTTTTTTTTTTCTTTCCCCTTCACTCCTTATACCCCTATGGCCATCTAAACAGCACTGAAGATGGTAACCTAGGAAAACTTTCTCAGGTTCTACTGGGATATTTCTCTGACTGGGACCACAGATGCATGCATTCACAACATGGGTAATTGTAACTAATGTAACTATTTCCTTAATTTAAATATTGAACATTTCATTTTTTGTTATTTCTGTGTAATGGATTATCTTAGCCTTTTTTTGGCAGCATGGAGTTAGTGACAAATCATTTCTGATAAAGGAGCTGGCATCCAGGTGAAGAACAAAGTAGGCTTTACTGTTAAAGGTCTGATCCATACATCTTAAAAGTCACTGGCAGCTTTCCGATTAATTTCAGGATGATTTTGATCAAGCCTGGTGTCCATATGAAGGATGAATAGACAATAAATAAAATATTTGTTAGGAAGCATTCTAGATTTCCAAATTCAGGAATGAAGTGGTGACAATGCTTTAATAATTGCTGCAAATATGAGACATGAAGCTCATTTGATGCATATAAATATTTTTAATAAATCAACTTTGATAAAAGTGGCTAAAATTTGTATCACTCTAGACACAGCTGCTGCTGTGAACAAATGCTAAGGAGGTGTTAGCATGCCAGATCTGCTCATCACTCTCTGGATTTCTTCTGTTAAATGACATATTCCTTTCATTTCCTAGTTATAATTTTTATTATGTTTATTCCCATTAGAAAAAATAATTCATGCTGGCAGACAGAATCTATGTCACCTCAGGATTCATGTAAATGTATGTCTGAACAGGAGGTATGTATTTTTTTATTTACTTATGTATGTAAAAAATGTATGGGTGCACATTACTTCTAATTCCTTGGCTGCTATTTTTGAAAGGCTGCTGAAAGTGATGAGGAAATAAATCCTTAAAGGTCCGACTTTGTTATGATTGGAGATTTACTTCTGTTTTACCCAATGAAATGGTACACAATTTTCTTGTTTATATGTGTATAAATATATGTTTATATACATATGTGCACTAGAAATGACTATAGATTGATCTGAGATAACAGGATCAGAGACAGCTGAACTGTTTTCAGCAGATGCAATTTACTTTAAATATGTTCTAGGACTCTGATTAAAAAACAGCTCCATGTAAAACAAGGTTAAAACATGACACTTCCATGACATCTGGAAGACTACCTACTTTCAAAGGGAAGGGTGTGTGAACCTAGCTGATAGAACCCATCAGGGAGTTTACACATAAATGAGATTTAATTGCTGGAGTTTGCTTTTGGTTTGGATTTTGGATTTCAAAATACAACAGACTTCAAGAAATGACTGATTTTGAAAAACGTAAAGAATTTCTGACCTTTTTGATGAATTATTTTTCCTGCTGACTTGCTCTGAGTTGAGTAATAAACAAAAATATGAAACTGTGTCTGAGGGTGACAAATGTATTTCCCCAAAAGGGAATAGCCTACCAAAAAAAGTTTATTTTGTTTATAAAGATATAATTATTTAGAATAAGAATTGCATATGAAATATAGCAATACAGTTTTGGGAAAAATGGAAGGAGGAAGCTTATTTTTTACTTTTCTGGATGAGGATTAAGTTTGCCTCTAATACTAAAGAGACTTAAAATACAAGAAGGTTGAATAAAATACAAATGGGAACTTTCACAGAGAGAGGTTTATTAACTATGAAAACTGAAAGAAATCACTTGACAGTGGAGGCAGAACTTCTATCTGTGAACTATGTAAGAGCAATCTTTGAGAGTGAATTTATATTTGCTGTAGATTTGAGACATCAAATAAGCATTAATTTTTTTAATTTGATTGGCATAAAGTGCTTTGTAAAGCTTCTGATATAATTGAGTCTAATATCTGTCAGCTTTTCTTTGGTTGTGAGAATGCCCCAATGAATCATTAGAAGACATCTTCCTTTATTCTTCTCTTCAGCTCATCAATGAGATTTTTAGAAGCTTATAACATTAATTAGAATTTTGCTTTTATCTCATATTTATCTGATGCCTATTTTGTGTTTCTTCTCAGGAAAAACAAATCAAAAGCAGTCTTGCCTTTTTCATTGCTGTAAACATTCCTAAGCTTATATACAGGTTTTGATGTTTTCAAAACAAACTGACTGACAGGGTTGCAAGATAAATCAAAGAGATTTCTAATGTGTAGGTGGCACAATCTTTTGACTTGCCTTATAAAAATAAAAATATTCATAATTTATTAAAAAACTTTTAAAGCTGGGAAACGCATATTGAGGTTAAAAGAAGTGCTGTAAAATCTACATCAGAATTAAAAATAAGGCCAAATGTAGTGCCACGGCTTTTAAAAAGTGCTTTACTTTTTTTCAGATGTGCCCAACTTTCAATACCTCTGCTCCCTATGTGAAGAATAAGAAAGGACATATTTTGTATAATCTTTCAGGGTTCCCTGTGGAAGAGTATTTAGTGAGGTCTTCCAACAAAACAAGGTGACCTTAAAATGTCTAACCTTTGCTTAACCTTTGTGTATAAACCCCATAGTCCTTCCTGATCCAAAGCATAGACATTTGTCAATGAGAATATAAAGGGTCATTGTCTTTATTTGGTGATTGTTATCAAGGTGTAGAGTTAGGCTGTGATTCAAGGTAATGTGAAAGGCCTTCAATGGTCACATCTCAGAACTTCCTCCAGCAGCTGCATGATGATCTCCTCGAGGCAGACTCTGGAGTTTCTTCCACGTAGTGTGTTATACCAGCATCTCAGAGATGCATATCTAAACCAGGTGAACAATTTTCATTCCTCAGAGGCTCAATCAAATAGAGGTGGATATGCTCCAATTAATATTTTCTTTGAAGTAAACAGGGCTGGTATGCCCCTGGCAATACTTTATATTCTGTGATATCAGCAACAGAGGTTATCTGCTGTATTTTGAAATTTGTTTATGTGCCTTTACAACTCAATCACTGCTGATAATGTAAGTGGAAATATTAGACCATGTATGATTTTATCAAGGAGAAGAAAGTGTTAGCCACTTATATATGAAAAGAAGGGGCATCTAATTTGATAGAGGTAAGCATCTTTGGATGAAAGATTTGAGCTAATATATGAATGGTTTAGGAAGAAATAAAGCTGTTCAAGATGCTTCTGAAGTCAGTAATACCTCACTTACAACTCTTCCTGCTGCTCAAAGATTTCAGCTTTCAGAAAGCAATAATTCGTATCTAAGGGAATACCTTTGCTGGAAAAAAACCAATAATATTCACCTGATTAAAAACTACATTGTCCCCCTTCTTTATAACAAAGAAGGAGTTTGTGAGGAGTGAAGTTTTACTTTCAGTTTAAAAATAAAGCATTAGTGTAGCTATCTCAACTTTACCCTTGCAAGAAAACTGCAGAGCTTAAGGCAGATAACTTTTTGTTTAATTTTTATTGTCAGATATGGTGGTTGGTCTTTTGGAGGGACAAAAACATTTGCACTTCAGGATAAAAAATTGAATAACAGCAAATATCAGCCTCAGGCTAAGGTAAGAGTTTGCATGTATGTGTGCACGTCTGTATTTATGTATTGATTACTTTTTCAGGATTCATACATCAAAATGTAAATAATAAATCATTACATGAAATTTCTGCACTTGAATAATCTCTTATTGTCTTACTCTGTTCATAATTCTTGAAGTAGCCTCCTGTAATCTATTTTAAATGAGTAAAATGATATACCTTTTTTTTCCCCAGTGAACTAATTTTAGAATCTAAGTTTAAAAGTTGTTTTTAGATAGTCAGCCAAATAATACTTTTTGTTTGTATTCTGCAAAAAGCTGATGTCAGAATTGGCCAAAGTGCATTGAACATCACAGTAATGGTTTGCTGTTGATGCTTTTTCATGCCTACAAGGGATACTTTACTTTGCTTCATTTCTCTCACCATCCTCTCCCTAAGAGTAAAGATATCTTCCAGGAACAACTCGTTCTGCATAACAAACATACTATTATTTTCTCAAAAGATCCTTTTTAAAATGTTACAAGGGAAATAAAATTGCCTGCATTGTTAAGTGCCTCTTAGCCTCCAGGTCTCATCCCAAGTTTTCACAATATGGAGATACTTTACCTCTCCACTGCATACCAAAAGGCCTTAAGGAAAAGCCCTTTATTGCAGTTGTGCTTAGAATAATCCTTCATTGATTTTTGGGATCCATTCAAATGCAGATGCATTACAAGTAGAGGAACAGCAGTCTTGGAGAAGCATTAATGCATATCAGTGAGAGGTCTCTATTTTTGTATTTGAGGCAAACAAGATTTGTTAAGAGGAAGCTGTGAATTTTTCAGATTCTAGATTAGGGCACAAAAGAAAGATGCTTCTGTCTTTAAATTTTTTAAATGTAAATATAGATTTTATTTTCTCTTATAAAAAAAAAAGAAAACAAGGAACAGCATAAACAAGCTCCATCCCAAATTCCATTATGAGACTAAGTGTTAGGAAAAAAATACAGATTTAATCCAGTTCAATGCAATTTCATACTTAGTTTTTCAAAATCACTTCCTGTTTCTAATGCTTTTCCCATATAATTTGTTAGAAATCTCCCTATTTTAAGTACAAATCTGATCATACACAGATTTTCATTTTGGTCATTTGTAATCTCTCTTCTAGTCCCATGTGTTTTATAGGTTTGAACTCCAGTTCCATCATTCCTTCATGAGTAACCTGAAAGTTTTCAGCAATATTTTTTTTTCTGACTTTCATTTTTTCCTGTGTATCTTCAATCATTTTAGATTCCTGTTTTGACATGCTTGCTCTGTGGTCCTTTTTTTTTTTTTTTAGTATGTTTGGTATAGAGCACCACCTGCCATCAGGACAGGGATAAATTATAGTTATACCCATAGTAAGTGAGCTTCATATTTCAGACCCAAAGCAAATAGTGGAGTAAATTTATAAAGGGCACTCTGTTAGCTAAAGCATCTCCTGGAAATGTCTTTCGAGGGATGCAATGTCAAGTTATTGCATTAACCTTTCAGTAACTAATGACCAGACTTCTACTTTGACCTTTCAGGTCTGTTCATGAGACAGTGAATGTGCCATTTAAATAGCCTGGTATGAAAGAAAATAAGAAATTTGCATTTGAAGACAATTACTGTGTGATTCACTTCATTTTAGAAAATTTCTGAATCTTTATGCATTCTTCTTCAGTACTTGAAAAGCCAACAATTTTTCCTTTTCAAATTAAAAGTATTTATTTAGTACCTATTTTACTGTACCTAATCATACTGTGCTCTACATACTACATACATGGTATATGCATGCACATGAAGAATGAGTATATGTGCATACGAGAGAGACTGTATCTATGATGTGATAAATATGGCTGATTAAAAACATTGATTATGGTCAGTCATTGATGATCAGTGCTATATAGCAAAAGCACTACTTCTCAAATTTTTGTATTTTCTTTACTGTATTCTTGATTGTATTCTTTGGCTTCCTTTGGTAATATGGCAAAAAAATTGTTCCATAATAGCTTCAGAGTTGCTGGTTTTTATAGCATAATGAAATATAGGAAGAACATGTGGTAATTTTAAATACTGCTGAAAAGCAAGTTGTACTGTTCACATGTCATTCGGAAGAGTACATTTTTTCAATCCCAAAGAGTGGGTCTTGAGGCTTTACAGTACAGTAACTGTATAAGTGTCCAGAGGAAAAAATTACATCTTTCTACTTTAATATCAATCATGAATCTGGTCCAGCAATTATGAGGGATTTCTCCATTTCTTCTCATCCTTTTTTCTTGATAGGCCCTATGTTAGCTTAAATGTCAATCAAGCTTTATTTTGGAATATTAATGGCAAGTAAAAGATCATGTAATAATGTAAAACATATCTTCACAGGACTTCAGTCTGATGTAGTGAGGGGTTGTGTTTTTCCTTGGGAAAGAATTTTCCTAATTATGGATAGCATATAAAGTAAAAATTAGTTTTATTGATGGATATAGTTCTCTGTTCCTCAGCTCTTTCCTGCCCTCTGTAAATAATTACCTGTGTGGCACAAAAGAAATATGAAACATGTTTCAGCTAGAGCTAGTACATTTCCTTTTTTTTATATTTTACCTTTGCTAATAATTTTGAATAAGAAACAAGTCTTTAGAAAAACGACCTTAAATATACCTTCTGGTGAAGTAAGGAACCTTAAATGTCTCTTTTTCCTGTTTATAATAAATTAAATATCCATTTAGTTATTTCCTCACAGTTTGATTCAGTTACATAATGCAGCTTGGAGGATAATTCAAATTAACATGTTGGATACAGAAATATATCATTACACACAATGCTCTATTGTGCTATTCATTTGAATACTGGTTGCATTACTTTATTTCAAAGGTGCTCTCTGAACATTTGCAACCTTTCCTTTGCTTAAATTAAATGAGGATGTGCTGTCAGAATTTTGCTTTGTTGTTTTTTTAATTGCCTTTTTTTTTCAATACAAGAGACACAATTTCAGTGGAGTTTCATTATGTATGTATGTATGTGAAACATTCTGTTCTGCAAAAAACTCAAAAACTGATAGAGTTAGAGATGGTTGTATGGGGCTGCAAAAGAGACAGGTAACCTTCGTCTTCTGTTTCTTTGCCCTGATTGCTATTTGCATAGGAGGTCCTGCAGTGCAAAGATTTTCAGTTTTCCTTGTGAATCCTAGGTTTTCTTTCACTACCTTTCGTTAAAGACCGCTATTGTTGATTAATGAATGGGAGATCTAGTTTGTGGAATAATCTGTGGGAAGTGAACTGGAGCAGAACAAAGGAATTTCATGACTTTGGGGAAGACGTTAGGGTTTGTTCTTTCTTTCTTTAAATGTGGGGACAGAAGAGTTTGAGACATTTGAGTGCCATTACATAACACATGGAAGATATCCAGGGGATCAGGCACAGCCTGTGTGAATTTATGAAAGGCAGGTCCTGCATGACCCACCTGACCTTCTATGACAAAGTGACCTGCTTACCAGATGAGGGGAAGGTTGTGGATGCTGTCTGTCCAGACTTCAGTAAAGCATTTGACGCTGTCTCCTACAGCATGCTCGTTGTAAAACTGGCCTCTTGTGGCTTGGGTGGCTGATTTTTGATGGCTAAAAATCTGATTGTATGCCTGGGCAAGAAAGTTGTGGTGCTACATCCTCTTCGTTGCTGGTCACTAAGCCATGCTCTCCACGGCTCAGTTTTGGGGCTGGTCCTACTTAACATCCTTGTTGATGATCTGGATGTGGGGATTGAGTGCACCCGCAGTAAATATGCAGATGACACTAAGCTGTATGAGGGTGTTGATCTGCTTGAAGGTAGGAAGGCTTCTCAGAGAGACTTGGACAGACTCAGTCATTGGGTTGAGGACAACTGCACGAGGTTCTATAAGGTGAAATGCTATGTCTAGCACTTGTGTCCCATGAACCTCATGAAGCGCTACTAGTTGGTGAAGAAGTGGCTTGGGAGATTTTCAGCAGAAAAGGGACCTGAGGGTTCTGGTCAACCACCAGCTGAATGTGAGCCAATGTAATTATATCTTGGGCTGTATCAAGAATAGCATAGCCAGTAGGACTAGAGCAATGATTTTGACCTTATATTCAGCATTGGTGAGACTGTACCTCAAGTACTGTGTTCAGTTCTGGGCACCTCACTTGAAAATAACACTGTGAGGTGCTGAAGCATATCCAGAGAAGAGCAGCAAGGCTTGTGAAGGGTCTAGAGCACATGTCTTATGAGAAATGGCTGAGGGAGCTGGGTTTGTATAGTCTTGAGAACAAGAAGCTCAGGGTAGACCTCATTCCTCTCTACAGCTCCCTAAAAGAAGGCTGCAGTGAGGTGGTGGTTGGTCTCTTCTGCTGAGCCTGCAGAGAGAACAAGAGGAAATTGTCTTGAGCTGAAATGGGTGAGACTCAGATTAGCTATTAGAAAAAAAAAATAAATCACTGTGAGGGGTGTCAGGAATTGGAATAGCTTTCCCAGGGAGTTGGTGCAGTCATCCCTGGAGTTGTTTATAAGTGTTTGGATCTGATGTTGGGTGATGTAGTTTATTGTTCTAGGAGTTACAGTAGTAGTGCTGGGTTAGTGGTTGGACTTGATGATGTTAAAGGTCTCTTCCAGCCTTGATGATTTGATGATGCTGTTGAGATTTCAAGCTGTGAATACCACATAAGGAACAGTAGAAAATGTGAAAGGTGATGCAGGCCAAGCATAATGGCAGGTCAAAGCTGCTAATTTTTTTCAAAATGGCTAACAGATCTTGTGGCGAAGACAATTGAAGGGTGACAGGCAGAGAAGAAATGATGGTGGACCTCAGAGTGGTTCTTGGAGTCATGATCTAGGATAGATGGGAGGAAATAAAATGGAGTCAGAGTATAGTAAACCTCACCTCCCAAAAATGTGGAGATTCAAACAAGTAGGTAGAAAGGAGAATTAATCAGAAAAAAATGATTAAGAAAGGGAAACAGAACAGAAGATTAGGCAGCCTACTCTGGGGGAAATATATAGTAGAATGTGTCAGAAAAAACAGTCATAGTCTGGAATTAGGGTCCAAGTAAGATTTATATTTGGATAGTATCAGAAAAAAAAAAAGGCAGAATTATCTGCAAGTAAATGAGAACAGCATCAAAAGAGAGATAAGAGAATCTTTAGGGAAGTTTCTAAGATGTAACTGTATAGATGGTAATTCTAGAAATTATGGAATTTTAGGAGAGGAGTGTTAAGGCAATAAAAATGTATATTAAATCCTGTTCACCTTGCATTATGATTCAGAATCCAGAAAGACAATGAGAATTGCCCTACCTAGAATGTACAAAATGCATGGTACAAACAGCTAATATCAAAGACAGAAAGGTTAGGGGTTTTTCAACTGTTTAAAAAAAGGGAGAAGAAAGGGTGCTGTGGTGTGAGAAATAGATACTATGATTAACTATAATGGGTGATAAGAATAAATTTCTAACTGCAGAGGAAACTCAGACCTTGGTATATTTGGTATTGGGACATATCAAACTCTCAGGAATCGTTCTAGCAAGTGGAAGTGTGGATTAAGAGTACCTTCTTAAGTTAGGGTGAATCTGCATAGATAAAGTATATGTTACAACAGAATTGTTTCCCTGTGTTCCTCAGATAGATTGGCTTGTCTTGTCTGCATCAATTTCCTCCATGATCAATAAGCCACTGATGCTGGATTCTGAATCATAATGCAAAGTGAAGAACTTTGTCTATGGAACATCTCCATACTTGTAAACAGTGCCTCCTTGACTCTTTCTTTCCCCCTCTTTCTAGAATATTCTGGTCTGATACTTTATGCTGTGTGTCATTTGTAGGTATTATTTCAAGAAGTCTCTTTGGAATGTCAATGATTCTTCCAATTTTAGCATTAGTTTTACTCATCTTTTTGTATTTTTGATCAAACTGGTAATTGCTATTTTCACATTGTTATCCCTCTATTTGTTCAACCACGTGTGTAAAGGAAGGGGGACACAGTGTTCCATTAAATTAGAGAATCTCAATTTAGTAATGAATGTATGTGTACAGCTCCAACAAGAGAAAACTGCAGCGTGTTCTTGAAAGACTTATGCAAATAAACCAATTCTGTTCTGCCTGGTTGAATTTGTTGTATAAATAAATGTCATAACAATAGAATTAGATATCCTTCATGCAATTCTTAAAGGTATATGAACTTTCAGATCAGCATGCAGATTGAACTAATTTTTGATTGACAATTTCCATTCTTTCTTCCAGGTGTGGTATAACCAAAAAGGTTTCCATTCGCTGCCATCCTACTTAAATGAACTCAATAACTTCATTCTGTGGCTGAATTTACCTTCTAATGTGGATTGGAGACAGTATGGTAATAGTCTGTATTTATTCATATGTTTTGGAATGTAGTTTTTAAATAAACTATTATAAGTATGAAAACTTTTCAGTTTACAATAGGATTTCAGAGTTCCATTTCTCCAGAGGACTTAAAAATGAAAATTTTAATTACAAAGAAAGTTTTTGTGGAGAATATAGTACACAGTAAGGTAAAATTTGAATTTAAAGCTCAGCATGTCATATGAGTTCCTTACAAAGACATTCCTGTGGAATAAGTAAGTGTAAATTGGTTTGGGATATTAGTCCCTCTGAAACCTCTGCTAGGGCTTACTTAAATGCCACAACTAAGGCACAACAGACTATGGATTTATAACTTCTTTGGCACTTTGCTATATCTCCTTATATAAATATCCAGGGTAAATCCAGATTAGCCTGTAAATTCACAGAGCAATGTGATGTTTCATAGCATCCTGTTACTCAAGGAACAGAAAAGGCTACTATATCTTATTACTGTGCAAAACAAAAGAGAAATTAATATATCTGGCTTGTGAATGCTCTGCTTCATATATTCTGAACTTTATAAAAATTTGTTAAAGTAAAAATTTTATAAACTGACATCTAAAGAAACGACTGCTGCCACATGCTGAGTTCTACCTGCTTTGCCCACAAGGACAGATCCAGTAACTTTCAATGAAGATCAGTAGCACTAGTCCAAGTTTGTGAGAGGTTTTGATAAAAAGGAGCTGAGCAGAAGACTAATTTCTTTTGTCTAAAGTATTTTCTGTAGTCGTGAGAATACAGAGAATATAGACTTATGATTTGGTATGAAAGTTTAAAGGAAAAAAACTTTACCCAAGTTTATAGAGGACATATGCTGCCTTGCACTGGTTTATATCCCTGGAGATTTGTATCTGTTCAAAAAGCTTTGAAAAAAATTGATTATTACTTTTTGTTCTCTCAGTCCAAGTTACTAAGTCTTCAGCATGCAGCAACAGGAAATTATATTTATTCAGTGATTAAAAAATCTGTCCTTTTTGCTATTGTGTAACCTGATCTTCAAATACTTTCTCTGCAAGTAGAAAGATTTCTCCTCACGTCGCCTCTTAACAATTTGGGATTATTGGTAAATTTCTCCATGAAGATGCTTGGAAAGTTAGAATGTTTGTTTCTTGTAATTTTTATGTAAATAGTCATGTGTCTGTTGAAGCAAATGTGTGTGCCCAGCTGGAGGTGCATGTAACTAGACTGAGCAACAGAAATTGCCTCAATCAGTTTACGTCAGTTTATTGTAGTACATGAAACAGATGTCTCTTTTGGAACAGCAGTTCAGTAATACTTCTTGTATAAAAACATGTCACTTCGTCTATCATGTGGATATTCACCCCTACATTCAACATCATGTAAGTCTGTGATCCCACCGTGGGAAAAAGTCTTCTGTCTCAACTGTAGAAGAAATCAAATGCATTATGTTTTCTAGTGGGTTATAAATTCAGTGGTAGATGATGAAAATGAACATGTTAATAAATGACATGTTAAAAAAATTAGTAAGAGACTTCAACAAAGTAAGATATGCTGGATTTTTTGTCCAAACCCTTCACCTCTGACTGGTATTCAAGCTTATATGAATGATGTTTTTTACTCTTTTTCTGAAATGCTACTTTCTTACAACTAATTAATGCAATTGTGAGCAAATAAAAATGCAGTAATGAAGTAAGAAGAATAAAAAACTAAAAGGCAAATTTTTTTGCTTAAGCTTAAGATAGAAATGTTGATCAACTAAAAATGTTGTTTTTCACACCTAATTGTATAATATTGAGTCAGAATGTGTTTATTATGCTGGAGTATAGGAGAAGGACTATAATATTGCTCTTAGGGTAAGGCTATATAAAGAAAAAAGGAGGGGAGGGGTTATCATAACTTTGTCTGAAAAGTAGAGCGGTCAAAAAAGTTCTTACATCATTGTTCAAAGGACAAAAATGTCTCAGTATAGAAGGGCCTTTTGTGATGCAGCTGCCCCATCTTAGGATTTGTACTGAAGTCACTGATTTTTTAAAAAAGCTTTCATACTGGGATTCATTGTAGCTTTCATGTAGCATCCTCATTTATTTCAGATTCAATTCTTCAAGAGAACAGAAGGGATCAAGGGAGTAATTTTCAACTTACTTTGAATTTTGTAGAAAGTGGCTGTATAGTTTCCTGAATGCTTTGCAAATTATAACTTTAAACCTTATTACAAAGGAAGCTGTGAAATGGCCTTTGGGTGGAGCCTTCTTAACCATGTCTAGTTAGTGGGGAAAACTAAAATAGAAACCATTAATGATGGTGCTATCTGTGAAATTCTCCATAAAATATAAATTGTAATTTTCAGTTAATAGTAATCTCTCATTTTATATAAATAGAAATGTTGTCAAATATATATATATATATATATATATATATACATATATATGTACTACCTCCATTTTTCTTATACATAATATTTTATTTAATCTGAAATAAAATGTCTGGAATAAAGAAAGCTAGATTGGTCTTATATTCAAGTCTACCACAATAATGGTATTTAGAAACAGTAGCACAGATCTAAACTGAGCTATGCACGCAAGATTCAGCTTAACATAACAGACAGTGAACAAAGAAGTGCCAAGGGACACACCCAAAATACAGAACAGAACCAGAAAATATACCAAAGGATAGCTCTGACTAATCTACAGTGATGGCATACAAGCTTGAAGACCTTTAGGTTTTTTTTCATCTAGATTTCTTCAACTGATACCGAAAAAGTATTGCTCGGTTTATATCACTTTTCTCAGTTTTACTGAAAAACCACAGATTTTGAAGTGTGTTTATATGGAAAGTTGCAGCCAGGTGGGATCGACCAGACTACCAATGTCTTCTGTTCTTTATCATGTACAGGATGGAAACATCCAGCTCTCTAAAGTTATGTCAAATTGTGCATGCCTTTATTTTCTGACAGAGGATCAACTAGTACAGATGGAAGATAAAAGATCTAGAGTACTTTCTCTTGAAGGCCCAGACTGAAGACCATTAATAAGATGGTGGTATAGGGAAAGGTATCCTGAGTTGTACAACTCCTGAATGGCAGCAGGGCAGGATGCAGAATGTTCACAGCAAGTTTCCTTATTCCTGTGAGCTTTCCTATCCAGAATGGAAAAGTATACTATTTTTTTGTAGGAAGTGTTACAATCCTTCTAATATTTCATGAAGAATTTATTTCACTAGGTTAGGAATGTCTTTTTAACAAATTAGAATCTAAAATTTGTTTAATCAAGAACAATGTAAGGAAAGGAGTAGGACTGTTGCACCTGGAAGGGAGAATACAAAAGGAAAATCATAGAGAAGCTGAAGAGGGTACAGTGAATAGTTTACTACCTCTACATTAAGCATGTAGCATGGGGCTTCTAGTGTCATTTTCAAAGTAAATACATTCTCCTGCCTAGGCCCCAGTTGTGCTACTCCTGAAAATTATAGTTAAACTGTAAAGCTCTGGCTACATCCTTCCTCTTTTTTCCATAATAATGTGGCTTGCAGGACTGATAAAAATGCCTTTGTTCTCAGTTGTATAAAACAAAGTGTTTCATCCAGCAATACAAGAGATGACAACTGTGCTTTTAAATTAAGAAAAAAAAAAAAAAGATATATAACAAATGTAGTTAACAATAGGCAAAACAACAAAGAAAGAGAAGCTTCATAGCTGAAAAAAAGCTGAGAAAATATATTCCCATTCCTGAATTGCTTTTACATGATTTTGGAAATGTTGGAATGGGTGTCTGTTAAAATTTTTCACCTCTGCCCATAAAAAAGCCCAAATAATCACTATAAAAATAATATGACCAACTGCATGCCAAGGACAGACATAGACCAAGGATATTTTAGGACAATAAAGTTATTTTTTTATGGGATTATTATAATGGCAATCTGCAGATGTGGAAGAAATAATTTTTATACTGAGAAATTTGTGGAAAGGAGCAGAGAAAGTTAGTGCTGAATCATATAATATTTGGTGTTATTTCCTGGCTTGCTTTTCCCTTGTGCATACTGATATGGTAAAATTTGCCCTGAGGGCTGTTCACACAAGGCTTGCAAGTACAGTCCTTGAAAAAATCCTTGCATAAACATCAGAAGGAGCTTTAATAGGAGCTTTATAATTTAGAACTTAGTTTATCTGTCATTTATAGTTTTTAAGTCCTCAAACATAGCAGATAGTTTTCAACTTAATGAGCCTCATTATAGCAGCTTTGCTTAGTAAAAAGGCATATAAAGGCAAGAAAGTATCAATAAGTACATTTTACAGCATTTTAACAGCTGTATTGGGACAGATATGTGTAAAAAAAGATGGTCTAGGTGGTTAGAAGAAATGTTGGAAGGGATAGGTTATAGAAGTACATTGAAGAGTTTTTAAATAAAAAACATATATACTAGCAAATACCATATATTAATTCTGTTGGGGTTTTTTTTGCTTTTTTTTTCTGGTATTTGAAGGTAATTTATAACTTATTTCTTGAGTTCAAGGGGACTTTTTTTTCTCTTTGAATTACTGGTCAGTTTGTTGGCTCTATCTAAAAATCATCTATTTATTGACAATGAGGTGAAGAAATCATTATCCTAAAAAGGTAGCAAATTTAGAGATTGTCATGCCCCTAATTGAAGAAACTTAAAATACTGAACAAAAGGCAAGTATTACATTTAATGCAGTGATAGAATTTTGAAATCTAAACACAATTGAACTTAATTTAGCACAGTCATACTTTTCTTACTTGTAATCCACAACCTTGTGAAATTTAGTTTCAGTTGTGAGTGTAAATTAAAAGAAAATGTAATCCTTTGTTTCATCTACATGATTTGAATGGAAATTGACTGTCAAAAATATGTACTACTCTTAAGAGATGTAATTAGTTTTTGTGACTATTCCATTGGTTTGCTCAGCCTGGAGAAGAGGAAATTGAAGGGAGACCTCAGTGCAGTCCTCAGCATGCTCACAAGGGAAAGTGGAGAGGCAGGCACCAATCCCTTCACTCCTGTGACCAGTGACAGGACTTGAGGAATTGCCTGAAGCTGACCCAGGGAAGGTTTATGTTGGATATTCTAAAGGAAAAGAGGGTGGTTGAGCACTGGAACAGGCTCTCCAGGGAATGGGTCACAGCACCAGCCTGACAGAGTTAAAAGAAGTGTTTAGACACTGCTTTCAGGCACATGGTGTGACTCTTGGAATGTCCTGTGTAGGGTCAGGAGTTGGATCTGATGATCCTGGTGGTTCCCTTCCAATTCTGCCTATTCTATGATTATTTCTTCTAATATGCCCACTTTTATTCAAGCATTAGAAAAGCCTAGAAAAAATTTATGGGAACTAAACTGAACTTTTTTGTGCCATCCTGCTTTTCCTTTACATAAATGGAAATTCTGTGGTTCCAGTGGAAAAAAAAAAAATTTCTTTGATATGTCTCATTTGCTTCAGAATAAATAGCAGCAATTATTAAAAAAAAATTAATACTTTAAAAGAAAAACAAAGGAAAATTTTAAACAGTCCTGAAGGCATATGACATGAAAGACTTCTACAAATAGCAAGGTATCTATTAGATACATCAAAAAGTTATAGGCTTGAATTTTCTTTTGTTTTCTACATTGGGCTTCAGTGTACTGCATTTAGCTGTTATTTGAAAAATCTTTACCTTGTACAAGTTTTGTGTGTGAGTTAATCATCATCCTGTTTTTCAGCTTTTTACCATGCAGCGACTCAGTGATGTTTAGATTACTTTGACTTGAAGATGAGGAATGAAAAATTAAAGAGTCAAAATAAATGCTTTCTTAGTCAAATTGCACTGGTTACTAGAATGAAAATTTTTTTGTCTTTATACAGCTGGACTTTAACAAATTCAGTAAAGTGGTGCCTCACAGAGTCAATGTAAGACTACCAGCAATTTATGTCTTTCCCAAAGATACAGGGAAAATTGTAATTGCTGTTAGGATTAAGTTTGTTTCTTTTTTTTTTTAATTTGGAAGGCATAAATTTATTTAGACACTAATTAAATAGTTCTGATGTTGTGGTTTATCTTAAGGCCCACTCACACAGCCACTTCCTCAGTCTCCCCCAGTGGTGTGTGAGAGAGAATATTAGAAGTGATAAAACACATGGGTTGAGATAAAGGCAGTTTAATATAAAGAAAAAAAGCCACACACACAAGCAAAGCAAAGCAAGGACTTCATTCACCCTTTCCTGTGGGCAGGAAGGTGTTCAGCCAATCCCTGAGAGATTGGACCACATCATACCTAACATTGACTTAGGAAGGCAAACATCATCACTTGAAACATCCCTCCTATTCCTCTTCTTCCCCTGTGTTACATGCTGAACAGGATGCCATATAGTATGGAATGTCCTTTTGGTCAGTTAGGGTCAGCTGTCCCACTGTGATCCCTCCCAACTCCCTGTGCACCCCCATTCTCCTCACTGGTGGAGTGGGAGAGGAGCAGAAAATATCTTGGCTCCAAGTGCTGCTTAACAATAGCAGCACAAACATCCCCGTGTTATCTACATTTTTTTTTCCAGTACAGATCCAAAACATACCCCCATACTGTGAAGAAAATGAATTCCACCCAGCTAGCACATCTGTCAGGCACACCTGCAGTGATCAGTCACAAACAGCATCAAGTCCAGTGGAACACCAAATTTTGCAGTGACAATGTTTTGCACCTTCACCCTCCACTCACAATTTTTCTTTTGTTTGAAAAGAAGCAAAAAGACACAGTTTTTGTTAATAAACTACCTTCCAATTACAAAGTTAAATTTGCTAGATTGCTGCATGTTGGTTGCACCAAGAACCAAAATATGCCTAAGAATTCATTGCCTGCTCAGGATTTTTCTAGGTCTCCCAAACTAGGCTTGTTTTTAATGTAGAGCTCTATAGTTTCAATCAAAGGTGTGACATATTTTTTCTTTTGTGAATTTAGCAAAACAGTTTTTCTCAGCAAAACATCAGAAATCTAAAAATTGCTGAAATATCTAATCTAAAAATTGCTGAAAGATCTAATCTAAAATCTAAACCAAGTGCATAAATTGCAGTAGCAATCTACCTTACCCCAGAAGATTACGTATATGAACAAATTCTACTATAGGTTTTATATTTGGACTCTTCTGTGATGTAGATTCTGTAGCAATATACAGCATTGATGAACTGATTTCTGAATTTCAGAACACAGAAAAGCAACTACTACTTATGTTCATTCATTAGTTTTCAGTGGTTCTAGACTCTGGAAATCACTCAATGGGAGAGTGTTTGGTTTTGCAGACTGGTATTTGACCCCCTTCTGTATTTTGCCTTTTTATTCATGTGTGTAACAAGTGTTAACTGTGTACTCGAGAACTTGAAGACCTTAATAAGATTTAATATTTCATTTATTTTTCTTTTCACAGGGATAACACTCTACAGCCAACCATATGGAGGAGCCTTGTTGGATGAGGACAAAATGTGAGCAACCTCTTAAAATGTTTCACAGCAACAATCAGCAAACAATTGAAACTATCAATTAAATAAGAATATGTTTCCTGGAATAGATGCTGTGAACTGATAGGCACAATTCAGTTCTACTGAGTGAAGCATTTTTTAGAGAGGTCTGTCTGTAAAGTCCACTGTTTATACCAAAAAGAGGTCCAGTATTTTGTAAAGAAAAAGACTGAATTTATGCTGATTGTTTCATGAGAGTTTTAAACAGGGTAACTGTTTCAAATTATTTTGAGTGTTTCAATTTTAGTTTTCTGTAAAAGTGAAATGTTTTCATAAGCTTCACTTTACAACTCAGACACATGTGGTGCTCTGTAACTCACCTATAGTTTTGTAGCTTAACACATTTTGTTCCTATTCTTTAATTAGATCTTGACAGTGAAGGGACATTGTGTCCCTGCTCATTGCAAGCTATTGGAACTAGACGATCTTTAAGATCCCTTCCAATCCAAACCATTCAATGATTCTACAGTGTTTGCAATCAGGATTAAGGTCCTAATGTCTAGTGTTTTGGTGAGAAATTAGCCTGAAAAATGCTAACATTTGAGGGGGTTTTCCCCATTGTGTTTTCACTGCACTATTTTGTTTTTTACCCTAGAATGGAGAATGTTCGTCAGTGTGGGGTAGCACTGTGTATCATGCTGGGTTTCTCTATCCTTACTGCATCCATTGGAACTGCCATAGTGAAAGACAGAGTATCTGGGACAAAGCGCTTGCAACACATCACAGGCCTGGGTTACAAAACTTACTGGCTTGCCAACTTCTGCTGTGATATGGTATGTATTATGTGAGGCAGCACGTGCTCAGGTGTACATTTGAGGCTAGTTTCTTATAAATGAGCAAAAGGAGATATGGTCACAAGATAAAGAATAAGATTTGAATGGCACAGTGACACCTCTTGGCTGACATGCTAACAAGCATTAAGTCACCATTCCTACTTAAATGCAGGATGGGGATTGTGTTCCTTTCTTCCCAAAGTTGAATTGTAAATTATTTGCTAGCTTTAGCTATTTTACAATGAAAAGAAAGTTAGCTAATCAGCCTAGACAGAAAGAATCTTCCACATATCAACAGGAATTTCTATGCTTTGAATTTTGCCATGCACTGGCAAAACCTTAAAAATTAGTGGAGAAAACTGAAAATAGTAGTCAGCTACTTTAGGGGCAATTATGTTATGAGTTGTTGTGGATAATATGATACTTATGATTGGTACCTTTTATTTGTATCACTGGAAGAGGCAGCTCAAAGAAGTGGTGGAGCCACCATCACTGGAGGTATTTAAAACCCATATATATATGGCACTGAGGGACATGCTTTAGTGGTGGATTAATGGTTGGACCTGATGTTCTTAAGGTCCTTTCCAACATTTAGGTTAGATTGTATGACACCCTGGTCAGGAACAGAAATTTTTTGGAACACTCTGTTTTCATTTAGAAAATAAAATGTTTCTAATTCTGAAACATTAGATCTTTACCCATCCATGCTTGAAATCAGAATTTTTACACTTGAGCAATCTTGAGGTAAGAGCACATTTTTCCAAATATTATTTGCTTGGCCGGTCAATCTTGGTATTTCTTTTTGCTGCTGCTTCAGATAAGAAGGCTTAGTTAAAAACAGTCCATCATTCGGTTTCTCCTTGTGAGCAAAGTCAACTCCTCATTATTTTCTGCCAATCTCTCAAAATGATCCCACAAATTCAACACAGTACTGCATGATAGATCATGATGTGGGAAAGAATAGACTCTGCTTTAAATGCTAATTGTGCTACAGATCATTTAGGGACACTGAACACATGAATATATGAACTGTCAAATTTTAAATCTCTCTACATATTTTAAATATTACAGGCTGTGTCCTGTATTACTGGTAGCAGAATCTTTACTAGGCCTGCAGAAGTATTTGATTTATGAAATTGCTCTCATGAGAATCAGGCTGTTCTTACTGTATTTATAGGCATGAATTATCTTCATTACTATGTTCAACAAATGGAAAAATTGTAAATGCTAGGAAAATTGAAAGAGAAATAAAGAAATTTTATTCAGATTACACTTGTGTCACCAGAGGGGCAAAATTAAAGCTGTTTTGTTGTACACGCACAACTTCTGTAATATACCATGATTTCAGGGTAAGGTTTCCAATAGAATTTGATTTTAAAGTTATTGATTTATTTCTAGACAAAAGCCCCAGGTCTGTTGAAAATACTGGGGCTCAAATGTTTTGTGACTTCTCTAAAATATTTTTAAACAAGTTCAGGATAACTGAAACATATATCTGTCAGTGGTATGTTATGATACTTGTATATGGTAAAGAAAAGGTACACTGTGAATGAGAACATTGCATCCTTCTACATTTTACTCCATTGCTCTTCTCTTAAAAAAAATATATATTTCCCAGTAGCAAAGACATGAGGGCCTCTGGTTTGATTTGGAACAGGTTTTCCCTGTACTTCAGTATGAAAGTCCAATTTTAACAGTATGTTGTTCTTCTACATTGAATATTTAGCTAGACCTTGATTTGTTGCCTCTATTGCAGTTGTATCTCAGAATCTCAGTTCTATTAGGTTAAAGCTATAAAGCTAAATATTACATAAGCAGACCTGGAGGCAGTCAGTCAGTGCCGTAGTGAGCTCAGGTTCAATGCACAGAGCAGGCAGACACTGAAAATGGAGCTGAGCACAGGTCTTCACATTCTGACATTGCTATTTGCAAGCAGAACCCCTCTCTATTGAATACTTGGATATGAATCTCCTGTACCAATCCCACCTTATGACCCCTAAATATTGCTTGCCATTATGTCAAGAGACTAAAGAGAGAAACTGCTTTCCCTGTTGCCCAATGGCTGTAATGCTTTTACATATTTTCACCATTCCAAATAAAAAAAGTAATTTGCGTCATCAGCACACATGGTCCTTCATTAAAATCTATTTTAAAATTGCATCATTTTTATTCTCCTACATGAATGCAGCACCAACCAGAGAAACTGCTGTTTCTGAAACCAAACCTCTGTATTCACAGTGTAATTTGATGTTTTGGAGCAATAGCCCCACACGGACTCATTATCTGGAAGAGTTAGCTTGTTAAATAGATGTATTGGAAAGGTCAATAAAAATAGGATTAAGGGAGTAGTCTGTAGTCAGTTTTTATCTTGTCAGGTTGTTTCATCTGTAGGGGGAAGTTTCATAGTGTGTGCAGACTATCAAATCTCCAAGCTCTTCTGCCTATTTCCTCTTAACTTATAGTATATTTGTATTGAAAGTATGGAGAAGTTAATTTGTAAAACCCCTCTATGCAATCCAGGTAAGACCAGTAAGAGATGCTCACCCGGTCAATGTTTTTTTCCTTCTGTTTCTAGCTGTTTTACATGGTTCCAGTCACCCTGTGTGTTGGTGTTATTAGTGCCTTCCAGCTATCAGCCTTCACTTTCCGAAAGAACTTGGCAGCCACTGTTCTCCTGCTGATACTCTTTGGGTATGTGATTGGAAATGCTACTATGGAATTACAGCTTCCAAGAAACAAATATAAATCTTTAGGTGTAGTTTGCACCTGCTGCTGTATGCATGGTTTTCTGTCTTTGTAAGCAATTATGATTCAGCAAAGCATAGTGAGAAAACAGGCTGAAACGTGCAATTGAAAATTAAACACAAAAAATGGAGGGAGATTTACTCACACATTCTTTTTTTAAAAAAGGAGTGCAAACATCTCAGAAGATACTCAGCCTGTATAACAGTAGTTTACTGTTAGAAATTGATTGTATGTTATCTTCTGGAAAATGAGGGAATATTAACATAGGTCAGAATTTCAGTGCTTAGCTGTGCAGAATATCATCAAGAAGGTAAGAAACAGCTTTTATTCCAGCCATAACTATTTTCTGTAATTCAACATAGCTTCAGGAGTTTATATTTCCAATGAGAAATCTGTCCAATATGAAGTACTCAAGTGGATGGAGATTTGTCTCCTAATAGTACTGTGAGAGAAGAAAGTTCTACCAAGCTACTCTCTAATTTCACATGAAAAACAACAGCAATAAAAACCACAACCAAAAAAAAACCCAAAACACCAAAAAACCACAAAAACCAAAACCAACAACAACGACAAAAACAAACAAACAAAAACACCCAAACAACCATTGAAAATGGTGAAATGAAAAAAAAACCAACCAAAAACAATGAAATAAATAAACAACCGAACAACAACAACAAAAAAATAAACCACCAAAAAGCAATCCTGTAATAGAAGGTTAAAATAACTGGTTCAACAAAGGATTGATATCTCTATAAAAGTAAGTCTGTTCAGCCCTGGGATCAATCATATTAATAGTGTGTTCTGTTGTGTCACTTGAGGGGCAGAATTAAAGTTGTTTTGCTGTACATGTACAACTTTTGTAATACACCATGATTTCAGGGTAAGATTTTTAACAGAGTTTGACTTTAAAGTTATTTATTTATATAAAGAGAGAAGCCCCAGGTCTGTTGAAACATACTGGGACTCAACTCGTACTGGGATTCATAACTCTTCCCATGTGCAGTCTAAGTTGATGTTAGAAATGCTGAAGATGAATTGTTAAAGGAAAAAGTATCTGAGAAGTTTATTACTTATTTCAAGCAACTAATTGTTGCTACCCTTGTAGGGGAGAGTGCGTATCTCACATGAGAGATGTTTAGATAATTAAATAGAGGTGCTTCATGAGACAATGGTAAAGAAGGAAAGAATAAAGGACCTTCTACAAGACCAGGACATGTTCTATTCCAGGAAAAGTCTCAGATAAACCCTTCAAAAAACCAATTTACTCTATTGCACCTTGAAAACTGTTATTAAGGTTTTGTGCCTCCAGCAACTCATTTTTTGGAAACTGTTTAGGAATCCTCTAAACTGGATCTTTTCTTGTAAATTCTAGCCTAAGTTTATTCAGAACCATACTTCAGAATTGTTCTTCATCAAATGCATTTTGAAAGTCAGAACATGCCAAGTCCTCTCTTGTAAAACCTTCCAAATTCTTTGCATAATTCTATTTATCATTTTTCTTTATAATTCCAGTTTGAGCTCCTCTTTCCTGAATGTGAATAGCCAAACTAGTATGAAATATTGTGGAGGTCATGATGCTAGGATTTTGTAAATAACTTATATGAAACATCCAAAATTCATAATTTCCTCCTCTCTGTATCTTTCTTGGGTACCATCCTCACTTCTTTTCTTCTGCACTTCCATCAAGTCATTCCTTCAAGTTAAAGGCACAAATTCTAACCAGTCTTAGAGCAAAGATTTCACACTATGAAATCTCACACCTTTCTTTTTTAGCTTTACAACCACTGAATCCTTCTTGTGATCCAATTGCTATCAAATTAGCGAGGCTTAAGCTTCTACAGAAACCTTAGCCAAGCAGCAGCTGAAGCACACAGTACAAACCTGCATGTCTACTGAAGTCAAGACAGGGTTTTTCTAGCGTGCTATGGGCTTTGATCCTGCCCACAGTGTACTATCAAGTGCCAGTTATGCTGGCATTGTTTTAACCAAAAGGTTGAGCTAAACTTTGAGTATCTCAGAAAAAAAGTCATTGAACAAAAAAGGGTCTTATGTTGTTTACTGCAGATGCAGCTTAATCAGCTCAATATAATGCCTCCTGTTGCGTTCAGCCTTGGCTGACATAACAGATGTTGCAGTGGTTTTTAACAAGGAAATCTATGTATTCAATGTGTATTAACATATATTAAAGATCCAATAGCTGTCTGTAAATTTAACATGTCTCAAGGACATTGACAAACTTCAGAGTTTCCACTTTTCTTAATCTACACTTTATTCAGCCTAACTACACTGTAAGTGTGATGAAGCCTATTGTGGCCATTTTATTTTTCCCAGTACTATGCATATAATCCTCATTCATCTGAATGCCATCATCATCTGCATTTTTATCCTTTAAAGATGTTCTCTTCAGGGTACACTTGTGCGGATTTTCAGCTCTAGAACAAAGATAAAAATAGCCTAGTTTTACACAAAATTAAAGAGGGCGTGTTTGAAAAAGTAGTCAAATTTCTTAGTACGCTATTTTAAAAGTTATTTCCTTTAAAAATATAACTAAACTACATCTTTTTCTCTTTTAGATGATTGCAGAGGTGTTTTCTAGTCTAAATGCTTAAGCAGTTTTGTCCAAAATGTTCTGTCTTTTATACTTAGAAAATACTAAATTACAACTGGAGCTGAAGGAAGAGAAAGAGGATAGAAATGTAGGTGAGACAGGCCACAATTTAAAGGCTGTATTTGAACATTGTATAACTTTAGGATTCTGAAAGTCTTACTTATTTCTTAGCAGTTATAAGCAAAAAAAAAAAAAAAATCAAATTTTGCTTTCATTTACAGCAGAGCAACAGCACTCTAAATCATGTATCTTTCCTGAGCTGTTTCCAAGGATGGACTTGTATTTATGATATTGTTATTCTGAGAACAGTGATTTTGGTATGTGCATCAAAGGAAGAAAAGATTGTGTGATTAAGACTGGCAAAAGGATGCTGAAAAGTATAGTGGGATCTTGAATACTTAGAATTTCATTTGAGATCCAAACATTGAGTCATTAACCTTTACCCTCCTGTACACCAAAGATAACATTATTATTACTTCCCAGCAGGGTTTGCAAGTTTGTTTTTTAAGGTAAAGGATTTTGGCATTCTTCAATGCAAAAGATCAATCTATAAAGTACAGAATACTGAATTCAAAAAGAAATGACTTAGTTTAGTATTCTAAAGTCATTTAGTAAAATGACTTTTATGACTTAGTTTAGCAATCTAAACTACACTTTAAGGCAATGAAGAAGGGAATTCACAGATTTTTGGCTAGTTGCTCTTGCATTGAGCTCACTATTAAACCAGTTATACATATTAAAATTATATAGGAAGTGTTTATATATACACTGCATATATACTTATTGTTGTGCAATTCTGTGTGCTGATACATATGCTCCTGCAGTCTATATACTGTTTGTTTCATAGATATATCTTGTATTATGTTGAATGGAAAATAAGTTTTCTTTACATTGCATGCATGCTCTGATTACCTGGGCCTTGTTTTAATCTTTATAAACATCTCTTCATAAATAAAAAACATGTACATGCTCCACTCTGGATAGGCATCCTTTGATTTTTCATAATGGAGGTGCCTTCCTCCTTCCTTTAAAAATTCTCATTGAAGATGATGTAGCCATGGACATCCTTTTTTATCCTCATAGTGTTATGCACCCATTTTTGACAGCTATTACTCTACTGACAGCCTGGTTAAGGTAATAACATGGTCTGTAGGATTTTTCAATTCTCACATATCACCAGTACAAATACTAGTTTCAGTTTGAAAATTATTGGTTTTTTACTTATTTTTCTTCTCTTTGTTTGCTCGCTACCTCCTTCTTACTTGTTTTTTTTTTTCTTTCTTTCTTTCTATGAAAGCCTGTCAGAAAAGATAACTGCTCAGCATCCATGATTTAAGCTTCAAATATTTGATTTTAATTCTATATCTGTGTAAGAGGCTTGCTAAGGTGCATGGATTTGCAATCATTCAGAAATCAGGATTGCGAGCTATCTGGAACAGTCAAAGTAAATATCTGCAGCTGATATATGCAAAAATGGATCTTATCTGCACAAAACGTGGCAGTAGATATGTGTACATCTATGAAGTATAAGCAAATTTTTTAAAGACTATGTATCCCAAATTTGTTCCTTTTTTAAATCACTTCTTCTGAAGAGTTGTTTGCCTGTCTTAGAAATAAGGAACAATAATTGTGGGTTTTTTCTAGTGTGATAACTGACTTTTTTGGGGTCAAAAGCATAACTTTTTTTTGACAGTTTTGTTTCTTTAAACTTTCAGATATGCAACTCTACCTTGGATGTATCTTGTATCCAGATTCTTCTCAAGTTCAGATGTAGCTTTTATTTCCTACATCTCCTTAAATTTTGTGTTTGGCCTATGTACCATGCTGGTGACTCTCTTACCTCGCTTGTTAGCTATAATTTCCAAAGTGCAGGTCAGTATAAAATCTTTGGTTTACCTTTTTCATAACTGAGATGTATACATACATATCTATGCATATATATATTTAAGAATGTTCATATGTGTGTTTATATATTTATACAGATAAGATTTTTCTGGAAGAAAAACATATGATTTTTATATATTCATGATTTTTCTTTATTGACTGTTACCATCTTGAATTTTAACTTGCCTGTAACCCAAAAAAGCATGCTGTAATAATGGAAAAACAGTGTTAATTTAAACTTTGACATTTTCTAGACCATTAAGTTGTAATTGGCACATAATGAGAGCTGTTCTGGTCGATTAAATAGATTATATGCATTGTAAAATGTGTTTGAATAATATTGACATAAGAAATAAGCTGCATATTCCTAGGATCCTTAATGCACTGTATGAATAGCAATTCATCAAGTGTATTCTCACTCCATGTATGTATTTTTAATTAGTTATAACAGTATTTAAACAACTTGATGGAAAGGAGTTCCAGAATGAGTATGACTGTTTATTTATGTACAGATCAAATCTTGATGTTTAAAGTCAAATCTGTATTATCAACAGATAATTTGTGTAAGCAAATTGTGTAAGCAAATTCGGTATTCACTTGGGTTTAACTTGGTGATTTAAATTTGATATTATTTGAATATTAAAATGTTAAGGAAATAGAAGAATCATGGCTACATGTGTTTTGATACCATTTGTGAACTTCAACTAAGATTAGAATGCCGTGGCTGTAGAAAGTCTAAAATGCAATGAAATGTGTACCCTGTCCCTAAAACAGCTCACAATATGCACTTTAGAATTCAGTATACCATGAGTGAGATTTGAATGCAGTATCCAGCTTTGCAAGACTGCTCATTAGGCTGTTGGAGAAGACTAATTTTTTTTTTGTTTTATCTTTATCCTCCTCCATCCTTACTGTGTCTTAATACAGAGTTTTCAGAACATCTACAATATCCTCAAATGGGCATTCATCATATTCCCACAATTCTGCCTAGGCCAGGGCTTAATAGAGCTTTCGTACAATCAAATCAAGTTTGACTTGACCAGGAACTTTGGAATAGATTCTTATGTGAGCCCCTTTGAGATGGATTTCCTGGGCTGGATTTTTGTGGCAATGTCCCTTCAGGGAACACTACTACTTGTTTTACGTCTTTTCCTTCATTGGGATCTCCTCTGGAAACCAAGGTGTGTTATCGTTTGTATTCTGCCAGAGTGGGCACTGAATTAATTTTTTGGAGAAAGAAAATGTGTGTTCAAGTATGTTCCTTTGAACAATGGAAGATAAATTCATCTGATAACATGATGTCCCTGAATTAATACAAACTACAGAAAAAATACAAGTAATTGTTTTTCCCTTGTATTCTGATGCGAATTGATCACCAAGTGCTAAGGGATTACAACCAGGAAAATAAGAGTTATACAGAGTGCAGCAATGACCAATTTTCCATGTATCACTTATTATCATCCTCTGTTGTAGGGGTCATTGCTCTGTTAACGACATGGACAGCCCTTCAGAAGATGTTGATGTAGAAATGGAGCGACAGAGACTCTTTGGTGGAAGAACTGGTAATGATGTCCTACTTCTGTACAACCTCAGGAAGTGTTATGGTGGTTTCAGTAAGAAGAACACAGCTGTGGAAAACATAAGCTTGGGCATACCAAGGGGAGAGGTAAAGGAGTCTTTCTTTTTCCACTTTTATAAAGTAACTCTTTATTCTGAGCAATTGTTGAGACATACTCAGTGTGTCCACAGTGAAAGGCCTGTAGATATCAGCAGAAAAAATTCAGTTGTAGTAATTTCTGAAAATCAATAACTGGATAAAAGCAGAAACTCTGGAGGTGCTGGAGAAGCAACTGTTCATTTATTTTTGGTTAAACATTCATGAGAGTCTTAATTTTTTTACTTCTTGCTTATCTTTACAAAATTACTGTACTTTAGGCTAACATAAAAAGCAAGTAAGATAGCATAGCAGTTTAGTGTTCAAAGAGGAAACAGAATACCCAACTCAACAGCAAACTATGGACTGCATCCTGAATTTACCACAGTACATTTTTGGTTCCCATGCTGAAATCATCACAGTACATTTGAATATATACAAAAAAACTATTTCAATAAATTGAAATTTAGTGCTGAACATGTTTGTGTTTGGGGGCTTTATTCATTATTTGGATGGTTTGGGGAATTACAGATATTAATTTTTAAACTACTGAGAAAGCAAAGACTTCTCTTGGTTACTAATATAAAATTGGAAGATCTGAGAAACTTGCACAGATGCAGTGATGTTCCTGCTACTTACTGATCAGCTGTTGGGTAACTGAGACAACCAGGAAGATGTTATTGTTGATGATAGCCTATAAATCAATAAGAAAGTTAATGAAAAAAGTGTTTAGAAATCATAAAGTGCTAAGTGTAGACTTAATATGAATCCTATCCTAGCTTAAGCATTAGGTTATTGCAGCTAGGGGCCTGAAATAAGCGTTCAAAATGAGTGTGTTTCTTGGATGTTCACTTGTACATGGTGAAGCAGCTCATGAGAAGTTTGGAAATATTCACTCTATGGACTGATATCCAGGGTTTGGAAGCAGGACCTAAAATCCTCCTGTTCAAAAGAAGCATTTACTAATAATAAGGCTAAATAATGGGTTTGTTTGTTTGGCAGGGTTCTAAGAGGAGGGCTAGAATTCTAAATAAGTCACGTCTGGTAATTAGGGGATAATCAAAATATGATATTTACTAGTTTTTTTAAAACTGATTTTCTGTGGGAAAGGGAATTTGCACACATATTATATCCATATATAGCTTCTTACATATAATAGAAAATGTGGAAAGGGGTAATATTTCTTATTTTTTCAGTATAGAATATTGATTTTTTTTCCAATATCTCTGATAGTGTTTTGGACTCCTGGGAACAAATGGAGCTGGGAAAAGCACAACATTTAAGATGCTGACTGGAGATATCATCCCATCTGCAGGACGTGCTGTTATCAGGACTCCTACTGGGTAAATAACACAGGGTTTGATCAGAATAGTGCTAATTGATAATGCACATGATCAAAGACTCAGCATGTCTTCAGTCCTTTATACTGTACTCTAGGAACCTATTTTGTTCCCTTTTAAATGTATATTGCTTTGTTTCTGTTAAGTCTCTGTGGACAAGCTTTTTAGCATTGTTTAATTCTGTTTGACAGCTCTGTTAATTGAGAAAACTTGTCTTGTAGCAAAAGAGAAACTCTAAGAAGACTTAATATACATACTTTTAAATCATTTTAAAAAAATCTTAGCATATGTTAAAATGCATGGACATATATCCCCCTACAAGTTCTGCACTGAGAGTTTTCCAGGCTTAGGTGGATGAGCAGTGCTTCAAGTGGGTAATTTAAAATGTTTTCTTACACTAATGTACTTCAGAGTCATGAATTAATTACTTGATCAACATGCTATTTATAAGAGGTAATGTTGGTGAGATTTATCATTCTGATTAAGTGATGAATAATGGACTTTGGGCTAAATGCAACCAATACATTTCATTTTTCCCAGCAAACTTGGAGGGGAAAGAAAGTTATTTTTCTCAGTCAGTAGTAAATATTATATCCAAATACACAAATGGCTTTTGGACTCTTCTTTTCCTAAATGTTGTACATTTCAAAATCTTTTTTGGACAAGGACAGGTCAAGATTTTCACTAAGAAATTTTTAAAGGAAGCATTTTTGAATTTTCAAAATGGCAATTTAAATTTTTTTAGGTTAGAAATCAAATGCTTTCATATGTCAGTGTTTCCTTACTTCTTTACGAAGATAATAATGATAATCGGATTTAGCTTCAAAGATAAGTATCTTCAGTCATTGCAAAATTCAATTTTCTGGAAAATTTTCACTTTTGAAATGACAATATCATCACTATCCAACATAATTTTACTTCAGTGTGTTTTTTCATTATCTTTCATATCAAGTCATAAAAAATGTTGATCATAAAGCAGAAATTATTTTTAAAAAACATTTAAAAAAAAAGATTTTGTTCTAGTTATTCTTAAGAGAAGAGGTGGTGTGAGTCAGACTTTAAAATGGTTAGAGAGACTTTTAGATGGTTGTTTTCATTTATAATTTTCCAGAAATTTTTTTAATAATTTTTTGTCATAAACAGAAGACAATTTTTTCTCAGACATTGATCAAAATTAGAAATAACATAAGTGATTTAAAATTAGATAAAAATCAAAATTTATTATTCTTTGGAACTGATGGATGGCTTTATGCCTCCTGGTACAGGATATGATGGAGGTCAGAAGTTTATAGCATGAGTTGGAAGAGGATTTGAGTTTTGGAGAAATAAAATTATCTGTAATATATATTTTTAAAGAAAATATTACCATTAGGGCATCAGGACATTTAAACTCCCATGGTTTTTTTTGATTCTGAGCAGTATTTTGCTGTAGATTTTAATGGGACTTGTCTTGTGTCCCACCAGTGCATTCATGGATCACACGTGATTATCCTGGTGCAATGTCATTGCAGGTCTATATTTGTGCAAATTAATTAATCTGGTGTGAAAATTCCAACATTTTAACATCTACTTGAAAGCAAATATAAAGTTATAAGAATACAATTCATTATTATATATATTGACACTTACAGTATGTTTGCTGACTACTACATTTTTTTCAAACCTCCTAAGATGATTTTAAAAAAAAATTACAAAACAATTCACCAATGCCTGGATTCCTTTTATCAGTTGTGTTGCTATGTGCCTGTGGTGAAATGGATAAAAATACTTCTGAGGTCAACTAGTCAGCTACTGGCTTTTGACAATAGGCTAAATGCTGTCCCTGGACATTGTGTGTGTCACTTTCATTTCCCATACTGTGTTTTACAAATCCAACATGAAAGCATATATTAAGATGCTATGTTATTTACTATATATTAACACATAGGTAATGAAATTTGACACATTTAGGAGGTTTGAGAGAAAGCCTTAGACAATTGAATTTCAGTGTACAAAATACCCTTGACAACATTAATTATCACCTTGTACTATGGTGGCGTCAATTGAGTTCATGGATTTTTTGTGTTTGCAGGAGGTGCAGTGAGTGTAAAACCCATATTCCCAAGATTTCAAAACTTAACACTAATTCAAGAAGGCAACCTTAAATAGGAGGCAGCTTTTATACAGTAGCTAAACTTAGAGAAACAGTTTGAGACTGTGAGAAGAAATTTTTGTCCCTCCTGACTTTATTCCTTGCTTCATATTTTAAAAACTGCTGTTGAAGCAGCTCATCATGCATTGCATTGCTGTACTCCTGAAAATCACTAAAAGACAAGTTTGCTGGCTTTTCCAGGGGTGAGCTCCACAACAGATCTGGAGAGCCCTTCCTCAGCACCTAAGAATGACTAAAATTACTAATTACAGGGAATTTTAGGTGGATTGATTTTCATTTGTAATTCAGATAAATAAAGGGGAAGGTATAGTAAGCAAGCTTCTCCTTTTCTTACTCTGGTAGTGTATTCAGAAGACTGGAGAGACTACAGTCCTCAGAAGAGAGCAGCCGCTGATCACAGCTGCAAAACATTTTTGTGTGAATAGAACTAGATTTTTTTGCTTAAAATTTACATCATGAAGGAGGTTCCACAAAAACACTATCTCTGATACCGATTCCTGATAAATAATGCAGTTTAGATGTAGATCCCACCTCTTTTGGGTTTGACTGGAAAGAACATGTCTTTTGTCCTCTGTCACTGTGAAAGGATGAGATACTGTAGTCTGATGGATCCTTCACAGAGTCATGAAATGGTTTGGGTTGGAAGGGACCTTTAAGATCATGTAGTTCCAACCCCTCTCCATGGACAAGGACACTTTCCACTAAACCAGCTTAATCAAAGCTACATCTAACATTGAACACTTTCAGGGATGAGGCATCCACAGCTTCTCAAGGAAACTTATTCCCATGACTCACCACCCTCACAGTAAAGAATTTCTCCCTAACATCTAATCTAACCCTATCTTGATGATCATGATCAAATAATTAAATGAGTATGTAAAATTACTACTATGAACATTGCAGAACCTAACTAATTTTATTCCATGCAGAAAATCCTTAATTCATAACAGATTAAATTTCCTTGAATAAATATGCTTCAAAGTTTTTTTGGCTTACAAACAAATTAAAAAATAAAGAAACCAAACAAAACCCCCAAAAATCTATGCATAGAGTTTCCTAATTGATACTGAATTTAAAATGGAGTTGGAAGTGTCTTTTTGAGGCAGGTGCACTGATAATGCATTGAATTTTATTGAACAGCTGTTGTATTTTGGAACAACATGAATTCTAGAAATGGAAGATGGAATTTTTCAAAGGTAGAGTTGAAGGTAAAGTAGAATTTTTGAAAGGTAATCCTAAAACATCATGGAAGTGCAGGGATTTATAGACAAAGAGCCTCACACACCAATCAATAATAAGGAACTTCTGCTACAGTCTCAAAGAATTTTTAAAAATCTGCTTCTGAGAAGTAAGTCCTTTTTTAACAGGGCATAAGAGCAGATTCACATCTTCAAGTATTTTTAAAGACTTATTGTTCTCTAGGTTGGTTATTTGCTGAATTCTTAATATCACAAAAAAAGAAGAAAGAGCTTATTCTTAAGAGTCTAAGAGAGATCTGTGTCTGTTTTCATAACAAAAGCTAATAAAATCCATAGAAGATAAGTATTATGTATGTTAGTTTTCAGTATCACTGGGATTCATAACTCAGGGTGTCATTAAGTGGGAATATTTGTGAAATACTTTTCTGCAAATTGGTTTTTCCAGGACTTCTTTGGTGGGGAAATGATTCTGAAGGAGGGAAGGCTTCTGGTCTGTTTTAATTAGGGTTTTCCCTTTATGATACACTACAAATTAGGTAGATATTTTAAATGCATTATGTGCCTGAAATGTGTATCTTACAATTTGTGTGACCAATGCATATTTATAGTATACAAGCTCAGCAGTCTACAAAAAATCTGTTTTTTAAAAATTTTCATTTCCCTCTGCAGTAAAGGTTTTAGGCAACTTATATAACATTTGTAAGCCCATTCTAGTTGTTACTGTTATGTGCTTAAAACAGCCCAGTCAGATAAGTAATAGGAATTTATCACCAACCAGATCCAATCATGTGAAGATAATGCCTTTCACAGGGAATTTTACTTTTTTATTGCTTTGTGTGCCTCATTAATATTGCTGCTATCAGAGACATAGCTGTGCAAGAGAAACAGAGAAGTAATTATCTTCTAGAGAATGTGTCTCTGTATTAGGGATATTTGCCACCTCAATATTGACAAAGAAACAAGAAGCATTGAAATGGTTACTTCAGAAGGCTTGGAAACAAAATAGTGATAGCAAAGTTCCAGGAGTACCTTTCATAACGGGCAGAGATACCAAAAGCAAACCAAATAATTACTAGAAAGTAGATTATTTGAATAAGGTTTGTTTTCTTGTATTTAGAAAGTATGCTTTTATAAGATATTAAGAGACCGACAGGGTTTTAAAGAATTGTGGAGCTTAAATATGTTTCATAATTAACTGCATGATCTCCTTGACAATTAGAAGAGTTCTTTGTGTTCTCTGTAGCACAGCTGTTCTTTATAAGTGTAAAAATGGACTAAAATTATCTCATGCTTGGCTCTACTGCCATAACTAATTGCCACCAATGTGGGAGCTATTTAAATGAAGGGTAGTGTATGAAACTGTAAACATTTTTGTAGTTAGTTTTCCTGTCAAACAGCTTGAAGAAGTAAAGTCTGCATTAAATATGTACAAAGAAAAGCTGACAGTTAACAAAGTGGTATAACAAAGTAGAACAAAGTGAGTCTTCACAGTCTTTGAATGTCTGCTGGGCTAATATATCAGCAAATACTGTACATCTGTTCCACTTTTTTGTGTTTGTGTGTACTTTGGCCAAGCTTTGTTTTCTTTCCCTTTCTATACTTGTGTTTAAACCCTCTTTAGTGACTCTGTCACAAAACGTCTCTAAAGTGAAGAGCTAAACACAGCTTTGAAGAGAAAGTGTCAAAAGCCTTTTAAGTATCATGGCAAAGTCAGTGTAAAATAATGAATAATGTGACTGGTGTTTGTTTGCATTTTTGGTGTCTTCTAGTTTGCAGTCTTGTCTGTTGTACTTTGCTGAATAGAGATGACTTATGGTTCATACTTAGAGTGTAGTAGGATGAGTATGCAAAAAAATAGATAAACGAGGTAGCATCTTGTTCATAAGTTGCCCCATCAAGGACTGAAGCATTTGGCATTCTTCCTCATGTAATTAATTTATGTCCCATGAATTTCCATCTTCTTTCTGCTCAGAGATCCTCCATGACAGCAATTCCCCATCCTATTTGAATTGTGTCAGTAATCTCAGCTGTTGGATTATAAAGGCATAGGACCACAGAGCTACTTTTCAAAGAGGGAAAAGTAAAATATTTCTTTAAAGCTAGAACTTCAACTCTTTTGATAGGTATGATATTCAGCTTGATAAATAATTAAAATGTAGTTCAAATAGCTTAACTTGAAAGGAAGAGTAAATTTACATAAATATAATGGCTGAAATGGCTGTTTTTACACTGTATATCAATATAATTAGTCTAATTATAATGAAGCTATAGTTACATTAATTATATTTTAACCTTGATTTTTTTGTAATGTTAATTGGGCATTAGTATGCACTGAATTGAATGTGCAGTTATGAGTACAATGAAATGTCTAAGTACTTTTGCAATTTGTATATTTATATTTCATTTTGACTAATTAATGGAATTTATCTCTCTGTAGAAGCAGATATATATATTTATGTGTGTGTGTGGTGTTGTAAGTACCATAGATATCACTGCTTTTAATTGCATTGAAAAACTGCAGAAAAAGCAAAAAGTGAAACAAAGTGCCCAGGGGGACCAAAAGTGAAACAATTTTTCCAAAACCAGCCATAAGACTGATATCAGGGGTACTAAGTTGTCTCTGGAACCCCAACACTGAGGTATACCAACACTAAGGTTTACCTTTGAATTACAGCCACAACCACCTATAAGCAATGTTGGTAGTAACCATTGTAAAAAACAAGATCCAAATCTAGTTCTGCAAACTAGATTTGGATCTGGCCTTCTGGAAACTGCAGGTCCTGTTTATAAAGGAGAAGGAAACAGATTTTGTCCAAGATCATATTCATTCATCCCAGTGATTATGTCTCCTTTTGGTGTCAGCAAAGGCTTTCCGACTGGACTGCTCCACTCCACCCTGATATAACCTGTAATCAGATTGCAGGGCTTTCTTTAAGCACTCAGAATAAACAGATCAATGTAAAATGCCTTGCAATGGTCAGTGGAGGAGCAACTTTGAATCAAGAATTTTCTATACTCTGATTTTAGTTTATGATTCCAGTATCTAAAAGTCTGGCAAGTTTTTTTCCTCAATAGTACAAACCTATAAGATGAACACTTCATAGTGAGGAAACTCTTATTGAGTCCTGGATATTTTCTCCAGATGTCTTGCACCAAAATATCATGATTCTCACCAAAGTACTTAGACAGGGATGGAACAGAAAATCTTCCATGCTTCAAGTACTAGACTCCTCTACTTTTCTTAAGGATGCTAAATGTTCTGTTGACCATTTTTATAAGAGTTCTAGAAATGCAATTCTGCAATTTTAAAACTATATTTAAAATATAAAGATTTCTGGAGATATTCTGGTGGTGTCATTTCTTGCAGCTGTTCATTCTAAAGGAAAACAACTAATGAGGGGAAGTATTGACTGAGCATAAGGATGTAGTCTAAAAATGAAGGAGAAAATATGTTCTATATCTTAACTTGATCAGATGATGTAATCAAAATTACTAACATAATTTAAAGATAACAAGTACACTTTGTTATTATAAAGATACAGACAGTTGTGTATTAGTGTAAAAGCTTAGTGTAAAAGTGTTTTACTCCCCATAGTTTTTAGATGTTACACTAGATTTAATTGTGTCTACTGTACTATGGACAATAGCCTGAGAATGGTTGGAATCCATACTTACATGTTCTTTCTCTCTGTTTATAAAATGAGCTGATTTTTCCTCCTGTATGTCTTGTTTTTAATGTGAGTAGTCTAGTGAAAAATTATGTCATCCTGATAATAATAGGGCAGAAAACAAATGACTGTCTTTCTTTTGCTTGAGAATAAAAAGAATCAGCATTCTGCATGCTAATCTATATTTCAGAAAATATTAAAAATATATATTTGAAATTTGGTTCTGATAATATGATGTTTGTTAAGGAAGAAGAAGATTATAATTAGTTTAAAGAATCGAATCAGAAATTTTTAAAAAAGAGAAAAATATTTACAGTATATCATTTACTGAGAAGATTTTCTGGTATCAAGCCATCACTACTTGAAATGTTCATTTAATTTAGACCCATAAAAATGAAATCTGATAGATTAACTGAATTTCAAAGAAAATTAATTTCCTAAGACAGGAGCTTGTTTTCTGTTGTACAATACCTACTATAATTAAAAAGGATAATGTGGGCTTTTTTTTCATATATTTTTTATTTATACTGTTTATACTATCAGAAAAAAATTAGAAAACTTAGGAGCTGGCTGAACAAAACTGAATGAAAATGTCCAGAATTTTGATTTGGAAATCTACTCTGTGATGTTGATGAGGGAAGATGAGACATTAAAATGCCCATTATGAAAAAAAAAAAAGAGTCTGTTAAAAGCTAAGAATCCTAATCTAGCTTTTTTTTTTTTGTCTTCTGGTTGGATTGTTTTTGATTGAACAGATACAGAGATGAGGGAGAGGAGTGAGGTGGAAAGGTCTATGAGTTCTTTAGTGAATACAGTAGAATCTCTGAGTTAATGGGAAGTCGAAGTGTTCAGGGTCAGCACTAATGGATAAAGTTGCAAAGTAAGGGACCAAACTGAGTAAGAATATTAAATGATGCATTCTCACTTTGTCCTCCCTTTATGAAAGCTAAAGGTCAGTAGGTGGGGTACTGTTCACCTAGGGCTGGGTGCTTTACATAGGCAGAGCACTAGTATCCTATATATACAATTAGCACTGAGGACACATTTTATTTCTTGATGCAAACTGAGTAAGAATGCTCTAATATAGTTCTAGCTAAGGAACATTAGATGTCTGTGTTTTTTTTGCAGCTGTCCATATTTAACTTTTTGTTCTTCATGGTAGGAGCCCATTGCAGACAAGATGTTTCTATCCAGCTACAGGGTTCATGCTGAGTAAATGTCCCTGAAATTACCCCTGAGTGCAATTTGTTCTTTTCTGATTGAGCTTGGCATATTATCAAAAGCTCAGTCTCTTTTTTTCTCAAAAGACAGCAGCTGCACCAAAAGAATACCCTGTGCGTGAATCTTCCTAGCAAAACAAGCCTCAGACACATCTCTCTATATTCAACAGTGTCTAGATAACATTTCACTGTGAATAGTATTTTGCTATGTTAGAATTAATTAAATAAGGAATCCACTGCTTCTGACTGGTTATACAAAAATATCAGCATTATTCAATCCATATCTTGTGGTAAAGATGACTATAGAAAAAGGATTTAATTTGCCACACATATGGTTGGAAACTGAGACAGTAAAAATTCTGTATTTTCTTCATTGAAAATGTCCTATAAGTGGGTATAAATTAATGGTGAACACTTCAGTTACCCTCTTTCCCCTATCACCCTTCTATATTTTGCTAACTATTTAGAGAGGTGTCTACAGGCAGAGAACTTACATAGCACCATCCAAAACAGACAAGATACCATGATTTTATATCTTTGCCATTAACAGCAAAGAAACATTCTAATTAATCCATGACAAGGTTTGTCATAATCATGTTAATTTATCTTTTGATAGGATTAAAATATATTTTCATGCTGTGGTTCATTATGTAAAATGCAGAACTTTTTTTCTCCCCAGACTCCTGAATCTTGTTAACAGGAGATACATATTTATATTTTCACTAGTGCTGGTATTTGTAGATCCTGCAGTTAATGCATTTACTTTGTGTCTAAATGATTAATCATATATTTAGTTATTTTAATCAGAAATGTAAAAATCCACTAAGAGGAAAAACATTCTGTTACACAGAATCTTTTGAAAACTCTTTTCTTTCAAAGCTCAGATTTTTTTATTATTAAGTATCTTCATTTTGATAGGTCTTTCTGTACATGTAAATCAGCATCATTGAGTGTTGAATTAGATGTTGGAATAAATAGGATAGATTTAGTGTCATTATGGATAATGAGACACCCTTGCAATCAAGCTTACTTCTTAGCAATGAGTGTAATTTCAAGTAATGCTGTAGAGCTACAAAGTGAAGACCACAATCTCTTAAATCAGAATAATTTTATACTTTTTCTTATATTGTCTTTTAAGTTTCTAGGCTTTAATATCCAGTGTTTTTTTTACTCTTGTTGTTTAGAGAATGCATGCATGTGTACGTGTGGTCATAGCCACACAAAGAATACACAGCAAAATTTCCCTGCCTCTCAAGTCATTCCTCTTCAATATCCAATGTGATTGATATGAATATAATATTGTATATAGTATAATATACAATATGAGCACTGTATGGTTTGAAGTGTGTCTCCTTAGAGCAAGTACTACCAAAAGGATAAGATAGATAAAACTGGTGAGCCTTAATTCTCATGGATGTTTCTTCATGTGTTGGTTTGTTGACACACATGCTGTCACAACAGTGACATGCAAGTGGCTATGCTAACTCAAAAGGGACAAAAAGTGTGGTGTGCATTGTGGGTGGCATTGCACTAAGTAACCATGGCAAAGAGACTCAAAGGTCTTTATCTGTAGACTTGAGGTTATGTGTGTTTGTCTTGCATCCCAAGTGTGGAACCCAGCGCCATGGATTTGTTAAACAACCTTCAAATCTTTTTCTTTTTCTTTAAACAGGTCAGAAATGGATATACTCTCTGCTAGCTCTGAAGGTATTCTTATTGGATATTGTCCACAACAAGATGCCCTGGATGAACTTTTAACAGGTTGGGAGCATCTTTATTATTACTGCACACTGCGTGGAATTCCAAAGCAGAATATCCATAAGGTAACTATCCATAACAGATTTGCAGGGGAGCTATTGCCTGGCTAAACTGTGGGGTTTGTAGAACAATTGTACCATTTTAACATGAGAAACTATCTCATATTTCATCTTAACAACTTTAGTAAGAAGGTTTTTCATTACCACAATTTTATTTAAATAATGTAGATTTTTTCTGTCTGTTATGCGAGTTGAAAACACAATAACATCACTGCAGATAGTAAAATAGCATTATTGCAAATGAAATCTTGGGCACAAAACCCCTAAAAGAAATTAAATTTATGAATGGCTCAATGCCTTCACTATCACACACAAAGTACTGTGAGAGAACACCACGCTTTCAGTCTTGTACTTCTGAAAAACTCTTTTCTTCAGAGATACAATTTAACTTTGAAGGAACTAAAAATTGTTGTATGATTCTGTATAAATAAATGAAACACCTGGGTGCTGGGATAGGAGCTGTCAGCACTCTGCTGTCTTAAACTTCACAAGATAGGAGCAGGCTCTTAGATGCTTCAGCTGCCACACAAAGCTTGGGTTGTCCAGGGAGAACAGGCTGAAGAAAACACTTTGAGAGCTTACCAACATAGAAGACAACAATATCTGGGAATATCACTGGGAGCTCTTGGATTTACAGATACAGGTGCAGCTGTGCATGGATCAGTAGACTGACCTTTTTTTTCTGCAATGAGGCAACAAGTCAACTGATACCAGAAATTAAGTATAAAACAGATACAGTGTAAAATATGGGGTTTTTTCTGTATAAGCTGATGGAACTTTACAATATGACCTGACTTGAGCTCTCAGTCTTTTCTGTTTAATAGCATCTCTTTTAACATGAGAAAATTATACTGTCATATGAAATTGGTATCTGTCAATTCCTGCTATATAGGTTGGTCCCAAATAGTAGCTATTGCTCTAGCACTGCCCTTGTAACCTCAAGAATACTGCCTGTTGTTTTCCTTTCATTTTTTCCAGAAGCAAAACTACATGAAATGAAATAGCTGCTGCTTTTTTTTTTTTTTTTTTATCCTCTTTACCATCCAGCACTTTTATGCTTTTATGGCTGTTGTTTGCAACCAGTTCCTTGACTGTATGTGAGAGGGCTGCTTTCTGGTTCTCTGCAGCCTGTTTTCTTTTCCCTCAGCACAAAGGTGCTACTTCAGAAAAAAGTATGATTCCTGTAAGAGACACTGAATACTCATCAGAACAGGCAATATTTTGAATTTTTACTGTTTTAAGTTGATAATTTGGGGTATTTCTGGATGAAAGCCTGGGGAAAATAAGTGATTCTTGCGTGTCTTTGCCCCTTGTCTTGGGTAGTATCCATTGTCCATGACAAAGCCTGGACTTTTACATGTTTTAACAATATGTTACTTGCAGACTGCTCAGATATTATCATATAGTCTTTTGTTTGATTGTTTGCCCTTCATAACTTATTGGTGTTAATTTTTACTTCAGACTAGTAGCAGAGTATTGAAAACTTGCATATATTTCCATTGATCTAAAGGAAATATATTAAGGGATGGTTGTTATTGCACGAAAGCACTCTACTATAATTAATTACCTGTTTTCTCCATGAAGTGTCAGTTCCTCCATAGCAGTTAGGGAAGAGTTCCTCAAGTGTTATGTTACATCACATACACATCCCTCTTCAAATGGATGAAAATCATTCATATATATATGAGTTATGTTACTCTCTGCACTGAGAGAAGACAAACATTAACCTTCCTGGACCTCAGATGATCTAGGTACAGGCCTAGACTATTCTTTATAGTCAGCCTTCTGTGCCTTAGCATCACATTTATGAAAGAAAGATCATTTTTCTTTTCAATTGTCTTAATTTTTCTGTCTGCATGGATTGCAGAGCAGACTTTGTTGCCATGTGCTTGCGACCAAGGCATCAAAGCGCTCCTGCAAATAGAATTTAGCTGTTCTCATTTTCCTCCACCAAGAACTGAAATGCAGCTATCAGAGGAAAACAAATGTTTTTGTCAGCGAGCTCTCCTGACTGTGTGGCATGTCTGTCAAGCGCTCAACAGCTGCTGTGCTTCAACTCAGAAATGGCTGGTGCCCGGAGAAAGTGAGCATTTTAGCTGCCTATAAAGAAAATAAGGCTTTGGAATGCTTTAGAGGAGCAGCTGTATGGAAACATAAGCTGTTATTTTCTCATCATTCCCTCCTGCCTATGATACAGCACTCCAAGCCTGCCTCTGAATATTTACCAGTGACTAATTACGCTAATATGCACAGACACATATATTCTAGAGAGTACATTGGTTTGATAAGGAAAGAAACATACATTCACTTTGTTTTTCAAGAAATAGGTGAACAGGTAGGTGACCCACAGGTTCTGCTGCTGCTGAAGTTTTCTATTGAAGCACTAACTTCAAGGAGCAAATCCTTTGCTAGACAAATTTATCAGCAGCAGGAGTTAAGTGCCTGACATAAAGTTGAGTGCACTTAATGTTCCAAAACAGTAATTAAATGAATGGGAAAGGAGGAGAAAAATGGGTCATTTACTGTCAGTGTTAAGCTTCACATGTAATGTGAAGTTTTTTTATACCTCACAAATCTGCTCTGAAAGTTTCTTTTTGTTAAAAATTAGAAAAAAATAGAGTAAAGCTTTTAGGTTATTTAGAAGGATATTGATTAAGCACAGTACTTTTAATTTTTATTTCTTTAATATATCAACTTCTTAGATCTCAATTTGTTCCAAAATACAGCATTCAGCTTGTTAAAAAATTAAAATTATTAACACAATATCAATGACATCCCTCATTAGCATTAAAACTTCTGTTTCAAATCTCAAAAGAAGCTTTATCAGGTCTTTTGAGGTAATTTTTGGAATGCCAGTATGCTTTCTCTTTTCATTAACTCTCCAGGAAGATTTTGCTTTGATTTTAGAATTTCACTGATTTCCTTACACGATATATTCTATAGGTGCTGGAAATAGGAATCTGTAAACTCCTGTATTCTTTGTATGCTACATTGTTTTGGACCTCAAGCAAAATTAGTGTGTATAGTTTTATGAGACTTTGGGATAAAAAAATATTGTTCCCCAGAAACTTGACCGTGGCACTTTCCAAATATAAGAAATCTAACAATTCTCAGTTTACTTGAAAGCCAAATAAATACTGTTTTGTGTGGAATTGATGAATGATTGTTATTTAGGATGTTCAAACTACACTATATCCACTTAGAACCTGACACTTTGAATTACTGTCTTGGACATATAAAGTTATTTTTCAGATGACTCTAGAATTCAATCCATGTTTATAATCATTTATACTGGGTATGATAAACATTTTCAGTACTGGGTCAGATTTGCTTTATGAGGTTTTGTTTAAATAAATAGCAAGAAGCTATGCATTATATTTCTTGTGTCAGAAATGATGAAAACTAATACACTGATGGATACAGCCTTTCAAGTCAAAATAGACACACCATGATGTTTCTAGGCTTTGTATAGATTGATTCTAGTCTTTCAATAGATTAATAACTCCAAGTTTTTCTGTAAGACACACAGACTGAAAGTCATTAGCACCACTTAATGTTTTACTTGACTATTAGAGGTAATTTTTAAAGGGAGTGGAAACCCATAGGAATTAGTGGTTACACAATTACTGCTTTTCAGTGGAATGGATGTACCTCTTAATTCTCTGGTGGATGGAGGAGACCATGCCTGATTTGAGCTTTACTCCCACATTGGCATGTGTGCAAAAAGTTATCTTATTGCCTCTTCTAGAATGAATATTGTCTTTAGAAACTCCACAAAGTATTGGGGGATTTTGTTTAGATGCTACAAATTGAACGCTCATTCCACTGCCTGTTCTAAAGCTAGGTGGACTAGCCCAAATTAATTTTGGGGAACATCTTTTGCTAAATACATTAGAATTGAGAAAAAAAGTAGAGTAAATAGTTTTAAGAAATATTTGAAAATAGGGAAATAGCTAGCTGATAGATGTGAAATCTGTTATAAATTTTACTGCTGGTGTGGGGAGGAAGGAAAGGAAAAGTTTAAATACATTATTACAGCCATTACATACAGGCATTAAATATTTTCATGGTTCAAGTATGCTTACAATGTATATATTTGCATATAACTCTGTATATTTTGATTTGGCTTCAGTTTTATCAACTTGTTAAATAAATTGAAATATTTCCTTACTCTTTGCTGCTGAAGTTCAATGAAACATTATTCAAATAGAGCATCATGGTGAATATGACAAGGAGGGAGAGAAGGTGCTTGTGAATATATCACGTTCACTACAGGAAGGAAATCATTAGAACTGTAATCCTCTGGCATAATTGTCTGTATCTGTATCTGAAGATTGATCACATGCTCAATTGTGACTTTCATTTAAAGTAGTTTAAGAGGGATTTTTGTATTTATTTTACAGTGTACTATGATGAAAACCACTGTCTATACAGAAAAATGAAGTTATAATGGAGATATTCAGGCTCCTCTACAATATAGATAATATGCATTTTCTAATTTCATTCAAACGACTGCTTAGTTGCTGCTTAGGTATTATTGATGAAGCTGAAAAATTACTGGAAATCTTATAATATGCATTAAAGAAAAAAGTCTTGAGGTCATCTCTTGAAAGAATGAACTCTATATTCTTATATTTAGTTATATTTGAACCATAGTCTGCAGTGCTCTTTTGAAATATAAGATTTGAGGGGGGTAGCAGGAATAGAAGACTTTTTTAGGTGAAACTGGGAAATATTTAGGAATAAGAAAGTTGGCCCATCCTTCTGCCTTTTTGTTGCTGATATGATTCAGTTCCAAATCCATTCTAATTTGGTATGTTTTGCACCAAAGAAGTGTATCTAGATATCAAGTCAGATTGTGCTGTGCAAGGTTTATCTTGGAAGCTCTCCACATTTAAAGCAGTAGCAAAGTCAGCACTATGAAATGATTCCCACTCCTCTCCTTTTACCTATTTAGCTTTTAAACCTTGTCTTGAAGGATTTCTACAGCAGGATACTTGCCAGGCTTTATCTCCTTGTATGAAACAGGAGATTGTGGAGTCATGATGAATGCTTGAGCACACACCAGAGAGGAGAATTCAATGTGAGGAATTAAAAATCTTGCAAAGTCAGTTCTTTTTACTGTTGCTTCCTACAAAGAGCTTTATGTTCATACTGGACATGACTGAGTCTCCTTGGGGATTATAGACTACAAGAAGACCCATCTAACTTGAATAGTTACTTTCTTCTCTCTCTTGGCACTATTCCTTGACCTTCTAAATGCTTCCCCATGCAGCATTCATTGTCTCTTAAAAAAAAAGACATTTTGCTGACTTTAGATGACACTTCAAAGCAGTCTTAGAAAAATTGTTATAGTCATAGCTAAAGGATAGCTTTGACTACATTTCAGTTCTCTGAAATGTAGGTCCTCTCTTGATTATTTTTAATAGCTCTTGAACCTTATTGTAGTTTAAAACATATATTTGGTGTAAACATGGGGTTGAATATTTTTTCACTTTCTGGTCTTTCTTAGGAGATTTTCTGTGTAATTATGTGACTGTTGGTGAATATGTAGGTGGATAATCCTTTAGTCACTAACATTTATGCATTCCAAGTGGTAGCAGTCAAGTCAGGATGAGGTGCCTACCACATGCTTTAGAGGACAAAATACAAAGTGCTGTGTTTTGCTTTGGTGTATAATGAGACCCTTACTTGGAAGTGAAAAAAACCCACATAACAAAACAAAGCTCAGCTATCTTATCTTAGAATATAGCTTAGGTGATTAGCCATCTTTAAAGCCACAGCTATGACATCTAACTGGAAGTAAATTACTGTGAATTACCTTTGATACAGCAGAAGCCTTGATCTTTTCAATATAATATTACCTGTGGCTGGTTTTGCAGTTGTTATGACTTTTTTTTTTTTTTTTAAACTCTCTGCATCTAATGTATTCATAGCAGTACTTTTGAAATGTGGCTTTTGTGTGAGAGCATGCACTGCTGTCAGCTTATATATCCAGATACCTCAAACACAGTGGCTATGGATATCAGTCCAAGGATCATCACAAGAATATTGTAAATTTCTTTTACAATAAAATTTCTTATACAAGCATTGTTCCTTCTTACAAACAACTTGCTCTCAGAGATGTCTCTTACTTTTATAAGTATCACTTGAAAAATCTTGCTGAAAGGGTCATTATTATCTTGATCATTTCCAATGGTGTTTGCAAAAAAATCTTCTATAGAAAGTATTATTATGCTTGTGGCAGTTTGTTTATGATGGAGAGTGAATATTAATTCACAATGTTGTTTATGGAATTTTTCTTAAATTGGAATTTTGAGTTAAGTGGAGACTGTCTATCTGATATGATTAAGCTTTCAAGTCCCTCCTGCTTTTTGCTGAAGGTAATGTAGAGGAAGCAAAGAGAATGAACCATACTGCTGGGAATGCTCTGGCAGTTAATGTTGGGCTATAAGAGCACCATGCAACTCCTTGTTTTCCAAGAATCTTCCAGCTGTCCTACATACAGGTAGAAAGCACACTTGCTGTGTTACAAAGCTGGTCACTCCTTGATGACACAGCCCCCCAGCAGTCTATGCCAAACACCTGCTGCTTTGCAGGGTGCATTTGGCAGCAGTGAGCAGAAAAGTTGCTGCTGTGTCCCTCATGGTATTGAATCTCCTTGGACTGTCTAGCACTAGTAGCTGATATAGATGGATTAATATTATTGCTACATTTAATATTCTCTAGCACCAGTATTTTAGGGAGTCTTATATGTCAGATTGTCTCTGACAGGGTAAAGAAAAAGGCCACAGGGGACAGCATGAGTGTTGTCTCCAGCTGTGCTCACATGCCTTCCCAGCTTGCTTGGATCATAAATTCTTGTTAAAGCAATTAAAACCAATCCAGCTAGGATCAACTTACCCCTCTCAGTTATTAAAAAGTTATATTCATTTAATCCTGTTATATTTTCTCTTAAAGAAGCTCTAAATCCACAAATGTGACTTTTCTGATTTTTTTTTTTTTTTTGGTAGCTGATGGAGAACTTTTTCACTTGAATTTTCAGTTACTCAGGTATTTGATCAAATAAATAGTGGAGAATAAGTTGAAATGAGAGACATTTTAGATCATTGACCCATGGACACAAACCAAATACAAATGACTGTGCTGAGCAGTGACAAAGCCAGACTTCTATATGAGAAAATCATTATCATTTTTGAAGAACAAAGGGGCCCCAGAGCAGATTTTTGTCTGTGTTGAGATTCAAAAGTAATAATTTGCAGCATGTGTGAATAAATAAGGAAACAACAAGGACATTTTCTTAACATGCATGAACAGAATGTTCTTTCAATCTGTACACAAATGCTATCTAACCTGGCTCATCTTTGCTGGCCTTCAAATTTGTAAACCACAGGCTGCAGAGGACCTTGTTGACCGCTTGCACCTCAACGCCCATGCTGACAAACTGGTGAGAACATACAGTGCTGGCACAAAGAGGAAGCTCTCTACTGCTGTGGCTTTAGTTGGTAAACCCCAAATACTATTACTGGTGAGTAAAACTAATATTGTGTTTATGAAAAATGGGCTACATTTAATTTTATTGTCATGTATGTTGCTCTAAAGAAAATCAGGTAGTTTCCTGATCAGTCAGAGAGTAATTGATACATAGATGTACAACTGTCTTCTTTGTTCTGCTATATGAATGCTTTAATTTTATTCTCCAGTGCTTACAAAAATAAAAAGTTAAATTGCTTTTCTTTTCCTATTTTTTTCTTCCTTGGAGCAATTGGGTGAGCAGAAAAAACCAACCCTCAACAGAAATACAATTGTAGTATTGCATGGTCCAAATACGTGTTTGATTGACCCATGTTCTTTCAGGATACTCCTAATTCTTACTAGTTTATTTTTACTTCATAAACCTGGGTAGTTCTTACATTTTGTTGCATTCACAAGTCACCCAATCAAGCAATACTTATGAATTATAATTAATTTGAATTACTTATCTCAGGTTGTTTTGGTTCTTGCATGCTACTGCCCATTTAGGCCTGACACTGGCCACTCCAGTGTTTCCAATGCCTTCTGTATTGAAGATCAGGGAGACAAAACTTTGAGAACTGCATTATTACAACACTACATTCTCTTTCATACCATTGCCCATTGTTTCACTAGAAAATATTGAAATTTGCTTTCGTAAAACTTGGCTGGGAAGAGCTAAACCAGTGCAATAAACCCTTCAAAACAGTCAGGAAAGCTGCTCCTCAGAGTTGAGAGGGATAGCTGGGCTTCCAGGAAAAGATCGCAGGTAAACCAGGGCCAGATAAAATAGATGTTCTCTAGGGTTTGTGTTCCAGAAGATTAGACACATTTTGCTGCTTCTAACTGCCTGCCATTGCCTCACTTCTAAGAGAAGATATTTAGTTTGCATTTTATACTTTAACTGACCCTGGTTCAACTAGTAAAAGGAGACTATCTTAAATCAGTGTGTTTTTCTGATCTTAAGAAATGCTCCAACTGGTTTTGAATGCCTTTATGACAGTGTACTACTGCAAGTATCCATTTCAGCCTACTTCTTGCTGCAGGGCACAGACTGTTGCATATATAATGAAAAGAAGAAAGAAAGCTATCTAAACATGTCAAATTCTTTAAAACATTTACTGGCTTTAGAAAGATAAAGGAGTTTTTCAGCATTTTAAAAGGAGGTTTTTTGTTATTATTTTTTCTTAAAGCAAAGACAGCAATATAAACTACTGAATCTGCTTTTAAATTGCATGCAGGTTCATAGCTATTAATTTGAGCAACATTGTGGGTTGCTTTATGTTTATTGCTTTTTATGTTTTCTTTTTTAGCAATCCACAGATAATGGGAGACTGAAGTGAATTTTTTAACCTCTGACATTGGTAGTGAAGCACTAAAACTAGCTGCAAACTGGATGTTTTGTTTGCTTTGTTTCTTAAAAACTTTGCTTCCAGGTTTCAGCTGGGATTCCTTGCTGAAAATACTCTGGTCAAAGCCACACTTGTCTAACAGGTGCTGACAGTCCCCATGGAATACCATTGGATAAAAAGCAACTGGAAGAGTTTCCTTCTTCCCAGTTTTGTAGTAACAGAGACTGGATTTGTCAATCAAATATAATTCTTTTTGTTTGCATGAGTAGATGAAGTAAAGAATTTGATTTACGGAGGAAAAGAGGAATAAACAAGAAGGGGAAATGTACATTTCTAGCAGCATGTTTTTCTCCATGAAAGCCATCCAAGTGTGAAATGGATTTGCCAGTTGGTTTGCACTGAGTTAATGTTATTTAATACTGTGAATTCTTTCCTCTGTGGGTGAAAATTCCTCATAGAGGGGCTGTGGGAGTAACTGGTATAGGATGTCAAATCCTAACATCTTATCAGACATCTGGATATGGGATGGGCAGTGTAGACATCTGGGAGCTATTGGACTTCTCCAGTTGTTTGTGCTCATGGCAGGTGTGTATGCAGATCAGAAGCAGTCACCAAACCCTTCTAGAAAGAGAAAAACTGCTTGCAAGCCTTTCTTATAAAAAAGAGTATATGTATATAATGAAATGGATATAATAAATTCTTATAGCTATACATATATGGTATATAAAATTTATATACATTATAAGCATTTATAAATACACATAGATTATATTTAAATATTATACTTGTTTACTAAAATGTATATATACTTTACTAAAATGTGCCTTCCATAAATGTAGACATTAAATTGTATGTGTTAAAGCAAAACATCGTTCACATTATCACTTAAGTGGCCCTCTGAAAATATGGCATTTAAAGAGAAAAATATGTGATTTTATTGTGAATTATTTTGATTTTTCATGCTGGGCAGAACCTGTGGTATGCTTTTTCCATGCTGCTGTGTAATTTTCATTTTTCCTGTAGGATGAGCCCAGCTCTGGGATGGATCCCTGCTCTAAACGCTACCTTTGGAAAGCTATCCTGAAGGAAGTTCAGGATGGCTGTGCAGCTGTGCTGACATCCCACAGGTGAGACCCTTATCCCAGCAGCCAGCATATTCCTGTGCTGCAGAGGAGTATATTCTGAAGACATGCTCGCTCTGTTGTGAAACACAAATTAAGTCTTGAAATTTTATGGTAATTCCTTCCTATTCATGAAAAAGGAACCTAGTTAAATCCCAAATATTTTTCATATTTAATTTTTAAAGAATGGAGTGTTGCTCAAGAAGTTTCAGGCACAGCAAAGATGATGCAATTGATTCTTCTTCTCCCATGTTCTTTTTACTCAGAGTTTACTCTCTTTACTTGGAACATCAGGTTACTTTTTTGTATCTGGCTACCTTAAAAATCCTTAGAAATGGAGGTATGAGTGAAAAAAATCTTTTGATTTTATTAAGTTTTGCTTTGCATCAGTGTGTGAAAAGAGTAAGCCGTGGCATCCTGGAAATGGATCTGTCAGCTATTCTCTTATGTGTTACTGGAAATAGTAGGAGAGACCCCATCCTCTTAGAAGGTTCCTTCTACATTAAATACCTTGTCAGTTCTCTGATATGGTCACTGGTATAGTGGTTCAATGGAGGAAACATCAATTCTGTTTGGTAACATCTATAGTGAAATGAAATAAATTAAATGTTCCCTTACATTATATCTATATGGTGTGTATAATTATATAACAAAATTTATTTAAATGAGGGAGATATCATAAAAACATGTCCAGAGAAGACAAAATCAAAAATCAAAACAGCAATGAAACTTTTGGCCAAATAAAATTTGAAGTATAGATGAATTAATAAAGGAATGTGGCCAAACTTCCTCCAATATTTTCTATTTTCAGATTTTTTTAGATATTCTTAAAATGTATGTGTTGTCCCAATCCATTACGGATGAAAAATTCGCCAAAAGGTTTCTAGTTTTTTATTTATGGAAGCTGAATTTTGAAAATCACATACCTGTGTTTGATGGCCAAGTGCTTACAAGCACACTCATTTAGGGACTGTGGGTTATGCATTGTGAATTCAACTGAGTGATTTTCAGGAAAAAATATGCTTTGACTTTTCAGCCCAGATTAAGAACCCTTAGCTGTCAAACACCACTAAATAGAAGAGACCTATGATCTCATTACTAATGTGATGTAACCAAACAAACTTCATCAAATTGCATTAACTGCACATTTAGCTCTACAAATGAATGACAATAAAGTACAGTGATACTGTTCACATTGTTGTGCCAGGGTGAAGAAAGGAGAAATTATTTTTTACTATTTATACTATTTTCTAAAGGCCACTGGGACTTTGAGATTATTTACTTTTATAAGTACAGGAATTTTGCATATGAAGTGAACTTTCATACACGTCAGCAAATACATGTGTAAGGTATAGAAAGGGTTTGCTGTGTAAAAATCAGGTTTTGAGGACTGTTTACCTACTTTTCTGAGACAATTTTTTATTTACATATCTGAGACAAAACTTCTGTTTTAACTGGGGAGGAGTGAGGCTTCATCAAATGTCCCTAGAGCCCTAAATTTGTGTAATTTTGCCACATCTAGGGAGCATTATGCCAAGGGGAGCATTAGGAGTTATTAAATGAATTTCCTGATTTGTGCGAAGACGTGTCAGCTCTCTCCCTGTCTCTCTCAGACACAGCAGTTTGGCAATTCTCACCACAGCCTTGTCATTTTAAAAAGAAATTGTTCCTAGGGCAGTTCTTAATTGCCAATTTTTGTTCAGTCAAAGCATTTTGATTTGGACTGGCCCATGGCTGAGGCACACAAGACATCTCTTGTTTAGCTGTCTCAGAAGGGTTGGGGAGGGCACACAGTGAATTGTAGGACCAAACATCCTTGAATCCTCTTTGGGATGATGGGTTCATCCTGACTGGTTCCTTATATCTAAAGTGCTTCTTTGAAAGAGCTGCAATTCTGCATAATATGTAGGGTAGCAGCCCATCTGCCATAAGTCAAAGCTACTATTTATCCTCTGAAGCAGTCACATCTAGGAGGACTCTGCTTTTCTCTTCAGATGCATTTTCATTTCCTAAATTCTGTTTGGATTGTAGTGTTTTGGATTGGCTTCTATCTTGCAATCAGGCTAAGGGTAACATTTTTTCAAAGTTTTGTACTATGCCAAAGAAAGGCTAAGCAAGATTTTTATTCCTCACCCTTTATCCTTTAGCTCAGAATAATCATAAACACATATTAAAGGGAATAACAGAGTTCATGACTTCCTCAGTGACATTCCTGAGATTGCTTATGAGGTGTTTGCCTGTGGTAATGGTACCTTTATATTCTGACCAGAATTGTCCAAATAGTTATGGACTAAAAATATAAATAATGGTTTAAGACTCTCTTCTCACTCCCATGTGGTAATAACTGCTGGTGTATACTGATTAGGGTTACAATTTTGACTATTACCCTTTGAAGCCAAAGGTTTTGTGTGTCGCTGTTGAGGCAGGATGGGAATGAGAAGACTGACTAGAAGGCTGCATGAGAGTGAAACTCTGATTATTTCAAAATACACTGCTCTTTTATACAGAGCTTTGTGAGGACCAACTCCATTGGTTCTGAATTGAAAACAATCCACAGCATTGGTGCAAAGTGCTGGACACACAGTGATAGAACTTAACTATAAACAATGTGAAAAACAAGAGAGATAAACAATTATTTACATTCTTCTCCAGCTCTTTCCCAGGCTTTTTGCCTGGCTAGAAACTCTCAGTTTCTTTCTTTGACTGAATCTGAGTCCCACATTTGTGTACCTGTTTTTGCATCTGTCCAGATTCTTCCACTTTAACTAAAGTTAGGTATAAAAATGTTCTCTGTTTTCACTGATAATTATTTGTTTTTTTTCCCCTCGATTTATTTTGTAGTATGGAAGAATGTGAAGCTCTCTGCACAAGGCTTGCTATTATGGTCAATGGAGCTTTCAAGTGTCTTGGTTCTCCCCAGCACATTAAAAACAGGTATTATGCATCAACATCAAATATTTTGCATGTTTATTCAATCTAAGAGCTGGCTAGATGCTTTAGTAGTACTAAGGCATAAGCACTTACGACTGCTAAGAACATCTTTTTCCTGCTGTCACTGAAGTTGAAAAAGAGGCAATTAAGATAACTTAGCAAGTTAAATTGGCATGTGACTTTGCTAAAATGCTTTGTAGTCTGCATTGGTAATTGAAAGAGACAGATCTACATCTAAAATGAAGCACTTCTGCACATAACCTAAGGAATACATTGTGAGACTCCAACATGGCAATGAAGTACAATTTGGTTCCTTCTGAGGGTTTTTCATAACAGAAAGAAGCATTTTTTGCAGGTCAGCAGCCAGTAAGAGCATCTACTTTGAACTCTCTCTGCTCCCTACCAAATTCACTGACAATTGCAGATATTTATGCTGTTTTCTGCATCCTTTTCCTGGTGTGCATAAGCTTCTTTTCTGTTTGAACTCTGCTCATAAGTTAATTTACTCCCTGTTAATGAGGATGTTTAATTCACAGGATGTGCTCAAACCATCATAAAGGAAACAGGATTGGAAGCTGAGGGGAAAGTTGCTGCAACTTATAGCTAAAACATTTACATTCAGTTGTAAATGTGATTGTTAGGACACACAGACAGTCAGCCGTGTAAGTTGATACCACTCATTTACAGGTAGTGAAGCTACACTGCTTTGTACTAGCTCAGCACTAAGTTCTCTTAAGTACAGATGCACTCAATATTGGAAAAAAGGCCCTACAGAAATGCTTTGGAATTACTGTCTGCCATGTTTATAAGGCAGAAGTTATGTGCTTTGGACAACTTCTTGTGCCATGACAACCCTTTTGGCATTCTGGCCTTCCCTTTGGGTAGAACCATAAATCCTTGCTTCACAGCTGCATTAGCAAAATGTGTCTGACCCACACCATCTCCCTACTTAAAAGTTTCTTTGTGAAGACAAACTTTCAGTTAGAGATATTACAATCCAGAAAGGTGAAAAAACATTGATGTCTGCATCATGATGCCTGATGATTCTGTGTGATTGTAGCCTTCTTTTCATGTTTGCACACCTTTCAGTGCCTATTTGCTTCAATTTCTGGAGGCATGAGAAGTCAATTGATCAGCATCAGTTTCTGCCTCTTTCATATCTAGGTCTTTGCCTTTGCCATCTTGTCTCTTCCCAAATTTCGTAGCATAGAATGGCTGGAGTAGATTAGTGAGTGTGAAGGCATCCTTTATTTCTTTTGTATGAGAAACAGATCATACGTAGAGGACAGTGCAGATCTCAGGAGAAAATGCTTTTTGAAGATATGTGTCCCCCCACTCATGAAAAAATAGTATTATTTAGGAACTTAATTTGAGTGTATAAAGTTACCTGGATGAATTTGAGTCTTCCCTTTTAATGTTTCAGATCTTCTGGAGTAAGTACATGTCCCTGTCTTGTCAGCTTGACCTTGAGAGGGCAAAATCAGACAGTCCACGAAGGCTACCTTCCCCTTTATCTTATCAGTGACTTTTTAATTTTTTTGACACTTCTGATGTTCCTTTAGCAACATCGTTTTATCTTCCCTCTTATGGAAACAAGACATCAAAAGCATACTCATAAGTATGCACCATATTCATATAAATAAGGCAGTTACTTCTCAATTTGCTGCACTGCCTCTGTAGATAAACTTCTTTCAAATCACAGTTAGCAAATCAATGCAGAAGTATCCTGCTGGAAGTATCATATTACTTCTTATTGTATGTATACTAGTACTGTTATTACTATATATATACTATATATAGTCCCAGATCAGCCATTCCAGAATCAAGGCTTTATGAGTGCCTCTTTCAAATTCTCTAAAGCAAGGTCATAATAAGAATATTTAGCAGTCATGTTCATAGCAATTATTTTTTTAACATTACTGTAACTTTGTTAAATGTACACCTTCTTTATATTAAGAATATTTCATATTGTCAGCAGGTTTGTGTTCTGTGGCAGTTCTTTAATGCATGTCCATCATTGACATTCACATGGGAAAATATGTTCACTTGAGATCAATATTGCTGAGACTTTCTACACAAACTTTGTAGCTCAAGCTGCATGAAGATTTTTCATTTAAGGCAGGACTAAAATCCCTTTAATTCCCAGCTTATTGATTGTTTTGGTCTCCAAATTTTCCATGCTTACTGTTCAGGAACTTATTGAATTCTTAAAAAACTTTAGAACCATTTATTAAGAAAATATAGCCATGAGCTCTATCAAAGGATTTAATTAAAATCATACTGTTTTCTGAATTTTCTCTGCCTGATACATTTTCTTGGCTGGAAAAACAAAACTGCTGTAGAAAGTGCAGTCTTAAATCATCACACACACACACACAGCTGTTAAAGCTTTCAGAAAAGACATTTCTGTGTTTTCTTTGGAAATCTTTTAATGGGTACTGGGGAGAAGTCGAAGACTGTTCCTGTATTCCTGTTATTTTTTTGCTTAGTCTAGCTTCCAAACATCACTCCAACACATGCCAATATAATCCTTTACCATAAAACCCAGGCTATCACACACCTAACACTCAAAGTAATTGTTAGGGGATTAAAAAACATTGTAGATTCTGTGCAATTTAAGTCCCCAAATTACTTGAAGACATTTTCCTGGTATGCTACCATGTACCATATGGAGGATTCCTGCATCTACATGAGATGGGGAAAGGACAGAGATGCATAATTCCAAAGAAATCCATTGAAAAAAATTAAGCTTTAAATAATCTTAAAATCTTCAGTTTCTCACTTTCTGGTCCACCTGTGAGCACCCTGAAAAGATTCCAGGACTTGGAAGAGTACTGAGTGATACCTTCCTTCCTGTTTTCCTTCCCTTCCTGTGATTCAATAGCTCTATTATTCTCATTGCCATACAGAGCAAAATACAGTTTCTTCTAAAGTGGTAGACCACAAGGATTAGTAAATCTAAGCTACTATTAGGAAATATCTACCTGGAGGGAAGGATGTTTTCCTTAACAGCCACCTCTACTGATATAATCACAAGTCTTTTCTGTGTTTCACTGATTTCCAGCAATTAGCACTGTCTATTATATTTGAACATGCACCATCTCACAGTAAAAAAACCCATCACCTCTTACATTTTGTTAAAAAAAAAAAAAAAAAGCTCCATGAAGCAATATAAGGAAAGCATAAACAAAACTGGTTTTGTTGCATCTGATTTAATTTAATTGCTGATACCCTAATTTTTTTTTTGTTTTTTGCTATGTGTGTGAATTAATCAGACTAGTAATATACACATTCATCTTAACAGGGAAGAATGGTACTAAAATAAATTAATGGGGTGATAGTTGTAGATTATCATGGTTTCTTTGTTAGATTTTACAGCTTGTTTTAAAAAAATTGTTCTTATTTATAAGCAGCTCTTGACATCCTTAAGTCTGTTTTCAATTTGTTTCTACAAACCAAATTGAACAAATATTTTAAAACCAACAAGTGTCCTGATCTGTTTTTGAAGATTGCAAGGAGAGAAATCTAACCACTATATGAATACTTAAACCAAATAAAACTTTCATACAGCTTTTATTTATAAAACACTATATCAAATACTGTAAGAAGTAGAAGCATATTTTGATATTTCATGTGATTCTATTAGTATGTCTCAAGAATTTTCTTCCTCTTCTAAGTGTAGACACATACACTAAAATGATGTTCTTTCTTCCCTTCTTGTTGAATTCTGTCTTGATGGAAGTCCTCAAAATTGTTTAATTTATTTATTCTTTAGTACCAATCCAGCCTACAGAGTCCAGATTATGATCACCTTTTTGATGGATATGTGATAGAGGTTTAATGATTCTTCCTTGGAGCCCTGTTAAATTTGCTTTTTTGCTGGGGGTGAAGTTCAAGGATTCAGCTCTTTCTCTCTGGCTACACTTTCAGCCCTTGGCAGATGTGAAAGATCATAATGTTGGACTCAGTACAGCTTTATCAGATGGCAAGACAAAATTCTGCTATGAAGGGTATGAGTGAACTCCAGGAAGATACTAATGTGAAACATAAATGCTTCATAGGGATATAAAAAGTGATGTTGCTTCTAATGTATGAGACTTGTTCCATTGGCCATTCTGTAAGCCTGTTAGAAAATGCTTTTCCAAAAATGTCTTCTCACTACAAATGTCAGTGTTTGGGTTTTCTGCTCCCAGCTGCTGAACCTTGACTATATTTATATATGTTTAAACAGATTTAAAGTATCTGCGGATGTTTATCAGCAGAATAATAAGGGTAAAACTTCTTTAAAAAGGCTTTTTTATTGTAGGTGGCAAATTTATAAACAATATCAAGAAATTTATTAGGTAGAAGAAAAAAATGAAGGGCAATTTTCAAAAAGTTATCATCTTAGTTCTAGATGTAGTTTGTCTGAGATTGATGTGTTAACAGTTGTGCCCATCAAAGCCTAATTTCAGACAACTCCTGCCAACAGAGTCAATTACTCTAAATTGTGAATGGATTACATTTAAATGCTCTCTTCAGTATTCTCCATTATACTTAATGCTTTATCTAAAATTCACAGAAGCATTTTCATGTGAGATACAGCTGGCCAGTTCTCCGGGAACAACATTTTGAATATTATCCTTCATTCTAAGGCCATCTGGACAGACTTCTCATATCAGAAAAAACCATACCAATTTGTCAGGTGCTGGACATCAAGTCTTTTCTCAAATTTTATCAGCAAGCCATCTGATTAAATTATCCAACAATTAATTCATTTGCTATAGCTGTGTAGTGGTTTTGATTTGCCAATTTGAGATTTCCTGGCCAATGCACCAGTTAATGTGGTGGGTTCAGTGCTGGCAAAAGAACAGTGCACCCACTAGAACATACTTGCTCATTTCCTGCTGTAAGATAGGATTAGGAGGAAGGTAAAACAGGCACAAAACTTTAGAAGGGTATAAAGAAAACTTTATTAACAGAAACTAAAAGAATAATAAAAGTTAGAATAAGATCTTCAGAAC